TGTACTAGCAGCCGTGCATCCGGTGATTTCCAGAAGACCCACACACTAATGAAACCCCAAATAACCGAAACCTCACTTAATATTCATCAGTGTCATAATCATCATGGACTAGCGAGGAGCGGTAGCCACGTGAAGCGAGGTTGGCCTCTAGGCCACCGTCAGACGCAGGGTCAAAGTAACCTAAATTGGTCAGTAGAGTTCACGTTCTTCGATAGTAATGGGTCAATTTGTACATACCACCGCCGCCAAAGTAGCTAAGACCGACTGGCAAGAAGATGAGAGCATGTGTAGCAGCAAAAATCACCAGGGCTAGCCACACACGGAAGTAGTAGATCTCGAAGATCTTGCTCCGAGTAAACGCCAGGACAGAAACTCCTAAAAGCTTGGTTACAGTGATACCACTGAAGACGCTCCCACCGACATTGACCAAGGCCGCCCATGCTCGAGCATCCTTACCACGGAATTCGGCAGGAACCTTCTCCATAATGGGTCGAGCGGGGAACATGAATGCTCGGGCAATATGAGCACAGAATTCAACACCAATGCCCACACAAATGATCAGGTTGACAAGAGACACGGCGTTCAAGGAGACACCAGCGATCGCCATGGTGCCAATGATGTCGACCACTATCATAACCACTGTGGTTGTAACGACAGCGCCCGTGGCAATAGACCCCAGTATCACAGAGGTCAAGACAAAGATGATAGCCACAGCCGACCCTAGAAGGGTACCAGTAAGTCGCACAATGGAAACGTATTGATCAAAGAAGATGTAAAACTTGGAATATGGGAAGACGTCGATATTATGCTCCTGTGATATGCCATCTGCAATCCGGCGAGCTGCAATATACGCCTCGATGAATTCATCCTGGCTCCGAAGGGGCGTGTGACTAGTACGGAAATGGCTGGCATTGATCGTCGTGTACTCCTCGTCAATAACCAAAGCATTGCTGTAGGGTGCTTTGCCACCAAGGGGACATGAGGCATCAGTGGGAGCATCGATCCATTTTTTGGCATAATGGATAAATTCAGATCCTTCTGGCATTCCCGAGAGAGAGATGTTCCAGGCAGGAACGCGATCTTCGAAACAAAGCTTGCCATTTTCTTTGCAGCAGTCTTGCTGGGGGTTTAACCAATAGAGGAAATCATCAATCCAGCTCGCGGCAGAACCTGCAAGATAAGAAACATCCGGACGCTTAGACTCTTGCTCGAGGATAAAGGGCAGTGAGTATTCCTCGCAAGTGGTGAACCGTCCACAGAGCTGCTGTTGGTGACTTCGCTCGGTGGCATTCACATTCCGGGTCACGAAGTAAACCGGGGGCCCCGCGCCAAAGTATGAATCCAAGTCGTTGAAATATGAAATCAGATACGAGTCGCTGGGAAGCGCAATCCGTTGATCTAACCCAAGAGGAACCTCGGGGATAAAGGCTAGACCAGCAGTCAAAAGGCCCAAGAAAAATATAACAACCCCAACTTTCACACGGCGATCCAGGAGGAAAGGAGCGTAGACCCGACGAATAAATGCCTGCAAGGTACTCTCCCCATCCTGTCCATCGTAGATTTCCTCAGGGAAGCCAAACGAGTTTGCTTTTCGGACAGTAAGACAAGGGATACAGTCGGCACGGAGACTCTGCACCCGTCTCTGGTTCAGGGCCAAGACGGAGATGAACATGGTAATTTGCAGGATGGCATTAATGAAGACAGCACCGGCGGCGTACGCGGCAAAGTTCTTGACAGCAGGCATACCAACAAAGACGCCCAGGGCAAAGGCCACCGTCTCCGTCAAAGCAGACAGGAAGATGCTAGGTCCGATTCGACTAACCGCTCGAGCAATTCGCTCGTCAATTTCTTCATCGGGATGGCTGATATTGACTCGCTCGAATTCGTGGACGATCAAAAAAATGTTGTCTACTCCCACTGCCAGGACTAAGAATGGAATGACTTCAGCAATGATCAAGGTCACCTTGACACCCGCTGCCGAGAACAGTCCGACCGATGCGGAAACAGACATCAAAACAATGATGATCCCGACGATGCCCAGTGTAAATTTAGACTGGACAAGAGCATTGGACGGGTTGGTCAGCAGAGACCTCCAGGTAACTGTGACCGAACCTAGGGCCATTGAGGCGTAGAGGAACATGATCAGATAACTGATTACAACGATCTTCGCATCTGTGTTGGTAGACTTGTTCAGCTCCTGCTCCAAACTGACTTCGGAATTGAACGATACGCGAAGGCCTCGCTCGGCAGCTTCTTCTTGGACTACCCCGAGAACGGCCTGGAAAGTGTTCTCCCAATCGATAGCTTTTGTTTCTTCTTCGGTTCCCTGCGCGTAGTTATTTACCACCCAGGTCACAATGAGTGCCTGGGCATCCAGAACATTCCCTGTGTCTTCATATCCACCAAGGATCATTTCGGGCTTGAGGGGCTGCGAGAAATCGGGGAGACAGCTAGGGTCTCCGGGTGACTCTGTACAGTGGCTAAGTCTGTCCTTCCATGTATCTGGGTCAAGGTTTGAGACAGAACCGCCGAAATACCCAGTGACCGATTGCACGACACAGGCTTCTCCGGTCGGTTTGAAACAAACGTCATCGAGGTTGAGAGCCTGGTCCAACGAGATCACACGTCGCACGCGAGACTCGACGTCAAACCACCAGGTGAGGGTTTCGTAGTCCAAGAGTGGACGTGAGTCGTTCTCTGGGCGGTTATTCACCAAAAATGCCTGCTCAGCTCGGTAGAATGGACCAAAGCTCTGATCAAAGAAATCCTTCTCCTGGGCGGCCGCAGATGACGGACTCACCCAGAGTCGCACCGGATCCGTTTCAACGGTGAATCTCAGCCACCCTAGGCTCAGCAGCGTAACTCCGATGACGCTGGCGGATATTGTTATTGCTGGGAACCGCGCACAAGCACCTCCAATTCGGTGGAATAAGGCTGACAACATAGAGTTGAGCTTGTACACCCCCTGCGACCGTTCCATATATCCTCCACGGTGCATGGTTTCCCCTTCATCTTCGTCATCGCTGGGCGTGGGATCTTGCAGCAAGCGCACCCGCTCTGGTTTGCGGTACCGGCGCTCCTTGTATGTGACGTAGCTCGCGAGAGCGATAACAAACAATAGAAAGATGGAATAAACGAGAATGACGGCAAAAGATAGACATGGTAGAAGTCCTACATGACATATCTTGTCGGGAGAGATGGCGGGCAACTCCGGACACACATCCGGGCAATCGACACAGGAGCACCGGAATGATTTGTCCTCGTCATTGCAGGCCTTTGGCTTTATTGACAAAGCCTCCATTCCTTGCGGGTCAGACCCACTGGGCTCTGTGTGATAGTTAATCTGGAACGGGCTTCCCAGAAACTTCTTATCACCTAAGAATTTCATGAAATGGGTATCGTCTTTCGCACCACCACCAATGAAGTCGATGGCTTTTCCGCCCGAAGCACCGTTCTTTACATTCTTGCAGCTATCGAAGAAGCCGCTTTGGTACTCCTTGGACCAAATATTGTCTAACTCGGTCACACGTCTTTTGCCAGAGCTGTTTTCTTCCGTTTTGGTGACATTGACGAAAAGCGACTGGTCAGGAGAGCATGTAAAGGTACAGAATATGTTGAAGAAGTTGTCTCGGCAGGCTGGGCAGGATGCGATGATTCCCTCTGCTAGTTTGAGGTTACTTGAAAGCGCGTCGATCTATGGTTCATCAGCATGGTGGAATAATAGATACAGGCATGACAACCTTAATTGAAATCATAGGTCGGGATTGCTTACCTGTTCATCCCGACAACAGACCGGGCCTTCACTCCACTTGCTGCCACACAGATTTACCAACTTCTGGCGTACTGCATCTTCTGGTTGTTGCGCCAGGTCATTATCTGGACAGGGTAGTTCTCCCCCCGAAAATTGACTGCTTTCCACAATGACCTCGAATAGCACAACGGCCCTTTTCGTGGATTTTGGTTTCGCCCTGTGCGCCAACAAGCATGGGCGCAAAGGAGCCCAGCCCAACGATCACAGCGATAGCCCTAGGAAACCGCATGTTCTAAGGAGGGTGAGTATGGTGAGAGAAAGGACCCTTTATACCAGTCTTCAATGAATATGCCGAAGGCGACACTTTCACTACTGGAGGTTGGCCATGCACTGGTTGGTCCGTGTGGGGAAGGTTGCAGCCCCAGCTCAGGAGCTGGTGCAAGGAGGAAATGCGAATTCGAATGATAATTTGACGATGGGGATCAATACAAAGATCAGATTAAGATGAATAGTTCAAGCTTGATTATGGCTATGATAGAAGAAGCGATAGAGTAAGAGATAGAGTAAGAGAGCAAAGCCAGCCTTTCAGAGTTGAGTGACGTGAAGGCGGAGACTCCCGGTACATTTTGTCCCCCGCACGGTCACCACAGTCATCACAGTCACCACCGTCACCACCGTCACGCAACAAACCCATGAAAGTACCCGGCGCTAACGTCAGGCACGATGATTTGGCTAACTATATCGTGGCTCAAATCACGTTGTATAACTGACTTTCTTCTTCTTGGCATTTAGAACTAGACCCAGATTACTCAAAATATATGTACAGATGATTTTGAATATATATAATAGTATATATATATATATATATCTTCTTGTGTTATCACTCAAAGAGACATTAAAGTAAGCTACTAGGTATATAACTAGGGGTATTTTGAGTCTACATCGTCAGCCCTAAGATATGCCCTTTTGTAATTGTACTCATGATTTCATTCAGAAAAATAATACAAACATAGAAATGACCGACTCCGAGCTGAATCGCATTCTATGAACAGGAACTCCGAGTCTCAGAACAGAAGAGACAAATATGAACTGCATCTGCATCGCCAATGATTCAGTTAGCGATGAGAACAAATATGAGAAGAACCCAGAGAGATATCATGACGTGTCACATGTGAAAAAAAAAATTTGGTAAACCCATTCGCCCAAGGGGTATCATCACAATCCGGGCCTGGCAACATAAACATGCAACTTAATAGTCATCTTCTTCCAACTGTTGGTAAACGTGGCGGGTTCGGGCCGGATCCTTGCGCATGGTTTGTCCAGAACCTGTAAATCCCACTAAGAGATGAGACCAATTAGCATCCACCAGAGTTGAGAAAAAGAAAAAAAAAAAAAGAAAAAACAATTGAATAGAAAACCCATACCTCGTGCATTGATACCTTCCCCAGTGCGGAACATGCTCTCCTTTTTGCCGAACGCACCCTTGCCTTTGCCCTTGGTCTTTGCAGCGAAATCTTTCCACTTATTCTTGCCTTCTTCGAGATCCTTTCCCGCTTTGACCTTGCGGGTCTTCTTAGCGGGAGGAACAAGTCCACCAGCCTTGTTGGGTTCGTTGCGAGCCTGGGTAGCTAGTGCGGGGTTGATATCTGCCGCGGCAGAGATCACACCGGGGTGAGGGGGAGCGGGCGAGGGCGATGCCGAACTGCCTGGGGTTCCATCAGCCTTGCGTTTGCGCGAGTCAGTGCCAGAGATGGGTCGGATATCCTTGGCTGTCAAATTTTCCACAGTTGCATATGACTTGAATGTGACAAGGTAGACTGGGTTGGTCGATGAGCCAGTGATCGAGTTAATTTTGGCCGGGTAAAAAGCACGATCGCCGGAGACCCAACGCGCAAGAACAGTGTCATTCACCGAGAATGATACGGGAGTAGTAGGTACAGCAGATGCCTCCTCTGCATGTTCAGTAGGTTTGGGGAAACCATTATCCTTGAATCGGTCAGCCTTGGGAGCCGGTTTAGCGGGTGCAGTGGACTTGAGTTCGGCGATTTGGGTTTGGAGAACGGTGATGTATTCTTCGAGTTCGCTTTTGAGGCTGTTTAGCTCCACACTATCCGGGTCTACCTCCAAGCCTAACGCGACGGTTTCCATCTGTTGATTTTGAGTTAGTTCATGGCGTGCGTGGTGGCCGTTTGGGGCATTAACTGACCTGAGACTTGCATTCTGTGAGATCTGTCTCCAAGGAAGCGATGTCAGCCATGATGAGATTCTGATTGAGTTTGATTCGGAGGAACAGAGGAATCTTCAAGATCGTGATATTAGAAATTGAATCTGTCTGACGCGTATCGGTAGGAAGTAAGTGTGGAGAAATAATAATTATTATGTTCTTGGTATCTCATGGCAAATTCATCTCTGATCACGTGAGTTCTATTTCCGCCTTTTCTCCGCCAATATATGGTTTTACGCCACTATGTAACTGCCTCGGTACCTAGGTACCTAGCATGGATTAGTTGACTAGTTATGTAATAGTACTTAACTAAGTAGTTAACTAGTTAGTTATGGATCGAGACTTGACTTGGGGGTCATGGGGTAGGTAAATTAAGCTATTTCTATCTAAATTAGTAGACAAGCTTTGTTCGGTGTGATGATATATATACATGATGTAGGTTATTATCTTATAGTATTGGAGAATCCACTTTTTGCGGATCGAACGGGGATATGCATGTTAAAATGTCTACATTGCTTTAGAGCTATGGAGTATGGAGTACTCCATACAAGTATGTTATATGCTATATAAACCCATGTCCAATAAATTCCCCTGTCCTATTGGGCTAATAGGAAAAGTGGCAAGTGGCAAGTGGCAACGTCATTAAATGGTCGGACCTCCGGATACTTAAATCTCGGACCGGAGATTAGGAGACCCGTGGGCTAGACCCGAATATGCATATGGTACATGTACCGTACCCATGTACTCATGTACTCCCGTACGGAGTAGATTACAGCTAGTTAGTTATATTGCCAGTCAAGTTATGAGTCAAATAAGATGATCAGATAAGAATACACTTGGATTTCAGGAGTAGTTAACCAGTACTGCTGTATGTTAGGACTTGAGAGAAGCTACTCGAAGTGGAGAAGAAAAAAAAGAAAAAAAAAAGAAGAGAAAAACTGATTTCAAAGCAAATCCATCAATAGCCAATAGTATCTTCGAAATCATTCACCGCCCCATCTATGATCGCCCTTCTTCCCCTCCTCCAATCCTCCAGTCATCCAGTCATCCAGTCATACCCTTCCTTTCATCATTTCTCTTGAATTCTGCAAATTCTCATATTTTCAATTTCAATTTGTTTTTTCAATCTTTCCATATCAGCCTCGTATTTTGAGCCACACTTTGACCGTAATTTGACTAGCGGGGATTCTGTCCTCAGGCCCCTCTTGAGAGAGCCGCTAGAAACTCTTCTTCTTCTTTCCCCCTCCATATCCAGATATCGCCCCAATATCGCCTCACCACCAACAACCCCCATATTTGCAATTTTTATTATCGGTTTTTACTTACGACTGATAAAGATCCAACATACAATCGGATTGTTGAGATTGTTCACTCACAGCTCCGGCTAAGCTGTGAAGGTTATATTGTGAGGATCGAATCATCCTCCAACCCTCGTCGTTTTACGGCATCCATCTATATCTGTTACGGGCGGGAGGCCCGGCTGGACTCTGTCGTTGAAACCCATTCAATATCCATCTCATCACCCCTTTTTTGGTTTCTTGTCAGCCCCTCTTATTGAAAATAAACCGTCACAATGGGTGATTACGAACGATTCCAGCAAGGTCTTTACCTTTCCCCAAACCAGCAAGATCTCCTGCTTGCCGCTCTATCCTCCAACAACCCCAGTCAAAAGCCCCAAAGTGGCTCTCCCCCGCTTAAGTCCTCTCAGAGCCAGAGCCCCGACGAAAATTCCTCAAACGGTCTCAGCGCCCCTCCCTCGGGCGGGTTTGACAATCCCCATGCCAACAATTTCGGGTTTGGGGATGACGAAAGCCCTTTCTTGGATTTCACCCCGGACGTTGACTTCGATTTCCCCGGTTCCGCTGACTTGATTGGGGACCTACCGGGATCGGCCGACTACGATATCGGCGGGAAGCGAAAGTCCCTCGACGGAAGGTCGGACATGGAAGGGGAAGAGACCGGAAAGAAACGTAGGGAAAGTGAGGCCAAGAAGCCTGGTAGGAAGCCACTGACTTCAGAGCCTACTACGGTATGCCACTCTTGCTGCACGCGGAAGTTGCTGGGACTAGAGTCGTGAACTGACGTGATTGAGCAGAAGCGCAAGGCCCAAAACCGAGCTGCACAGCGAGCCTTCCGCGAACGCAAGGAGAAGCACTTGAAGGATCTGGAGGATTCCGTGGAAATGCTGCAGAAGACATCGGACATGACAAACCAAGAGAATGGTTTGCTGCGTGCCCAGGTCGAGCGGTTGCAGGTCGAGCTCCGTGAGTACCGAAAGCGCCTTTCCTGGATGGCCTCGGGATCGGGAAATGCAATGTCGGCTATGAGCTCGAATTCCATCCCGAATGCCCATTCCAAGGGAGCCTATGGCCTCCAAAACAATGAGTTTCTCTTCGACTTTCCTAAGTTCGGCGATTTGCCTGGCAGTCATCTCTTCAATGGACAGGCCAACAAGAATGACCAATCCAAATCCAATGTCAACACCTCTCAGGCACCTGGTGTCTTGGGTCGTGACAGTCTGAACACTCCTTCGTCTCGATCGAACTCTCGTGCCCCGTCGAACAAATCGAAGTCTCATGGAACTGTTCACAGCGCTACTTCCGCCAAAGCACCCTACTCTGGCTTCAAGTCTTCCGGAAATGATACCTCTACTTCGGAGAATTCTCCATCGTCTTCGTCCGACTCGCACCAGAGCCAGATGCTGTCCTCGAACGGGACTTCCCCAGAACCAAGTCTGAACTCTCCTACAGAAGGGCAGTACCGCGAGCTGGGACCAGGTGATTCGTGCGGCGGGCATATCACCACCGATGGCGAGAAATCCTTCTGCGCACAGCTTGGTATGGCTTGCGGGAACGTCAAAAATCCCGTCCCAGCGGTCCGGGATAACAGCAGATCCAAATCCCAGAGTGTTTCGAGCGGCCAGCCCACCCCAGTTGATCGCCCGGCCGAGGGCGAAGATCCTCCGGATCTCGGGATCGATTGGTTGGCTCATCAGAATGGCGGCCAGTTCGACCCAGTGCTCTTTGGTGACTGGCGAGAGCCCCAAGATGCTGTGCTGTCTCAGGATTTCGGTTCTTTCTTCAATGAAGCATTCCCTCTGCCGGACCTGGGTAGTCCCTCCCACAACTTGTCCGAGGTCGCCACCGACGCGACCCAACCCAAGAAGAGCCTCCTTGCCCAGGTTGATAGCAGGCTGGAGGAAGATGAGGTCGTTCCAGGCGAAGACCAGTCGCAGATGCTGTCGTGCACAAAGATCTGGTATGTCCATGCTCATATCCATATTCATCAATTCATTTTGCTCCAGCTTACTGACTTCTTTTTTTTTTTCTTTAGGGATCGTCTTCAATCCATGGAAAGATTCCGCAACGGCGAGATCGATGTTGACAATCTCTGCTCCGAGCTTCGCACCAAGGCCCGATGCTCTGAGGGTGGTGTAGTCGTGAACCAGAATGACGTTGACGACATCATGGGACGAGCCAAGTAGCGACTTGCTTCCAGCAGGCTCACCATCACCGCCGCCCTCAGCACACCTCATACTCGGGCTTAATTCACGATTCACGGACCACCACCAACTCACTGATACTCGCGTTCTTTTGATTTCTACGCATACCCATCATCGATTGTCATTTATAGGAGGAATCCTGCTCGGCGTCATGAACACAACACAGGATAAAAGAGGAAAACTCATGGGAGGGGAGAAATAACATCCAATTCAACGGATTTTTGATTTTGAACACAAATCTTTTTGTCAATGCCCATATTTAGGCAATCTATCAATGTCCCATCATCTCAAGGGGACAACACATTCCTTCTTTTTTACTTTCTCGCCCACATTTGCCTATTTATCCTCCTCTTTTTTGCAACAGTAATTGCCGTTTGATTGTTTCATGTCTGTTTTGATCGACATCGTTGAGCTTGTTGAATGGGGACCACCGTCTCATACTAGCCATGAAATTTAAACAAATACGGGATGGCACTTCCAATGCCTATTGTACGGAAAGGGACTATGGCGAACTTGATATACTACTTCCCTTTACAGCTGGGACTGGACGACTCTGCTTTGCGATGTTCAATGTACTTTTTCTTTTTTGTACACAATCTGTTCCTGAATGGTTCTCTACTCTACTCTGTACCATCGACTCATTTCTATCAGTCCACACGCTTTGTACGCGAGAGAAAGAGCACGAAGTAGCAATCTCGTAGATCTACAGACTTTTAAAAGAAGCTGTAAGGGTATCGATGTGGTCCACGGACATAAAACTAAAGTACAAAGAGAAAAGAGGTCAAAGGGTGTGTATTCTTTTTTTCCTTTCTTTTCCCCTGATGTTTTCTGCATCCCCTCCTCCCTCTGCAAACAAAAAAAAAAAAAAAAAGAAACACTGCCCGGAGCTCACCGAAGGACTCACTCACTTCGGAGTCCAGATCAACGCTGCAATTCGTTCATGCTCTGTGTCTCCGACCAGACTTGAGAACAAAGAGCATGAATGTTGAGCGCTATCAGAGTCAAAAAGGCAAAAAGAAGATTTGCAAATGGGACGAGATAAAAAAAAAGACACAAAAGAATTAGAGTATCAAAGAGGTGTAAGATCGAGGCAATGTCAATGGCCGGGGGAAAAATATGAGACAGGGAAATTCCCATGTCACCGATTAGGCGTCGCCGGATGCGACAGGCTTGTCACCTGAGGGAGCAGGAGAGTCATTGGGGCCACTCTTGAAGCCGCCCCGACCTCCGCCACGACCACCACGGCCTCGCTCGCCACTGCCACGGCCGCCGCGGCCGCGGCCACCGAATCCACCACGGCGACCGCCATCGCTGTCACTGGCGCTTTGGTACCCACGGGGAGCGGTATTGATGCCACCACGGGTGCTGGACTGCCAGGTTCCGGCGTTGCCGACAGCAGCACGGGTGCTGCGATCCTCGAAGAACTTGAAGTTGGGCTTACGTTGCTGACCATGGGGAGTGGGACCGGGCTTCTTCAGCTCAATAGGCAGGTGGTCCAAAGCTGCCTTAGCCTCTTCGGCGCCCGAGAAGGTCACAACGTGGTTGTACTTGCCGAGCTTGTCGATCTTGGTGATCTTCGATCTGTCCTCCTCAGAGATGAGGTCACGGACAACCTGTTCGCTTTCGGCGCTTGTGACGAAAAGAGCATTCGCGGGCTTCTTTTCGGCCCGAGGTGCAGGTGATTCACTTGGCTTTTCGTGCGGGGCGGTACCGTTGGTATCGGCAGCTGCAGTCTTCTCCTCCCCGGTGGGCTGAGCAGAGGCGGCAGCAGCTGGCTGCGGGCTAATGGACTTGGGAATCACGGGAACAGGAGAAGCTCTCGGTCCCTTCTGACCTTGAGGAATGGGTGCACGCGTAGGAGGGGCTTGACCAAACTGGGGAGCCACGACGGGGGTCCGGGCAGCGCCTGTCGGGGCGGGCGAGGCAGTGGTCGCTGGGAGACCGCTGGATACAGGCTGAGGAGCACCACCTGCCTGGGGCTTGCCAGTGCGGTGGGCGAAGTTGAATCCTTGAGCCCGCATCTCCGTCGCGATGCGTCCACCTTCAACCTCCAGTACGAGATATCCGAACGCGGCATCCGCCAAGTTGAAGTTCCACATGTTCTTGAATGCACTTTCATCGACCTGTCCAGCAGCATTACCAGCGGCAACGGGGCCACCGAATGGATTACCGCCATTGGCAATGGAAGGCATCTTGTGAACAACATCCAGGGCATTCTCTAGGAGAGTCTTCTGCCCATCATTAGAGGAGATAGCTGCCTCAACCTCGATTTTGACCGTCTCCCATACATCGTTGAATGATGCCTTAGAGGCAGCAAGCTTTCCGCGATAGTGGTCCAAGGACGGGTTCACGGAGAATTCATTGTAGGAGGAACCGTAACGGAAATGAAGACCAGCTGAAATGGAAAAATCGGCCTTTAGCGTAACAGACAACTGGTTCAGCATGCCCTCACGTGCAGGGGAAGCGTGGGTGACAAAGACACGAGTCTCAGAGGGGTCGTAGACACGATTGGCGGTGTCAATGAGTTCGCCCATCTGCAAAAGTGTTGTCCACATAGTGCCTTGGCCGCCGGCAATAGTCGTCTTTCCCTCACCATTGTCGAAAAGCTTGTGCATCACGACAGCACCTCCCAGACCCAGCAGACGGAGCTTCACACCGCCGATATCGAGAAGGCGCGAGTTGGCCTCATCGATAATGTGAAGTTTATCTACCTTGTACTCACCCGACCGGAACTTCTCCAACACGCGCACATCTTCGCAGGCACCCCAAACTGTGTAAACCGGGACATCAAGGGTGATGCGTTTGTCGAGAAGCATGGAGAGCTCGGAGAGGGGCAGTTGCTCGGGCGGGAAGCGCTGCTTAATTGATTGCTGGGGAGATACCTGTGCGATGGACCGTTTCACGTTCTCGGGAAGGAGGGGGAATATTGTGCCACATGCTTCAAAGTCCTTTTCATAGATCCAGGATTAGCTGATGCTGTGCGGTGTATTTCAGTGCCTTGTGAGGCGATGTGTTGGGCATCAAACACGCGCCGAAAAGCTTGGGAAGAATACTCACTTGTCCGCAATCCGCTCAAGTGAAGTGTCATCGTAGAAACCAAAGTCACCGGTGTGAATGATATGGTCGGCGCGAGCCTGCTTCGCAAGCTCGTTAAGAGACTTCAAGTTTCCTGTTTTACGGGTCCAATTAATACTGTGTCACTTTTTGCCAATGATAATACTCCCAGAAAGTAATTACCTCGCACGTCTGCAATGCATAGGATTCGTGTCGGACCGCTCTGGATCACACGGCCATTGTTGGGGAGAAGCGGCGTGGCACCGGGGACAGGGCCCGGAGCTGCACCATTCGAAATAGGGTAGCCTTGAGCACCGAAGTTGGGGCGGGGCTATAGATGAAAAGGAAGTGATGATATTAGCCAAGCTGCCTAAGATCTCAAGATGTGACATTCATCCCGAGCGGGTAGAAGCTGGGGTGCGCAAATGCGAGGGGAGAGGTAAGGTCAGGGAGCAACTTACAGAAGCCATGGAGTTTTTTTATTAAATCGATATGGATCAGAGGATATGGAGTGTGTGATCAAGATGAAGGAGGAGAGAAAGAAGGGAAAAGAAGGAAGGGAAAGGATGAAGGTGGGTGTGTCGAGGGGAAAAAGATGTCGAAGATTCACTTTCTCGTCGATGAAGCAGCAGGCGTGACATGAAGATTAGGTAAGCCACCCCTGGGCCGATACGGAGTACAAACAACACTCTTTATATCCATGCATAGGACCTTCAAATGTTTGCACTAAGTTGATTGAAACTAACTGACTTGACTCTTTTGGCTCTCTTTAATAGATTACATTACTCTTACTGCTAATAGGATAGGGTGTTTCCCTCCCCTTTATTGGCCCGAGTTAGAAGTACAATCTCGTCCTGACCTTGTTATAGTCTGACATTGGAAGTAAGACAGACTCTCCTTATCCTATCATCTAGGACATATGTTTCCATATGATCTGTCAACACCAAACTGATAGAGCTTAATTCCCATCTCAAGGTGTCTCGACTATCAGGTATGAAGCTATCCTACTGTATAGCGCAGATGCCTGACCAGCGACACCGTGTCTCAAAGTTCTTCGATATGGCTCTCAACGAGATATTGCTGCCTATCCAACATCTGTACAACAGGGTATGACACTCCCCCATGCCGATATGATAAAGATTGAATGGATCGAGGGCCCTTCAATGCCAATAACGCAAAATGACCACCCACAGTCGGACGGGCCCGACACAAGATAGGCACTCCTGGCTCATTTCCGTGTGCGGAAGTTGCAACATACCGATCAGAGAAAGGCCAGTTGTGTTTTCCGTTGGTCATGAATGACCACAAGTCATCGACGAACTCATCCCTGGTGCTCGTCTCAAAGGTGCCAGCTAGCCACATATTCCAATCTGATTTGGCCCAGTCTTGCCGATTATCGAGAGGGACCCCATATTCACCGCGAACTGATGTGAAAAATCTACTTCCCATTTGATAGGCAGCGTCGGAGAATGTCTCCAGACCTAGCAATACATCAGGGAAGAGATTGTATGGGGTCTTCCAGGTATCTGGCCAGTCGGGATATTCCAGAACAAAATGTGTCTGATCTTTGTCTGTTCCCAGGCCTTGCTGGAAGAAGATATTTGCATGTTCCTCACCGATGCGGGAGTAGAACTCATCTCCACTCATCTCCCCAAACGCCTTGAGACCAACTGCGGCCTTGATTGCCAGATTTGTCTCGTTGGCGAGGGGTCCAGCTGCATCATTCGACGACAGCTGATTGGCAATATCAACACTATTGCCTACCAAGTAATCTGCATACTTCTGGAAAACCTCCATGTACTGTGAAGTCCAATCGGTATCCCCAGTGGCTCGAACATATGCAGCAGCTAAGATGAGCAGATTTCCACACTCCTCGATGGACATTGGCTCTGCTTCCTGGTCATCGTGGCCAATGGCACGGGGATAATGAGCGCCGAGGTCATGGATCATGTATGGCAAATGCCAGCGACCAACAGCAAGGTACTGCATCACAGGCTCCAGTAACAGTCGGATGTAATCCGGATCCATGATGTAATAAATTGGGAATGCAGGCATGATCACGTCGATTGTGTTGATATTTCCATCACTGGAAAGCTCCTTGATAAAAGCCAAAACCTCGTCTGTGTCGAGAGAGTTTTTGGGAATAGCCAAGTCGATGCCTCCGTATGCTTGTCGGGTCGAAAGAGCTAGGATATCTGCGTACTTGGGGCCAGCTGTGGCGGTCGATAAGGTTGCGAGCTCCTGATCAAACTTTAAGGACTCTAGCAATGCGCTTCTGTAGTCATCTAAGAAGAATGAGAGGGCACTCGATGTGGTCGGGTACTCTGCACGATAAAAACCCGTGTACGCTTCTCCCATATAGTCGATGGCGGTTTCTCTGTCGTATCCTACCACGAAGTTTATAGAAAGTCCACCAGTTACTTTACCAAATTTGTGAGCCAGTGCGACAACACTTCCCTCGCGCCAGATATCATCCTCGCCGGATAGCTCACCGTCCTTGACGAATAGACCTCGTACGTCCTCGGGACTTCCCGAGAGGGCGGACAATCGAGTGACGCTAGAAGGTCGAGAGGCGAGGATTGCTGAACCCCAAAGAGCCATGTCGTCTGCCTCAGCATATAGCGGTGCGTCTTCGACTGTGAGCGAGTAAAAGGCTAGACCGTCTCGTTCTCCAAAGTCGCGCCTTGAGCGGCTTTCTCGGCCAGTCCACCTGGCATCGATATCCGAATACACCTGGATATCATGACCGTGTGCTTCAGATACATGCACTGTCAAATAACCTATTTATTGTTAGTAAATTCAACGAATACACCATCTACTATACTCTGCATAACCCACTAAAAGGAAGCGACTGTCGAACATAGTTTGACGGAGACACAGGCGACAAGAAATCTAGCGTGACTGCTACGGTACCAGCCGTGAGATCAAATATTGAGTGCGTAGCAGTGAACTCAGCACGAGACACCGTCGCAGGGCGGATATTGCTTGCGTCCGGGTCTGGTACACCCATTAGACTATATGCCTGACCATCGACACGAACAATCACGGACCAGCCAAGCTTCTGGCCCGCCCAGAATTGGGGTTCAGCGGAGGGTAGCTGCTGTACTCGGTCGCTGGGCATCCATGCTGATAGATACGGGTTGCGCACTGCCAGCGGGTAGGATGGCGGGAGGACGGGGTGATGTGTTACAGAACTCGACTCCTGACCTGAGTAAAAAGAGAGCACTGATGCGTAGAGGGAGCCCAGTCCCAATGAGCTTAGATTAAATCGCATGTTGACATTTGTGAGGCCATCCGTGCATGTGTCAGATGTTGAAGTGTGTGATCACACGTGTTGGGCATATATATTGTAGATGGAAATATAAACAGTTTAATAGATGTCAGTATGTCACCTTTATCAATCGTTAACTATTCAAGGGAAGTAGTTGTATACTGTTGAAGTTAATACCCGGACTTGCAATGCGGTTAGTTTTGCCTTCTCCGCCCTCTGTTGCTCTGTCTCTTCTTCCTCCCACTCTCTACCTTGCACTCAACCCCTACCAACCCCTACCAACCCCTACGTATTGGCTCCTAGGCTAATGTACTACCCCTTTTTTCCCCAAGGTCGTTGTGGCCAATATTGGCTACCACCCTATAAAGTCGCTTATCGCGGTGATATAGAGTATAGTGGTACTATATGATTACGCTTGGCTAGTTTCTAACTATAGAAGCTATTTTAGATTTCATTTAAAGCTATCTATATCGCACTTAACCTACAAGGTGCCCTATTAAGCGATTAGATCCCTCTGCCTTGACATCTCCCATGGGACTATAAACAGCGCAAACGGGGATAAATTCGTGATTTGCATAATTGTATGGTTTTATGCTAATCTTTTTAGGTATTTTATTTACAGCAAAGCCGCCCAACGGATGACGACTATGCGCTATATACAAGCGCTATATTTACATCGGAACACCAACTACCAACAAGTTCAGAGATCGCCCGCGATCACCGTCCCAGGTACCTAAAAGCTCCCCCCAGTGATTTGTACAGTATAGTCCAACCCAGACGTGACCTCGCTAGACAGCTTAAACGCATCATACTGGATCAACTCCGCTGGCGTATTCACAACAACAAGGCTGGCCTCCTCACTCCCACCCACAGTCACCTCACCACTGCCATTCTTTAGATCAACGTATCTCACCACCCCACTATCCTTGTTCCTCACGGCCAGCGTCGACGTAAACGCCGAGTTCGACTGCACAGTAACACTCACACTCCCCTCGCCAGAGACTTGAATTGGGTTGATATTCGCCCCAAGGTACTGCGGCTGCCGGGCAGCCTTCACAGTATAACTCTGCCCACTGCCTTCCAGATTCTCATAGCCCAGAGTCTCCCTTTGTTCCAGGAACGCCCGGTTCGCAGCCTCATTCCCAATGTCCACATACGCCATATGCGCCCAGTATCTCCCGACAACCTGCTGAACCGTCGCCCGAGTCCCGAGCAGCCTCTGCAACGTGTGCAACGGAGTCTCGTTACTCCCAACTTCATACTCCAGATTCAACCTGAGCACCGCATCCTGGCCCAACCCGGTAAAGTTATCCGGGTTATTCGTGAAGTAGGACAAGATAGGCCAGCTCTGGTAATAATTGCCGGAATCCACACTTCCATCCACAATCACCTGGTAGCTATCCCCAATCACCTTCTTAAGCTCGATCATGCTATTCCCGGCTTGTTGGGAATACTTCTCTCGCGCACTCGCGCAAAGATCAGACGTCATCCACGTATCCGCGAACCAATTCGCCAGCGGCTCCCACCAAGCCCCCGTAGCAGTCTGATCGACCCAGTTCTGTGCGTGATAGGTAAGGGCATGTCCGTATTCATGGACCGTAACCGACGGATCGGCAAGGTAGGTGTTCACGACCTGCACGAAGCTGAGGCCTGTCTCCGGGTCTGAGCCCATTACGCCTGCGGCGCTGCCGAGCGAATCAACGGGGTAGATGTTCTCCTTGTACCAGACATCCGCAGTGTCGGAGTCAGAGTTGTACGAGAGACCGGAGGAGCGCCATCCGAGGTCGGCGACAAAGCAGGTATATGCGGACTCGAGCATCTGGAGGGTTTTGTCTGCTTCGTCACCGGTTGCGCTGTACACTCTAAAGCGGGGCGAGTCGGTGAACGTGTTGCCACCGGCGCCGACATTGGGGTTTGCTGTGAACTTGGAGGGTTCCGTGCTTGCAGCACCGGGGGTGGTGGAGGCCTGGGGGTTTGGGGTTGCGAGGGCGCTGGCGGCGAAGAGGGCCGCTGCCGCGTATTTGGATGGGGACATGGTGGTAATTGATGTTCGCTAACTAGTTACTGGTATGTAGTCTACTGGGCTTCATCGTGCATTTATAGCGAAGGCTGAATTAGCCAAGACGGACATATTATTGCGCAGGGTTGTTTCAGTGAACTATCGAGACGCGCCAAGAGTTTGTGATAGATTGGCAACGCCAAGAGCTTTTGGCAGAGGACTCACAGTGAAACGCACTAGGACTGCCTATGCCTAAGATCTGGCAGGACTGCGATATTGATCTATTAAAGGGGTAATTATAGTTATGCCGAACTGTTCAAGCACTTCTCTAATATGTTATCCAAGTCGTTGTTTAAACATTGCTACTGTCTGACTAGTTAGTTATATATTTATATAGTCTAGTTAGTCTGTCAGTCTATCTGTTACAACCTAATGCGTATTGTTGTGTTGATTTCCCCGTGGGTAAGGAGTAAACAGTGGAGACTTATTTTAGCTTGTTTAACCGTGTCTCTCTCCTGAAGAAGCGTAGAGAACTATCTGTGAACTGCTTCTACCCCTTTGTATTATTCTTTTATGATCTTCCTTTTTTGTTAGTAGTGGTTGGTTATCATCGCTTCTGTTTATCTTGCTGGTGAGTCAGTGGTGACCTGTCAAAAATAGGGGATTGATAAATTCACCCCTCCCCTTATTAATAGAAGAAGATGCTTATTTCTATATGATTAAAGGCTTTATTCATATATAACTCTACCTATTCTGTATCAAACTGCCGCAGTACCTCCGGCCTTAGCGGCCTTAGCACCTTAGAACCTATTACTCCGCTTCAACCAGCCAGGAGAAACCCCATTCATCGTGACCTTTGATAGCCAGCTTTAACTTACACATTCGCCTTCATATAAAAACACCATAATGCCAATATTCGAGCGAATAATATCTCTTTTTGTTCAAGCTCGGTTTTGGTTGGGCGAGAAGCGCTTTGGCTCCTTAGGGCCCAGCGTAGTGAGAGTGAGCGAAACCCGAATAATCAAAGGCCCGTGTGAGTCGGCAGAGCTTGAAGGCCTGAAATATGCTGCACAGTACACTTCTATACCTGTTCCGAAAGTTCATCGAACCTACTGCGTTTCTGGACGTCTTTTTATCGAAATGGAATAAATCCAGGGGGCTAGCCTCAATTTATCATCCACTGAAAAGCAAGCTATCGTTAAACAAGTTGCTGCTTACATCGATTAACTCCGACTTCTCGAGCCGCCACAGAAAGGAGTTGTCGCTTCAGCAGGACTAGGACAATGCCTTGACTACCGTGTGGGGTACAATCCTTTCGGCCCCTTTTCCAACAGTGAAGAATTTCATTCTTTTCTCCGCAGACAAATCCCATTGGAGGATTGTACACAAGTGTATGGTGAAACTGTCACGCAGTGCCATTCTCGCCAATACCGGACCCATTTCACCCATGGAGATCTTTGCCCACGTAATATCATCATCCGCAATGGCGATATTGTTGCAATTGTTGATTGGCAATTCGCTGGATGGTATCCGGAATATTGGGAATATACCAAAGCGCATTTTGGACTTTTCAACATGCCGGACTGGTATGTCGGGTTTCAGAATGCTGTGCCTAGATACGATGATGAATTGGCTGCGGAACGTGCTCTCTGGGAGCAACTTGATCAACCGGGAATGGTGCAATGAGAATTCGAGGTTATTGGAATCAGAGCAAAGGTGTTACAACCTACCCCTGGACTGGCGAGTTACACACTAGGCCAAAAGACCATTATATCTGAGCATTACGCTCAGATATACCAGGTTCCGATATATATAGTGCATGACATGACAAAAGCTAAACAGGCAAAAGTACCTATTACTACGATGATTGTTCTTCGCATCTATAACGCTATTAAATTAATCAAACTAACTAGTCTATCTAGACATATTTCTCTTCTATGTCCTAGCAATATATATTGGTACTGTGGCTGAATGGCGTCAATACTTAAGCCGAGGCTTGGTAGAAGTATAGAAGTATAGAACTATAGAACTATAGAACATCATAAAATTCATCTAATTTCATTTCTATATCTATCTACAACTGGGCCTTTTCAATCCGTCGCCCAATCTCATCGAAATGAATCTGCTTCCCAGACACCAGTGCCTCCTGAAGGTATGAACCAATTTCAACGGCCTTGACAGCATTGCTTAACTTCATAGGAAGTGGGGTGTTGTCCAAGCAGGCCGCGGTGAAGTCATTAGCCTCTTGGACAAAGGCAGGGCTGAACCGACCCATGAAATTGTGAGGAATTTCGCGAGTAATGCCACCGTTGTGGTATAAGTTGACAAAGTTCCGCTGGGGGTTGCCATTCACCGTCAACTTGCCCTCGGTACCAATGATCTCAGTGGTGTCCTCCTGGCCAGCGGCCATCATGCGCGAGCAGTAATAGTAGGCAATCTTGCCATTCCAGAACTCCACAATGCCCACAGCATTATCGTAGTCGTTATATTTCTTCAGCTCTGGTTGAACTGCGGTGATACCGTGGGCAGAGATGCTCTTGGGGAGCACTTCATCCCCAAAGAACCACAGACTGAGATCGATGTCGTGCACAGACATGTCGACAAACACGCCGCCGGACCAGGCTGCATATTCAACGTAGAAGCCCGAGGGATCAAATTTGTCACAAGTCTGGCTGCGGATAATAGCTGGTCGTCCGATGAGGCCCTGCTCCATCTTGGTGTGGGCATCACGGTACGAATCGTCAAAGCGTCTGGAGAAGCCACACATCACCTTCAGATGGGGCTTCTTCTTAGCAGCCTGAACGACTGCTCTGCACTTTAAGAGGAAGATTGATCAGGATTCGTCATAGTTCCAAACGGGGAGAAATTCATACCACTTCAACATCGGTAGACAAGGGCTTCTCGCAGAGAACGTGCAAGTCTTGCTCGATAGCCTTGATTGTCTCCTCCGCGTGCACCGAGGTAGCCGTACCAATAGCAACAGCCTGTAGACCGTTATGCTTAAGCATTTCGTCGTAGTTGGTGTATAGCGTGACACCATGAGGCTCCAGGTTCACTCTTCCCCATGCAATCTCAGCAGGGTCTGGGGTGAATGCGGCAACAAGCTGTGCACGGGGTGTCTTCTGGAGAAAGTTGATAGCATGAAGCTTGCCGACTCGACCAAGACCGGCCATACCAACTTGTAGTTTCTGAACTGCCATGGTTTTGGAGGGGTTGAACAGGAGAGCTGGGAATAATTGATGTCTTTCTGAACCCTTAGTTTCCTGGGTCTTCGAGGGGGTTTAAATAGTTTAGAAAGAAGTTTTCTCATCTGCATCTTGATCGGTATATTGCTTTTGGTCTCAATTCAAAGTAAAAGTCCCCGTTGTAAGGATGTAAGGTGAACGGAAAGAATTGCCAGATGCAATGAAAGGGGAAGGTTTCTCAAGTTTGGGGTTCCCCCGCATTTATTCCTCGGCTACACGATTGATCTCCTTAGGCGATAATTTGGGGTTCAACTGTTTTGCTTGGCTATGTGATGCCAAGATATTTCGATCTCCAGATAATTCCATTTCTATGATATTTGTGTGGGTCATGCAGACTACCCCCGTGAACGGAGGGGGGCCGGAAAGAATTTCCTCCTTACAAAATCTCCGTGGAAAGCGACATGTCTCCAAGAAGAAGTCGCCTAGTGGCTGGCTGGTGGGTTAGCCAGTATTCCACTTGAATATGATGAACATCTCTGCTAATTGACCTGCGCAGCCAACGATGTCGTGGTAAGTCACCGTGGGGTAGGGATCAACGTACAGGGCCAGTTACTGAACCCCAGACAATTACACAGTCCGACACCTAAAATGTAAGAATTGCCGCCTAAAAAAACAATAGGATAGACTGACAAGCGTTTAGGCGATATCAGTGACCTGGGTTGCGAAAACTGTCAACAAGCTGGTGTGGATTGTGACAGGACCAATGTCCGGTTTCGCAATGGTCTCTCATTACCCAAAGACGCTGAGCTTGCCTTTTCGGAGAGCTTCTGGCCCCAGCTGCGTGGCAAAGGTAGTCAAACTGATTATTTTTGACTTAACTAAATTTAACCATGCGTTCTAGTGCGCTTCCACGACGAAACACCCGAGATCGCTAGCCTATACTCGACTATTCAGGATAGCCAGTCGACTTTTACCAATGACTCCAGTTGCAGGTTAGCAGTCGAGCGGAGAGAGGAGCTCGATATCCCCAGTGGTCTACTGGCACAGCAACCATATCCAGGTAATGAAGTCGATGAAGCCAATGCCTTGGCCCAATTCCCAGTTTCTACTACAGAGAGCGTATCATCCTCTTTCTCTTCTCCAAGGTCAATCCAATCAATAAACTCCTCTAAGCCTTTGCAACCACTAAGCGAAAGGGAAGCTATATTATTGAGGAACTTCGTCGAGAATATGGCACTCTGGGTGCGTGATGCTCGACAACATACCCATCTACAGCCACTAATCAGAACAGGCTGATATCACCGACCCCCAACGCCATTTTGAAACAGAGGTTTCAGCTCGGGCATTGAAGGAGCCTGTCTTGCGCTATGCAATTTTTGCATTTTCCTCACGCCATCTTAACCGACAGGACAACAGCGATGTAACAGAGGCACTGCAGTACCATAATCTCTGTTTGCAACTGCTTATTCCAGCGCTCTCTGGGGCTCGTGAGCACATCACCGAGGACATACTAGCTGCAGTCGCTATACTTCGGCAACATGAGGAAATGGATGGTCAGTCATCGATGCGGACAAGTAGCATGCGTCAAATACAAATGCTCACACATTCCAGGAGAGGACAATCAATTCCATCTCACCGGCACAACTCATATTCTAAATACAGTGTCAACCTTTGGTTCTTCGGGTGGCCTGGGCGAAGCTGCTGCTTGGCTGTGTTTGCGGCAGGATATCTATATCTCGCTAACCAGCCAACGGCCTCTGCGGACTAACCTACAAAGCTTCTACCAGTCAGATGTGTTTCAAAGAAATGATGACTTTGCATGGTCAAGCAGAATGGTCTTCCTCCTTGCTAATATTCTTCAGGGTGCTTTCACGGACTCCATTATAACCCATGGGACAGACCAGATCGAAGAGTGGTATTCCACTAAACCGCACACATTCGACCCAGTTCGATCAATCTCACAAGGCCCCGGGCCCGATCAACGACTCCCTACCATATGGATGCTGCTACCCGTGCATGGTGACTGGTCCCCATAACAATGTTGCCTAACAGACTCGAGGCTGACATTGGCTCTCAAATGCTTGGCAGTTATTGGAATTCAATATTACCATATTGCCAAGATTGTTTTGGCGCTTTCCGAGTCTTCACGGGCATCTTCCACCTATGAGAGTTTGCGGCATTCTCGAACAGTGGAGGTTTGTTTGAACACCAACATCAATCATCCTTTTTGGTCGGTGCTCACAATGGATTTAGAAAAATGTACGGCATCATCTACTCACGGTCCTCGGGTTGGCACATTCCAACTCGAAGGCCGAGAACACACTATTTACTGCACGTCACAGTCTAGTCGTTTGTGAGTTACCAGTGCAGTGTCGGGATTTTTTTTTCTTGGTATTGAAACTGACTTGGCAGGGGGATGGGTCCTTCGGAATCCCCTCGATCAAAGGGCTGCGGAATCAGTATTACAATCCATGCATGCAAGGACTGGTTGGAATATGAACTCGCTCATTCAGACATTGCGTGCACAGTGGCAAGACGTGGACGAGAATATGAATTAATCAAGGTAAAAGAGAAAGAATAAAAGGATAATTGATCCGATGAAGACAGAGGATTTATGGATTTATTCAGGCAAAAAAAAAAAAATTTAACTGCCCAGGTGATTTTCATGAACTCCAAGACTGCCCAGCCCAGGTGGATATACCAAAAGGGGGCGATGTCAAGGGGAAGATCTCAATCTCAGGGACTCTCTCGTACGTCGTCACTTCCCCCCTTCCTCCACTGAAGAAGTCATTTAAGTAACCATGACACACCTCGTTTTTGGTTATAGAAACTTATATTTCATTTTCTGATCTTCTTCTTTATTCTTCACTTCAAAAAAAAAGTACCACTTTCAATATCCGAATTACCCCAATTTCACTATCTCATCCCCCGCAAATTCAAGACGCTAGTGAAAGTGGATGCATTGACCTCGGACATTTACAGTCGACGCGCGTGACATCTTCTTTTGCCTCTCTTCTTCTTCTCCTCAAAAACATGAACACAGTTCTCGGGCTATTCCTCGGGCTGGTCCCAGGAAGTCTGAAATCCAATTTCAATTCCTCAAATCCCGACGAATCCACATACTACTATATACCCATCATGCAAAACTCATTTTCCCCCAGCGCAACCAAAGAGCACAAAAACACATCAATTCCACCTTCAAGCGCACCCCCGCCTTCTTACAATGATGTTTGTGGCAGCGCCGTTATCATAAACCAAGATGGAGAACCTCAAGTCCTATCACCAGAGGAAGAGGTAGAGCGACAACATCGACTGCAACAAGCCGTGCGCGAGAAGATGTTAGGGTTACCGCGAACGACAAAGTTTGAATGGTGCCAGCGAAAATCAGGGATGTCAGGAACCGAGAGCGAGGAACTACCACTGCCGCTATATACACTCTAAGATGAGAAGAAAGGATGTCAAGTGGATTGACGGAGCAAGGTCCAAATCGCAGTACACTCTATAACTAAAGTCTGCAGGGAGTTTTGGAGTTTTGTATGATAATGCACCGTTCGCCTTTTTGATTTTAATGGCCGTATCCACTATTTGTACAATGCGTGTGTAGATGTATGCAAGTCTAGTTCCGGAACAGTCTCAAGCCACCTTCCTCCCGATCAACATCCTCCTCTTCATCACTAGCACCCTCATCACCTTCACCGAGTAAACCACTGGCCGTTTTGCCGAGCAGCGAAGCGAAGAACTCATCTCGTGCGCGCGTAGACCAGGAACCACGGTCATCAGGGGCCATGAAGTTCTGAAGCTTTTCATGCACATTGTACTTCATTTTGCGGCCCTTGGAAGCACGGGTATCAATGTCTCGCTTGACCTTATCGTTGCGCATACCAGTGATCGGGTGAATGGGCAGACGTGAGGGAAGCTGGTGTAGGTTGTCAAAGCCATTGGTCATGGAATCGGCCGAGGACATGCGCTGCTCAACGAGATCGCGCAAAAGGGATTGGTAGAAAGCCCCGTCATCGTAGAGGGGTTCTTGTTGATCAGTGCGCGAACGCTTGTTGGATCGTTCTCCGATCTCTGTGGCGACTTGAGCATCGAGAACGGCGGTGATGGTCTGTTGGCGACCGGAGGTAGAACCGAGCAGTTTGCCCCTGGCATTGGGGAGAGATGCAGAAGTGCCACGAACTTTCGAGGACCACTTGTCGAGGATGGAACGACGGTGGGAAATGGACTCAGACTCCAATTCAGACATGCGTTCCCATAGCGAGGCGGAGCTGGTGGTAGGCGAAGCGGGGGAGGGTCTCTTGCGCTTTTTGCTGCCTTCTTTGGCGGTAGCATCGGCCAGGGCAGTCCGTAAACCTTCGAGAGTCGACCATAATGCCAGCGCAGCTGACTCCGCCGATTTAATCGCTTCCTCATCAACAGCTTCCTCTTCGTCGTTCATCGCGTCCTCTGCATCTACTTCGTTCTTCGAATCCAAGACAGCAGCAATGCCGTTGATAGACGTCAATCCACTCTGAAGCTTCATCCGCGCGTTAAGGAGCGCATCAAAAGTGGTACGTTGTTGCTTAACAGCCTTTCCCTTTGTAGCATCGGCCTTGGTTGCCGAGGAGAGTGTCGCAGCGATAGTTTTCTGATCCGTCGCCATTAATTTCCGGATCTCGTCGCGGTCACCGGAGGGTGCGCTTATGTCGCCAGGTCGGACATCTTGGCGAGTCTTCTTGGAGTGCTTGTGCACCACCTCGTCGGCATCTTCACTCTCATCCTCATCATCCTCTTCGCTCTCTTCATCTTCATCATCCTCGCTTCCCTCTGTGTCCTCGTCGGAACTCTCCTGGGCCAGGGCATCCTCGTCGCTGGCAAATTCTTCAGAGCCGGACGAGAGATCTGAGTCCTCGTCATCTTCATCGCTTTCAGCGCCTAGTGCTGCCCGGCTGACCCGGGAACCATCATATTGTTTCCCCAGAGGGAGGGGGTCATCTTTGCGGAGCTTTGCTTTCCTGTTTGATTATTAGCGATTTGTTGATACCAAATATACCTATTTTGACACACCCAACAGCTTGATAATGCTCTCTGCCTGTAGTCACTTCTTCATTATCTTCACCTTCATCATCGCTTGATTGTTGGCCATTATCGATATCCTCGGGATCGAAATCTAAGCGCGAAGTAAGCATTGAATGTCCAGTAGACAGTCTGTAGATGAATCATTCAGACATACCTTTAGGAGTTGGGTCTTCAAAATCAGCAAGCTGATCAGCTAGGGAACGAGCCGCGCGTGGTTTGCCCATGATGTTTGGTATGGAGAGAGAAGAGGCTGACGAGCAACTTTTTTTTTGTGGTTTTTCCGGATAACGGATTATTACTCCTATCTAGGTTTAGCGTCCATGGGCGGGATAAGTTCACGTGGGCGGTGTACGGCGTGGGAGCTTCAACCACAAAAGGCGGTCGACTCTTTTATTGGCAGTATCGCGGTGGATATCTTGCACTGCATCCTCTGGAACTACTTCTGTTGCTCACAGATTATTTGGTCTTACATTTTTCCTTCTGATCAGCTTTTTTTGGCCTATAAAGATGCTGGGTTCTCCATCTGGTGCCATTGCCAGGGGCACAAGACTTTTTTCCACCTGTCGAGCTCTTCAGCATGACAATCCTTTGGTTAGTGATTGATCTACATTTTGGAGCTCCGGTGATTGTATCTCTCACTGATTGATTCCAAGAACCATCTTCATTGCTAAAGTGGCTATTTTTACTTGCATTGACTAACTATGAATAGGGACTTCCACGCTCTGGTACCCCGCCAACTTTCCGTTCGCGCCGAGGGCTGCCCGAAAAGCGCAAGATTCGAGATGTGAAGAAGGTTGTTGCGGTCTCCTCAGCAAAGGGAGGAGTTGGAAAGTCTACAATAGCAGGTATGTTAGTATCCTTCGTTCCTATATATATCTCTCAAACCGTTAGCGACAGCGCAAGACCTATGAACTCAAGTGGAACGAACAATCACTAATGAGGTCTTACCAGTCAACCTCGCGCTATCATTTGCACGCCGCGGTATCAAGACTGGAATTCTTGACACTGATATCTTCGGTCCTTCCATCCCTACCCTTCTAAATCTCTCCGGCGAACCTCGCCTCGACGAAAGTGGGTCTCCTTTTTTAGGCTCATCGCCATCACAGCCATAACCAATATGCTTATGAACATATCCAGACAACTGCCTCGTCCCTCTAACAAACTATGGCCTCAAATCGATGTCAATGGGCTACCTCCTCCCTCAAACACAAGCCGATAGCACAACAGGCGAACTACCTATGGACACAACACCAATCTCATGGCGCGGACTAATGGTAACAAAAGCCATGCACCAACTCCTCCACTCAGTATCATGGGGTCCACTGGACGTCCTAATCCTCGACCTACCCCCGGAACCGGCGACGTGCAACTTACAATCAACCAAGAAGTCATCATTGACGGGGCAGTGATCGTCTCGACGCCGCAAGACATTGCTCTCCGCGACGCCGTGCGCGGCATCGGGATGTTCCAACGAATGGACGTACCCGTGCTCGGAATGGTGCGCAACATGGCATATTTCGCATGTCCACAGTGCGGGACTCAGACTCGCATATTCTCGCGTGGCGATAGTCACCACCACGCGCACGGTGAGAACCACGGTGTCGTGGCTGAGTGCAAGCGGCTCGGAGTGGATTTCCTTGGTGACATCCCTCTTGATGCTCGAGTGTGCGAGGATGCTGATCGTGGGATGCCGACTGTTGTTGCGGAGGAGAGTGTTGAGCGCAGCGCGAGGCGGGATGCTTTCCTTGGTGTTGCTGAGCAGGTGGCTCGGAAGATTGGTCTTGATTGGCACTGAAGGGTCAATTCTTCTTACCTAGACGTAGTGTTATAAACATTATTTTGTATTATTATATTAGACCTGCCTCATCCAGTGGCTGGCTACTGGTTGTTTATGTTCTTTGGCATTCGGGGGGTTTTTCTCATTTGAAGTATAGTCTGTATTCATTCTCAAGAACTACTTCCATCTATATGATGGATGGTAGACTACCAGATCTGCCAAAATGGGGTATATCCAACGCAACAAAAAAAGATAACAAAAGGAAATGGGAAGTCACAGAAAGCATTGGGCTTCAACAAAAGAACCAAAAAAATCGAAGAAAACATTTAGAAAGATTTGAAAGGATGGTTCAAAATGACAACAGGTGGTGGGATATGCTCATAAATGGCAATTATACAAGCCTTAATCGGCGCTTTTGAACCCTTCTCTGTCCAGAACTTCAGGACGGTGCGACATGGAGTCCCGACCAGCCGTAGAGAACACAGATAGAGTATCTGTAGAACGACGGCCATTCTCGCCAACCATAATTGGGGCAATAACACCCCGCGCGCTCACCACAGCTCGAGTGCTAGCGGCATCGGGTGCCATGTTTGTGTATACAACGGAGTCCTTGTCGCCGCCAACGGTACTGGCAGTGTCCGACAGCATCTCGCTTCGGCCAGCGGTTGATCCTGCAGCGGATGATGCCCGGTACCGGCTGTGAGCTAAGGAAAGATCAGATTTCATCGGGAGAGAGCCTGCTGCATGAAAAAGAGCCCTTGTGCTGGCGTTCTCATCGGTGAATTTGTTGTTGTTCACCTCGGGCAATATAAGGATTGGGCCAGCGCTTTTCTGCGAGAGATCTCGGGAGATGGTCTCGGGATCTGTAGACGTACGTCCAGTAGAAGAGCCACCGTTTCTGGGCTGTTCCCTTTTGTCTAGGCTGGCTGCCGTGTGCCCATTAGACTGCGACTTCGTGTCGGTAAGGTCTTTGTCTGAGGCTTTTGGGGCTTGGGGGTGTGTCGCCGGAGTGCTAGACCATGCTCCAGCCTGCCCAGCATCAGTGCTGACACGGGTGGAACGTCTGCCCGATTCCTCGGCCCGCTCCTCCATTTCCATTCTGCGTTCGTCATGCTTGCTTCCCCAGCCGCTCCACATCATCATGCCGTAGTTCTTCTTGGCATGTCGTTTTGGTAGTACGCCAGGAGCAGCTCGCCGGGCGGCCAAAGAACTCGGGGGAGGACATTCGCCATCAAAGTCTTGGAAGCCATGCGCCAGCTCTTTCAGGCGTCGGCTCTGAATCCGAAGTTTCTCCTTCGCAAATCTGATGTCCCATTCCTTTTTTGCGTCCAACCACATTCGGATGAGCGAGGGGTTGATTGCCCCGACTTCGGCAGGGGGTATCTGTAGCACTGGGTATGAAGAGGGAGGATCTAGCGGGAAGATATGTCCTCGTTTATCGATTCGTTGGCGTATCATGTATTGATGGAACGCTGGAAGAGGATCCCCGGCCTTTCCGACAGAGGAGGGCTCAGGTGCATCAGGTGGACTGTTCAATGCGGTTTGAGGCTCCGGGACGTCTTCATCATCTGAGCTATTTGAAGAAACGGCCGAAAGAGCACTGTCATCCGCGATTTCGACCTCGCCATTCTGTGCTCGCGCCAACGCCCAAGAGCCAAACTGGGAAATGGAACGGAACATGTACTTGGCTGGTCGTGTAAAGCTCAGAGTGGGAGCGACATGGCATAGGTTGTCCCAGACCTGAAGTTGTACATATGTTGGTTCATATTTGTTCAAAGTCTCCCGGATGGGATCATTCTCGTCGAGATATGCATCACTGGGTGGATATGCCGTTGGGTTGGCGGCTTTGTGGGCGATGTAAAATTGCTCGTCACGAAGAGTCTCACCGCCGCCGCTCAATATTTGTAGAGGAGGCAAGCCACCCAGAGAGGGTTGGAGGACTGGTGAAACAAGAGGGTGGGACATGAGTTGGTTTGTCGTGTACAATTGAATTTGGTCCTTGAGTTCGACTGTCTTCCCATCCAGAACAACATAAATGTTATCGGGTTCGTCATGCAAACTAGCAGGGTCCGGGGCTTGCTGCAGGCCAGGGTAAGCGTGTTCGGCTAGGGGTGAGCCGTTCTCATGGACAGTATAACCACGGATGGCGGTCTCTTCAGCAGTGCTGTTTGGTTGGGGAATAGCTTTTTTGACATCCTCGGCAGTCACTATTGGCTGGCGCGACATTTTTTTCATTTCCAGGATATCATCAGCATTGGGAGGGGGCCAAGCGGCCGAGGGTTTATGACGGAAGCCATAGGCAGGGATATAATCGCCCGGGTTGTCCTCAACAATACTCGGGAACGAGTGTGTTAAATCAACCCAGGGAGAGATCAAGATGGCGCCCGCTGGTAAGGGAATACCCTGGTCTCTCATGATGACCAGCATCGATAAAGCCAGGCCTCCACCCGCAGAGTCACCAGCAAGAATGATTTCTTTGGGTTCATGGGACTTAAGCAGCCAGAGGTAAGCCGCCATGCAGTCATGCAGGCCACATGGGAAAGGGAACTGCGGTGATAGTCGATACTCCGGCGCAAATACACGTCCCTTCAGTTTGCGCGCATGACGCTGCAGCATGTACCGATGGGTGTCGACACTTCCAAAGAAATAGGCCCCACCATGAACATATAGCATTACACGGTTGCAATGCCCACCGGCCCCCTCCGTTTGATTATAGTGGTTTCGCATCTCAATCCACTCCCCCTTCAGCTCTTCGGACGGCCCCCGCCACTGCCACCATTTCTCTCCTCCCACTCGTATGACGCCCCTAGGGCCCAGCTGCTTTGTGACAGTATCTGCAGCAGAGGACAGAAACTTGTCGGGGATTGTGATGGTTTCGGTTCTCACCCAATGTGGGCTTGGGGCCCATTGGCGGGTGAATGCCTGTAGGTCTTCGACGGGGTGCTTAGATGCATAGAATAGAAATTGACGAACGATCTGAATACCCTCATCATAGGTAACATGGACGGTGGGTTTGTTATGTAGAGATTTGCGATGCAGGTACTATATAGATCATGAGTTATCAGCCAGACAATCCTAACCCTGTCAGGGTATTCCACAAGGACATACGTGACTGATGAGAGTGTGAAGGACAGTGGGAGTCAATGCCACACCTAGTGCGACTGTATGTAATGGCATAATAGTTCTATTCAGTGGTTTGGGAGGGGGGAGGGGGATATGGTAGTAGTATGCCAGCTGTCGCAAAATCCAAGAGAACCAAAAGAACCAAAAACCAATGTGAATTTAAATGAAAGACAAAAGTGAGGGTCTGATGGCAAGATGGGCCTTTATTTAAGGAATGGAAAGGGATTGGAAGAAGAAGAATATCCAAATAATTCGACAAGTTGACTTCAAAACAAAAAAAAGAGAACAAAACGAAGAACGAAGATACAGGGGGGAAAGGGAAGATGATGTCATCTGATCTCTTACCCCATACTCGGCTATTATCCTCTTCCTCTTCTTCCTCTCCCCACCCCATCTCCCCCAACCCTTTACTACTTCATCTCCATCCCTTTACAAATTGTGTCTCCTTGGTCTTCCAATCCAACTAACAATCACAATATAAACCATTGCAACAATACCAGCAACAACACTAGTTGCTATGATCGCCCCACGTGGTGCTTTCGCAAGCTTGAACCCAAGCCCAGCATTGATGATACCCAATATTATCATCAACCGTCCAAACCAGCGATGCATATAAGCAAACGGCCCTTTCCCACCTGTCTTCCGGAAGAATCGGTGCTGCAACACCCCCATAGCAGGTTGGAAAAGAACAAGGCAGGGTACAACAATCATCCCCAGGATGGTATGGTAAGAATCGATCAATTCAAGCTGCCGTGCCATAGAAATACCAACTCCAAACCCTGCAATTACCATGGTCAAAGTGAGGAGTTGAAACGTTCCGTGAATGTTCACCGTCCATTTCGATGGGAAAATATGAAGTCCAAGTGCGAAGAAAGGGAACATGATCACAAAAGCCAAAATCATGAGCACAGCATGAGCCGTCTTTTTCCTCTTGACTGTTCTTCGGAAGGCCACAAGGCCTGGATCTTCTTCACTAGAGGAGATGGGCGCTCGGGCCAATTGGGCGAAGGGATTCACTGAGTTGCCACCCGTCGCTTTTTTCAGGTCGATAGTCATGGCACCGTGATCATCATGTTGGCTAAGACCTTCAGACAAACTGACCGAATTCAGTGACTCTCCATATTTGATGGACCAAATCCATGAACTTGAAGAGCTGTTCACGTTTGCTGTTCCTCCATTCCATTTTAGACAGGTATCGCATCGGATATTGGCAGTGATGACCTTGTCGTGCACACCACTGCCGTTCAGAATTGTGATTTGGGCGTCCCTGTTATACAACGGTTCAATTTCCCCGACACCCGACCGCGGAGAAACGGTGACATTGTTGCCAGACGTGTACACGATAAACATATTAGCACCTGCCATTCGCCTTCCTTGGCCCAAGGCAAACCACTGCACTTGACGGGTAGAATTCATCTGGAAGTATATGGGGCCCGAGCCCGACTTCGCAGTATCATCGGGGACATTGAAGCTATAGGTGATCTCATCGTGGCCTTGAGGGTGAATGCTCTGAATTTGAGCTTGGGCCAGGGCAGGAATAGCCCAGAGCGAAGAGAAAATATGTCGAACCATCGAAAAAGAAAAATTGAGAGTGGTTACTCCGATTTAACAAGGGAATCATCCCAATAAATACCTGCCAGCTCTTTGTTGCACGGTTGACATACCAATTGGCTACGTCAGGCCAAGTCTTTGTGGGTGTTGATTTTTGAATTTGTCACAGATATTTGGAATATCTGTCAAAGAGTTGAGAGGTTATATTACAAGATGCCTATTGGAGTAGCCTAACCCGACTAGCTTGTTTCGTGCTTTTGTTCTCTTTTGTCGAGCTACCTCAAGTCAAAGGTAATACAACTTTGCTGCGCCTGTCAGACCCTGATCAGCGTCGGTTTAGCCGCATCAAATACCAAGGCTACTTCAACCTTCCTTGTGTTGTTAATGACGGGGAGGAAATATGAGTGGTCAATTCACAGTCAGAACTGGAAGATATCCCGAGGTCAAGATCTATACAATTCCGAAGCTTTTGGCATATTAAACCGATGCAGATTATGGGGAATTAGGGTTATGCATAGTTACAAGGTTACTGATGTGTTTATATGAGGTCAAGGATATTCGGGAAGGGAAAAGAAGACAGTTTTATAGGAATTTCTTCGACTCTCAATCGCATGGAATTCCTCTGTACTAACGCCTAGGGTGGAAACAGTATGACAACTCAAACTACCGGTGAAGACAAAGCTTCGCCGTTGTGTCAAGTTCAATTCGACCCCAAGTGATTCAGCAGGTCTTTATAAACCCGGTGATCCTTGTGGCTTTGTCTCAACTACAGAGGAATCAGTAATCATTACAACAAATCCTATTACAACAAATCCTATCAATATCCCGACAACTGTGGTTACTCTCAATAACACAAACCCAATTTGGTACTACTATAGTCAGATTGGTCATTGCCAGGCCGGCATGGTTGGTATTATCAATTCGCCGTAAGCAGAACAGGCTTGGCTTATTCATTTTTTGTCAGCTGTAGTGACTGGGAACCCCTACTCTTTCTAACAAACTGCAGAAAACGCAAAAGGCAGCACCATACCTGCAATTGTTCAGGGTTGCCCCCGAGAGCCCAGCAACTCGGCTAATAAGATTGTCATGGCTATGTGTATGGATGTAGGTATTGTACTTATATTAGGCTTATCTTGCATTGTCTCTCCCTGTCTTTGATGTATTGATGCAACTGACAGTCCAGGTCACAACACTCCACGTGTCTATTTATGATGGCTTACGCCAATTGGTTGTAAATAAGAGATATACTAATTTACTCAGACAACTATGCAATATGCCTTCTTCTGAACCGGTGATCGTGGCCATGATGCAAAGTTCTTACCGGTTCTAGCAAAGGTAGGAAACCACTCACATCGTATAGCTGGTTATACATTCAAGGCATGGCTTAGCTTCTCCGAAGAATGACCCGACTCTTACCACACTGCTATCTTTATAACAAGCTTACTATGTATTTATCTAGTTAATGCGATTATGGCCTTTTTGGGTTCTGATTCCATACTCTGGGCTTGACATGTCTGTCTTACAAAATCGGTTTGATTTGGCCCGATCTATCATGTCACGCACTATATATATACCGGAGCCTGGTCTATCTGAGCATAACGCTCAGATATAGTGGTATTTTTGGCCTAGTTTGGAACTCGCCAGTCCAGGGGCAGGTTATAACACGATCTCTGCAACAGTCAAGGTCAAGATCTGTGAAATTGCCGATCAACCACAAGGTCCCCTTCCACGCGGTACTCTTCAGAAGTGAGATTTCGGGAATATTCCCACCTTTTCTGGGAAATAAACAGAATGGGCTCGAATGATTCCAGTGGATATGGTCGATCGCATTCTCGTGCCTTTCTTGGCACCGCGGAAGGTCCCCAGGATCAACGAAGTGTGGGATGCGCTAACGAGTATTTGTGAAGATAAAAGCTAGAAGCCAAGCCAGATACTGAGCTCAAGCATAGTCACAATGCTCAGCAAGCCATCTTTTGTGGTGGCTACACTGGTCGCCCAGGCTTTGCCTGGTCTCGGAGCGATCATCGAGCGAGAAACGGTCAAAGTGACAACCTCCGAGACAGTTCGAGGTGGTGAACTGGCCAATATTCATCTCGACTGGTATGATCAACCGCCAAGTCTGATCGAATCTGTCTATGCGCCCTGTGGCGGCGAGGATTCGTCGACAAAGGGGCAAGTCATCGGACATTTTTCAATCCACGATCATCCTCCACAGCGACTGGCTTGGGTGGTTCCAGATGAGGCTCCAACGCACCATTGTGTTTACATATATGGGTCTGCCGGCCCAAATGTGGCCCAAAGGGTTTTGGGCAAAAGCAGCCCTGTCTCCTTGCAAAAGAAGTTGAAAAAACGATCCACAGCAGACACCAACATCCCATTGCTGAAGGACTTTGATGCGCAGGGAGCATGGTTCGACGGTGTGGCCAAAATCAAAGCCAAGGTGGAAAGTAACGGAGGAGTGGCTTCGAAAAATTCACCAAAGAACACCTCAATCGCAATTGTTGGAGGTGGAATCTCCGGCCTTGCAACGGGGTTGATGCTGGACAGCGTCGGCGTACACAACTGGGAGATCATCGAAGCCAGCGACCGCGTGGGTGGCAGATTCCGGACGAAATACATTGCCGACACTCAAGAATGGGCTGAGATGGGACCTATGCGACTTCCGCACTCCGTCACTTACAAAGACGATAATGAGACACTCCTGTATTCTGATCATCAGTTGACTTTCCAAATGGCCAAGATATTGAACAACATGAATAAGAATGACTCGCAGTGGAAGATTGACTTCATCCCCTGGATCCAACACAGTCCCAATGAGTTGTATGCTCAAGGTACTCGCTCCCATCCAGATGGAAGAATCCCAACACGCGCTGAGATCGAGGAGGATCCAAGCCTGAAGGATCCACCAGAAATGACAAGCGCCGAATACGGCAACACTGAGAGCCAGATGAACAAAATTCTGAAAGACGAAAAGACTCTCAAATCTCTTCAGAAGGATGTCTGGAGAGCCCACAAGACCGCGATGGACCAGGGGCTCGATGACTGGAGTGAACAGGCAATGATGCGACATGTCTTCAAAGCCAGCCAGAACATCACCGACGAGATCTGGACATCATCCGACTACGATGTGTTCTGGGATGAGCTGCATCATAACTCCAATCTCGGCTTGGATGGGAGCAAGGATAGTCTAGGCGAAACAGAATGGCTCTGTATCGATGGAGGATTCAACCGCCTGTCCAATGCCTTTCTTCCTCACGTCCGTGACAGGCTTACTCTCAATCGAAAGGTCCGGAAACTGGAGTCAGTCAAGGGAAGTGATGGTCACACCCGCACTCGACTGTCATGGTACCCCAATGTCTCGAATCGCACCTTCGAGTCCAAAGAGTACGACTACACAATCATGGCAGCGCCATTTACCATGACCCGCTTCATGGATCTACCCAAATTTTCCTCCGTCCTAGACCGCGCGATCAGCGAAGCAGGTTTACGCTTCAAGTCCGCATGCAAAGTAGCCCTACTATTCTCCGAGCGATTCTGGGAAAAGGGCGACCGACCAATCTTCGGCGGGTACTCCAAGCCATCAAGCGACTCAGTCGGTGCACTCTACTACCCCGTCTACGGACTCAACGAGTCCCGTCCAGGTCTAATCATGCACTACCGAGGCGGTGATTGGAGCGACCGGTTTGTGAGTTTCTCTGACGAAGAACACGTCCAAACAGTGCTGGATTCGATTGTCAGTCTGCACGGTGAACAAGCGCGTGACCTTTACACGGGCGACTATGAGCGTCTTTGCTGGCTCCAGGATGAACATACTGCAACTGCTTGGTGTCGGCCGGATGTTGCACAGCATGAACTATACATCCCGGCCTATCATCAGACGGAGCATAACACGATTTTCATTGGAGAACACACTGCGCCAACTCAAGCCTGGGTTAGCTCTTCGCTGCATTCTTCTGTTCGTGGGTCGGTTCAGTTGCTGTTGGAGTTGGGGTTGGTGGATGAGGCGAAGGAACTTAACCAGCGGTGGATGGGGAGATGGATCAAACTTTGATATCACCGTCCTCCTTAGTTTGTGGTAAACTATCCTAAAAGGACTCATGATATACATACATACATACAATATAGCCTCTATATATTATGCCTATTTTCATGGCTCCATATCAACTATACAGCTCCCCCTTTATCAGAGGCCTCACAGTGTCCGCAGAAAAGGTCGCATGTCCAATACCGTTGTCCATCTGTAGTTCTTGAACCACATCTCATTTCAACTTCTTGTACGCGAAGTGTTTATCGAATTGTTGCTAATATAGATAATCATGTTTCCGAGGCTAGTAGGCAGCAGCTATACTAGCAGTACAGCATCTAGCTAAAGGCATATCACTCGGAAACTGGATGGAGATTGAAAATGACAGTGAAAAAAACACATATCCCATCAGCAAGTTATATGCCCTATATCATTGTAGAGGGGAATCTGTAAAGGTAGTTCGAGCGATAGATGAGGCCCTCATTTGGATCTGTTGAGTAGAAGTCTATCTGGATTGCCATCCAGTGAACCATCGCCATGCAAGTCATTATTGGAATCCCCCAGAGCACATTTGGAGATATGAGATGAAAACGCTAACCGAACCGTGAACATGGATGGGCAGGGATTTCTGCTCAGCTCTGTCTCCCTCGTGCGACTTGAGTCAGATAAAATCATTCAAGGCTAAATCAGTCTTGACACCATGTCAATTATGGTTGCAGTATGGTATAAAATCCCAACGTTCTGCACTATGTCATTCCCCTATAATCATTCAAATACCCTCTCTACCACGATAAAATATCTCCCGTTAGTGACATGAACTTTCCCGACACATTTTCCCTTGTAGCATTGTCAATAACACCAAGCATTCCTTTGACACTATCCTCAACAGTTACTGGTGGGTCATCTGGATATCCCCACTCCTTCGCAGCGAAATCGCCGCCGCGCGTCTGCACCCAGCCAGGATGCAGAGCAAATGCAACCAATCCATGTGCTTCATTTTCAGCGTGAAGAGCCTTGGTGAGCCAGTTGGAGGCCGCTTTACTTGGACCATATGCTCCACCAGGAACAGGCTCCTGACCAGCAATCGAACCGACGGAGGAAGATATGACGACAACCTTGGGCGCAGAAGCTGATCTCTGCAGAAGTGGCCAGAAGGCCTGGAACACGAGAAGCGGGGCGATTGTGTTGACTTCAAAAGAGTTACGGAGGTCTTCTGCCGAAGTGGCTAGGGCCGGAGTCATGGGCGTCGCGAATCCAGCATTGCAGATAAGCACATCGATGTGCGTCACTGTACTGACTGTTGCGGCGAAGGTCTGTGCAACCTTTTCGGGGGGTATCGCAGTTGAAAAGTCCAGTTCGATGATGTGGAGGACACTGTTTTCAGCAACTGCAACACCTTCAACTTCTGCCCTAAGGCTTGTGGCTGCGTCGTGGCTGCGCACCGAGGCCACAACGGTGGTGGCAGGGCGTTCTAGTAGGCGTTTGGTCAGTCCAAGACCGAGGCCTCTGTTTGCACCTGTCACGAGGTATACTGTGTTTGACGTGGATGTCATTATCACGAGTATTTTCTGTAGGTAACTCCTTCCAAAGAAGAAAGAGAGGGAAAGAAAGAAAAGAAAACAATGCGCCCCCTCCTTTTAAAAGGTTAGTTAGGGCTTATGTGAAGCGGGCCAATCAGAGCAGAACTCCCCATCATACCAACAGTTATCAGCGTTGTCATATTTGATTCAAGCTGAGCATACTACTACTTATATATTCAATCAATTCAGATGGCTTTTAAGCTCTCTGTCTACGGAGTATATGCAGCCAAGGTAGGTCTTTCATAAACGCTAAGATCTTCTCAAGGTTCTCCAAATTCACCCTAAGATCCACCGAGAAAACCCGAAATTGCCAAGAGAAGTTGGAGAAGATGTCTTATCTAGCATGAAATATTAACAGAAGAAAGGCCAACTAATGCAAGCTATATCCATTATCTCTCTATTTGGGGTTCTTGGGACTAATAAGACCTATGACTCCAATGCCCTCGGAAGGTCCCCAGCCGGATATGCGTGAAAGCATCCGATTGTGAGTTAGACTAGCATATTTAAAGCTCCTGCCTGCTTTCGCAACATCTCTTCAAGAAAAGCTCCTCATGGCTCCTCATGGTCTTGGTTCCTGCCTTTGGCGGGTCTCTACCTCTCTTCTTCTCTTTTTGGCTGCCTCGACTATCTCTGCCACTTCAAGTGTCGATAATGGCAAACTGTTTACGGTCAATGGCATCAACTACTATAGCAGTGATGCGGTCTCGAGAGTAGTTACCTCAGATCTTAATTCGACTCGATTCGATGCAATCGTTCCCCTGACGGTCGTTCGGACAGATGAAGCTCTACTCACCAAGAACATTATACAAGAAACTATTTCAAACTATTCGGCCACCGATGATGTTTTCCACACCGGATTTCTTGAAGGTGGGTGATTATTGGAATCAATGTTTCTGCCAAAGAACTTCTGTTGACTCTTAGATAGCGGTTTTCCTTGTCTACGACGGAGATGGTCGTGGCCAAGTCGAGTCTGCTGTTCAAAAGGCTCTACATGGGCTTGGAAATAAACTTGTGATGGCCTCTTCCAGCTACCAAGCTGGGGAGCATATCACATCCGCCAAACTGGTCCATGACATACCAAAGGGGCCCTACTTTTACTCACCGCGGACTGGAGAGATCTATCAGGCTTTCCGCCTGTACTCCGATCATCAGCTAGCATTCACTGAAGCTGCTCTTAGCGATGGGACCGGGGGATTTAAGCCCTTGCCAGCAAGCTCATCGGTGAATAAAATTGTGACCTGTCTTCGGAAAACTTTGCTAATCAATTCTAGGGTGCTATGACGAAGAGCGTTGCTGTACCATCTAGGTTATACTACACGCCAACACCGACGAAGCCACTTGCAGGGGTGCGTTCAGAAAGCTATTCCACTACAATTCAAAGTTTGACTAACAACATGTAGCTACGTTTAGGAGTGAAAGATATCTTTGATCTAAAGGGTCTACGGACTAGCGGTGGAAATCGGGCGTTTTACGACTTATACCCTCCGCGAAACACTACTGGCCCCGCACTCCAAAGACTCATAGATGCGGGAGCTATTATCGTAGGGAAAATGGGAACTGTGCAATTTGCAAATGGAGACAATCCAACAGCTGATTGGGTCGACTTCCACTGTCCTTTCAACCCTCGGGTAAGTCCAACCATTAGAATCGATTGGACTCAACTAACCCTTGTTTCAGGGTGATGGCTATCAAAGCCCTGGTGGTTCTTCGTCAGGACCTGGTGCTGGTATCGCATCTTACGACTGGCTGGACATTGCCGTTGGAAGTGACACAGGCGGCTCTATGCGCAACCCAGGTGGAATGCAGGGGCTCTTCGCCAACCGCCCTTCTACTGGGGCTGTATCTCTTGACAATGTTCTTCCACTTTGTCACGCACTCGATACAGCTGGCGTTTTTGCTCGCAATGCTGCAACCTGGTCAAAGGTTATCCATGCATGGTACCCTAACTTCACTAACTATAGGGAATATCCGAAAAGGCTGTTCTACCAGAACTCTTCTTTCCCTAGCTCCAACACCACATCCGGTGCAATTCTTGAGGAATTTGTTATGAAAGTGGAGGATTTCATGGGTACGAAAAGGGAGCTTATTGATATCGCTTCGCGCTGGGAGAAAAGCCGCCCTTCAGAGACACCCTCGAATATAACTGATTTACTAAATACAGTGGGTTACATCAAGATTTAAATAACTACTCAGGCATTAATATACTATAGACATACGCTGTTTTGGTATCTGTCGATCAATATCGCTCACTTCCTTTGCCATTTTACGCAGACTACGCAGCAAAGCACGATGGTCGCCGACCATTTGTGAATCCAGGTCCCTTAGCACGATGGACCTGGGGCCAGAATAATGGCGGTGACACCGCATACAGCGAAGCTATGAAGAACAAAACGATCTTCAAAGACTGGTGGGAATCAGATGGATACGGAAAGGCAGACAAACAGACTTGCTCTGAGGGTATCTATATATATCCTTACAGCAAGGGTCAGACACAGTATCGGAATGCCTATTTTGAGTGAGTAAAAACCCTTTGAAGAAACAAAATGATCTATTGCTGATATTCACAGTGCACCTTCTGCGCCTCCGATGGGCTTCTCGGATGGTCGGATCTCCATCTTGGCCGGGACCCCTGATCTGGTAGTTCCTATTGGAGAGGTCCCCTATTACTCTACGATCTCGCTCAAAACGGAGTTCATGCCGGTTACTATGAGCTTTGGCGCAGCCCGGGGCTGTGATTTAATGCTGGTCAATCTAATCGAGGATTTGGAACAGGCGGGTATCTTGAAGCCCGTGAGCACAGGGTCAATGATGTACCCTGCGTGAGTCCAGGAGAATTTATTTCAATGTTGAAGTCAGTAGAACATTAACGCATGAATTGTATATGTGAAATTCCAATGTTAAATGGTTAATTGTGCGAAATATCTCGTGGTCCACCGGGGCCCTCTTCCAACCCGTTTCTTCTAGGCGCATCAGGACGCCAGCGCCAGAATGAGCGCATGAAGGATGTGCTGTGATCACCATTCTCGAATATTTCCGCCGCATGCTGTGATCTGTCAGTCATTATCTTATGCGTTGAGTGGGGTTTCCTACCTTTCCCAGGACCGGTAGGAACTTTGCACCATGGCCACTACCCCCGGTACAAACGAAGACAGATTTCTCTGCATAAGTTGGGACATGATCGATCTATAATATCAGCAAGGATTTCTGGGATAAGGAATAACTGTATGCTCACCACGAACGAATTATCCAGCGAGTCAGTGTACCAGCAAAGTTTTGTGGAGAAAAAGGGCGTATTCTCGAACTCAGGCAGGAAGATAGACACAAATTGCTTAATGGCATACAAGGCTGGCTCTGGAAGTAGTGAGCACTCCTCCGCTGGAAGAGGCACCGACCATTGACCATCCTGGGTGAACGGGGTATCTTGCGGCGCTGGTTGGAAGTTGGTCCACTAAAAACAACAACAATCAGTAGACATCAAGAGGGGTATAACTACCAATACTTACCTTTATTCCACGGTATCCAATCTTGACGAGGCCTTCCGGAGTTCTTGGTAGAACGTAGATACTCCCTGTGTCCTTTCCGGAAGTGTCTCGTGGTGTACTCTTCCAGGTCATGACGGGAAATCGTTCCGGTGAGTACTTGTCCCATAGCTCGGTGTTTCTCTTGTCTATCTTAAAGGTTCCAAGGCTGCCTGCTGAGGATTCGAGGTGATAGCTCAATTCAGGAAGTATTTGTGTCGAAAATGATCCGGCTTCGAAATTGTGAGTAAAAGCAGATGGGGAGAACGGGGTCTCTCGCGACTTACCAGCCACAACAACGGCATCTGCATCATGAACAACACCATCCTTGGTCTTCAAACCTGTCACTTTATCTTTGCTTGGCTCGAGGTTGCTTTTCACTTTAACCAAGTGATCAACGGCTCCCTCCTGTGGCCCTAGATGAAATTTCACGCCCTTGTCGGCGGCCACTTTTTGGTAATGAGCACAGGCATTACTGCACCTCAGAAATCCAGCCAGGGAGTCAAGTACCGCCTCATAAGTGCTTTCAGAATCTGGGATGTGGAAATTGAGAATCTTGTCTTTCCAGCCCAGCTTATCAGCCCGTTCGCAGTCTGCGGGGTCACTCTTGACGAACTGCGTGTCTCGCAGACCATCGCGCCGCATGTTAGCTAGAGTCTCCTTCTCTAGGGCAGCCAAGTGGTCAAGGGGCTGTATACGGAGCATTCCGCTATTAACGAAAAGTCCAACATCTCTACCGTCGTCTTGTTCGGTTGATCCACGCTTTTCGTCCTCCAAGAGCCACGCTTTTCGGCTTTCCAGTGCGAGACGCTGATAGTGAATCTCTTTCCCATATGACGCGCGGAACTGATACTCCGGATTAGCATAGACTTTTGATCTGTGCCAGGTTTGGGTTACTCACGATTTTGTTGTGATCGGCGGATGCAGCTTGTACGTCGTCGGCTGTTGGGTCGTATCCATTTTCATCGTACTGACTTCGATCAAAGACAGTCACTTCGTAATCTGTGAATTATAAGCTATCTGTAACATGTTTTTATGTAGATGTCTTGCTTACTTCGATCTCGCAGGGCAATCGCCAGTGAAAGACCAAATATGCCCGCTTTTATGGTTGTTAGTAAGTCTCAAAGACCTGTACACTTGGATATTGGTCTTACCTCCAATAACAGCGACTGACTTGGAATCTGTCATTCTTTACTATTCTTCCTTTGAATCTGATGTTGTAATGTTCTTAGTAAACGTAGTAGGGGGTGAAGGGCCCCCGCAAATGAAGCCAAGAGCTTCAATACCCATGGGGTCCTCATGGTACTCCACCTGAATTAGCGAGAGTAACCCCTCTGGTCCTCTGGTCACGTCAGACGGGTCTAATAATAACCCGAATACCCCGTGAACATTATTCCGTTCCTGGCATTAGTGGAAGATATATATATTCCGCCGTGATGACCATCATCGGTGCACAGAATCATATATTATGTGTTACCCATGATTTATCTTCCGAGTCACTGCAATAGAACCAAAAACGACATTTAAATATATTTTCCTTAGATAGAAGAAATAGATTAAGACACCTACAATGTATGTATAGATCATCCTGTTGATACACAATCTGATTTGTCTATGTTAAGTCCATGTCAAATATGCACCAACAACTAAATCTAACACACAACCGCCCGGATGGTCTAGTGGTACGTTCCGCTTCTATATGCTGTCCTGCGAATCTCAACTAATGAATAATTAGGTATGATTCGTGCTTCGGGTGAACCTGTGCGAGGTCCCGCGTTCAAATCGCGGTTCGGGCCCTTCTTTTTTTTTTTTTTTTTGGTGTCTATTCTATGTTGTAGATAACTCTCCGTAACCAGAAGTAATCTCCACAAAGTGGATACATGAAGGACCAGGGAGTCAGCCGAAGTAACAGCCCTGGATGGCTACTGCTGGTGCTGGCCCTGCAACTCAGGAATACTGGAACCTGTTTGTAGAATGTGTGTATTATGTATGATAAAGGAGTGGCAACCGTCTACATATTTACATTGCAAATAGATTCGAATATTAAATTCCACCTTAATTCGGTGTAAAGTCATAGATCAGAGAAATGATCCGAGTGGCAGTACAATACACTCTACCCACGGAAGAATTAGAGACAGTAGGGATATATTGTGTATACAAAACCCTAGAAGGTTTCACCCACAAAGAATAAACTATCTCGATATCGAAAACTCAACCATTGACATTGACGTGGTTAACGCTATTTTGGAATCAGGAACCAAAGCGAGATAGATCTCTTGCCACGGAATCCCTTACTGCGGTACTTGGGAATGCCGGTAGTTGTGGCGTTGGTCTACTACTACTGGGAAGTATTATGGCAGCTATGTTACGTGCTGTGCTCGGTGTCAAGGCAGATACATAGTGTAGTGCCTTCAGGGAATCGGTGACACCGAATTGTGCCTTACTTGGCGCGCCATCCGACCTGGGGCTAGTCTAGTGGTAGCGGCAGCTAAGACGTTGAATATTTTCGGATTGTCCGCGTATAATATTTGCATATGTCGTCGAAGATAAAAGAAATGTAAGTAATGGATTAGCCAACAATTTGAACCAATATTGAAATTTACTATGTACATATATATGTATGTAGGTTTAGTCAAAAACACAACCATAACTAACTAACTAGATACTAAAACATGTATGTATGTGAGCTCTGCCTTTGAACAGGGATCTCCCCCTGCTCATAAAGTCAATCAAATGACAGAGATAAGAAAAAAATACTCCCCAAAAGAAATGAAGCAGGAGATGAGTGTAAGTAATGTGACACCCAACAACCAAACCAAGACTATATATATAGATATATAAAAGCAAAAGCAAAAAGAAACGTCCCCGGGAAGGCTTGAACTTCCAACCTCCCGATTAACAGTCGGACGCGCTAACCGATTGCGCCACGGAGACGTACTTGTTGAGAAAACAGTACTTATTTTGATTGTTTCTATACCTCAGGCTACATAATAAAACAAATATCTTTATAACCGTGATCCATCATAGGACAAAACCATAGAACAGATGTTAGAATAGCAACAGACCAACTTCGAAGCCAACTTTTTGACTTACATTTAGTTTTGGTACATGAGTTCCACATCCAGTGATTTCGCCATCTCAAGTCTCCGTGGCGCAATCGGTTAGCGCGTCCGACTGTTAATCGGGAGGTTGGAAGTTCAAGCCTTCCCGGGGACGTTTCTTTTTGCTTTTTATGGTCTTGAGTTACGTTACTTACCTACAGTACACTCATTTCCTTCTTTTTTTCTTTTTCCTAGTTTTATGAGGTCAGCCTATGAACCTAATATCGAATTTTGATTCAAACTCAGATCGAAATACAATGTGGCTGTGGCATCTGCCCATATTGCTCGATGCAACCTCGAATGCAGTCGCCCTATACCGTAGCATAAAGAGAGTCTCGCGTGAGCTGTATGTGGATCAACTATGCAGTCATTTTCTGGACCGGACAAAAATAGCAGCCAAGATATGCCATGTCTCAGTCTGCCTGCATGCTTCCTCGTGAACCCCACAATAGTCCTCGGCCTTATTGCACCGGTTTCTGGGGGGATCTCGTTATGGGAGTATCGGCTGATGATGGACCCAATATGAGGGTATCCTATTTGGGCCGTGTCACCTGTGAGTCTGAGACCTTCACCCAAGACCTGTGCCGGATGCAGCCTGCCATCAAAGAGGAAATAGAACAATATTAGATTGGAGGCCTGAGTGAAGGGAGGCCTGAGTGAAGAAGATATATAAACCTCGTCGAGGAGGGAGCAAAGTAGATACAAAAGCAACAAAAACATTACCCTCTTCCGCAAAGTACCACCAAGTCCTCTACAAATATGAAGTCCACCATCGCCTTCACCTCTGCATTCTTGGCAACCCTCAGCCTCGTTTCTGCTGCTCCGGCTGTGGCGGCAGCGCAGACAGTGTCCGTATCCTACGACCTCAAATATGATGTTGGAACATCCTCTCTGACCACCGTCGCCTGCTCCGATGGTATCAATGGCCTGATCACTGAAGGCTACACCGACTTCGCATCGCTGCCAAGCTTCCCAAACATTGGCGGTGCGATCACCATCCCAGGCTGGAACAGTCCTAACTGCGGCAAATGCTATGCGTTGCACTACTCGAACGGCAAGATCGACAAGACAATCAATGTCATTGCTGTCGACGCCGCCCCGGGTGGCTTCAACATTGGCTTGCGAGCCATGAACACGCTGACCAATGGTCTGGCGGAGCAACTCGGTCGTATTGACGCCACTTACGTCGAAGTGGATGCTAGCGCATGCGCGTAGTAATGGCTAGACAAGATTCATGGAATGTGATAACGAAGGAACATAATGGAGCACGGAAGCGCTGGGTAATACGCGGGCAAAGATGAGAGTGTTGGACCGAGTATGTAATTAGATTTGTCAAACCAGGTATACAGATTAGTCCATAATATACATAAAGGTTCAATCAAGAACCTTCAACATTTCTTCTACACGCCCAAGCTTATCCCGAGGCTTGCCCTTTAGTTGGCCGCTTTCTCGCTCTGCCGCATCAATTCGCTGCCAGTCTTTCCACGACGTGGGGCGTAGACCGCGCCGTTGGGCCTCGATTTTTACTCCGTCCCAGCCTAGACCGCTACTGTGATCGGGTGCATGAAGCAAGGACACTGAATCGGCACGTTTTGCCAGATCTTGCACAATGGTATCTGCGGTATTGAACGCATCGGTCATTGTGGAGGCAATTACACCCGTTGGGCCTCGCTTCACCCAGCCAGCACAGTACAGGCCGGGTAGATGGGAGATAAGAGACCCGGCAGGCAAACTTTCAGGCTCGCCCTTGTTCGACAAGCTTGTTACACGGCCAAATCCATCGTTCGGGATGATACCGCGTCGGGTATCGAAGTCGATACCGAGATCCTCTAGTCCTGGAAGAGGAAGGGATTTGTAGCCCACGCTGCGGAAGAAAACGCAAGCTGGTAGGTTGACCTGTGCACGCTTTCCGCTCGACAAGTGCTTTGGAGACACTTTGGAGTTGGGGCTGTGGGGGTCGGATGGATCGAGTTCGTTGCGAGAAAACTTTACATGGGATAGATGATACGGGTAAACAGGCGACCAGTGAAGAGAATCAGGAGCAAGTAAGAAATCCAAAGACCAAGACTTTGGGGCTGTCAGAGGGTCATTGGCTGATCCTTTAGCCAAGAGCTGCATTAGACGCTTCTGCGCTCGGGGCAGTGCTGATACTACTTCTTCCGGCGGAAAGATATCCTTTGGAATGGGATCAAATGATACACCTGGAAGCTGTAACATTTCACGGAGCTCTTTGATAGTGAAGGAGGCCTGAGTCAAGTAGTTAGAAACCCGTGGGTATCAATAGTCAATACATGGTAACTCACCTGCAGAGGTCCGCGACGCCCAACAACTCGCACTCGCTTAATGCGACTTGCGGCGAGTTTTTCCACAGCATAATCTGCTATATCTGTCTTTTGCAGGGTATCGACGTCTGAAAGAAGAATCCGGGCAACGTCTAGTGCAACGTTGCCTTGTCCGACAATGACGGCGTTCTCTCCGCTTAGGTCTGGGTCGAGATCTCTGTGCTCTGGAAGACCATTGTACCACCCCACAAAAGCACGGGCTGAGTGCACACTATGCAGAGCTTGTTCTCCAGGAATCCCCAGCTCTCTATCCTTTGAGGCACCGTAGGCGAATATGATGGCATCGTAGTGTGGCTTGAGGGCAGCGAGCGGTAGATCATGTCCGAGGTCGACATTACCGACAAAATTGAAGCGCGTGGACTCGGCCACCTCTGTAAATTTATCTTCACAATTCTAATTTTCATATAATCATGAGCTTATTCCTACATACAATGTTCAATGGTCGACTCATCATGGAATCGTGGTTTACTGTGACTCACCTTGACTTCGGGGTGGTCCGGAGCAACACCGAACCTAGCCAAGCCGAATGGTACAGGTAGCTTCTCATACATATCAACTATCGCATCCTGCTGTTTAGCCAAAAGACGATAGGCAGCATAGAATCCCGCTGGGCCGGAGCCCACGATGGCCACACGAACGGGTCGGTCGGTTTGGGCGACATGACAGTTGGAGCGTTTGGTTGTAAATTGAGATACAAAGCTCTGATATTGTAGATGAGGTCGGCGATTAAGCCGCACGGTGCATTGAGCACATACAAAGGTCTGCTTTAGGCGCATGATGCATGGATGAGAAACCTCGGAGGTGATCGGAGATAATGAGACATGTCACATGATCTTATCGGTTGCCCCGGGTGACTATCACATGTTTGCAGATGTACAACATAGTCACTCAGACCTGAGCTCATCCCAGGAGAGCTGACAGTCGCATCTCACATTCCCAAGGTTCTTCACATTCCTCTCTTTTGCTTCGCGTGGGTGCCACGAGTGGCTTTCAGTCGCTACCATGGGGAGATCGTCACCTCCATTCCTTTATGAAAGTCCGTCCGCCTACAACTTTAAAGGTCCGACCGACCGCGGCTTCAACCCGAGAGCCGCGACAGAGGCGAGCTGGACTCGTCCAGCAGAAAAGCCCAAGAAAAAAGGGCCGCTAATAAATCTAAACCGCCATCCTGACACGGTATGTGCGATAACTTGGAAATTAATGGTGGGTTCTGCTAATGGTGGATGTAGTGGGGTTCCTTCAATACGGCCAGCTCATTTACACCCATGAGCCACAAAACGAAGGATCGGGTCAAGTATGCACGATCAACCCAGCTCGCACTTCGGGTGCTCGCTCTTCTGGGGGCTCTCGGGTCCCTGTTTTGCTCTGTCGTTATTAAGGGAGCTGCAGTGACCGTCATCTGGATCATTCGCGCCGGCGTCAGTACAGTCCACCCAAGAAAGCTTTCTCTTGCTGACCTCTATTGTAGCCCATAGTTGCAATTCTCCACACGATATACGCCATTTACCATAATTCTCGATCTGTTATTACCCGTCCCGCAGGCTCTCAAGCCAGCTATGGGCTATTCGCTGCGATTCTCGACTTTGGACTCATCCCATTCTACGTGTTTACTGCGTTTATGGCGTATGGAGAATGGAATTCCAATGCATACCATTGGGAAACTCTGTTCAACAACGGCGACCTGACTGTGAAATTGTCGGAGGCCACCTTCATCTTGGCTATCGCAAATGGCAGTTTGCACCTCATCTCCCTTTCCATATCGGTTTTCTTGGCTGTCACATTCCGGAAGATCTCCCGCCTACCGCCTGACATGAACCCACTTGAAGACAATTTGACTGCACGTCCCCGTAAGACCCACCAGGAGACTCAAATGGAGGAGAAACATCTGAGCCAATCCACCCTGGATTCGACATTCGAGGATCCGCTCATTGAATCTCCTCGCAGCGTACCATTCCTGCACACACGCGAACGGTCTTCTGGTGGTGATTTCAACCGCGAATCAATGGGTATGCTCGACGAGCAGCGGCAGTCACACCCTTCCTTTTATCAGCATCGCCTATCCCACCTAGAATCCCCAACAGAACCTCACATGGATCCTTCTAGTCCCGAGACACTCTTCCAAGAAACAGCGAGCCAGCCATATGACTTTACAACACAAACACCTGCCCCAGAATATCGAAAAGTTGCCTCGCACGCCCCCGAAATCATCAATGCCACTGCTCAAATGCGTAACCTGTCATCGCGCACTGCTGATCGATCGGAAACCGTCAGCCCATTGTCCGATAATTGGGTGGCTTACTCTGAACGGTCTCTATCGCCAATGGGTGAGACGCAGGATGGGAACGCAGCCACTCTGCGTCAGTCCTCCTCTGTCTACAGCCGAAAAACCGCCACGTCCGCCGGTAGTGGCATTCGAGACTGGTTTGCTTATGGCTCCAAGCCGGATCAAAGTGTCGGAACTACTATTCCAGAAGATGTTCGCGGTGAATATGCGTCAGTCGCCATGCATGAATTCTATGGCCTTGATGATGGCCGTCGTGAACAAGATGTGGGTGATCAGCGCATGGACATATTCCCAGACCCAGAAGATCACAGAGACGACCTTGATGACGACCGTGATGGCTATATTCCATTTAACCCGCTCATGCTTAATCCACCAACCCCACAACCTATTCTGACTGAGAAGCCCGAGAATACCGATCCCGTGCGCCGCGTTGTCTTGGGCGATAGCCCAAATCTATCATACAATGCACAGACACAGCCAGTGTCTGTTCCACACGAGAACCTCAACCCCACTTCACCCAAGACCCGATTCTATGGCGAGCTGGATGTAGATGGCAAGCCTGGGTTGGCCGTGTCTCACGAGCCAAGCGAACAGATAGTTCGTAAGCCCACCAAGCTTCAGAAGAAACGTAGCAGCAAGATGTCTGCTTATGAGTCTCTCAAGAAGAACGATGATGAAGAGAACGGGTACCTCTCAACAAGGATGCCTGTTTCGCCCCGCGCCACCGAAAGCGACCGCAAGGGCCGTGTCGTGAGCAACACTGGTGCAGAGACTGCTCGGCCTGGAATTGCAGCAGGAGTTGGTTCATCTTTATCCTCGTATGGAAGTTACATCGCCGGCCTGGGCGTCGGACGCCGCCGCGATGTGAGTGGCAAGGTCGCCGAAGAAGGGCGCAGCAACAACCTTCTCGATGAGCAACCTGACCACAACCAGAACGAAAGTCACAGACAGACTCCGAGTGCTTCACCAAATCGGGCTGCAGGATGGGCTCGGTTCGCCGGACTTTGAATGTGATATCTATCGTTTTTCTTTTTTTTTTCTCCAGGAGTTTACTTACGGTTTGTCTTCATGAATGGCATGTAGCGACTTGCTTTTGTTTGGGACTTTGATATCCCGTTTCCAGTTTGATTTTCATGGAAATATGTTATGGATTGGGAATTGTTTGTGTATTATGGATATCATTTTTGTATGTAGTTCTGACCAATGAACATTTGAACCTTGCTGTACTCTATTCCAATATACCAATGTGTTCAATGTTTATTTCGAAGTAAACCATAGCAGTGAACCATAGGCATTTGCTGGTTTACATACGGCCGTTCTGCCCCTTCGCAGCGGTGAGTTAGACATGTTCTATCTGGCTTTCCACGAAATCTAGTCCTGCAAAACATATGCACATCAACACCCCATCCTCATGAGAATGAGAACCCTGTGGTGGCTGTTTTCACTGGCATTCTTTGTGTCTTTTATCAATATTGGATACGGGTTCGACTGTCTCGCTCAGTGGTGTGATACATGTCTTCCCGCAAAGGTTCATGATGCACCTGGGGTTGGCTTCGATTTGACCCCCTCATACGGGTGGGTTTCCTAATGGTTTTCTTTCTATTACCTACAAATATATCTAATGTTTGAGGAATATAGGACAGCCGTGGTGCACTACCATAATGGAACTGTTGTCGAGGTTGCGAAGGTTCCGGGGAGTCCGAAGTACCTCGAACTTATGGCACGTCTGACTACCGAATCTGAGCCTTTAGCAGGCTCAACCCTCGGTTTAATAAGTGAACTTCTATCACGCTTATTGGAACATCTCCTTCCGGGCGTGTCATCACCGTGGAGAGACTGGTGGCATCGGCTGAACACGAAACTCGGTCGACCAGTTAAAGCAGATGACGTCGAAATAATTAGCGATTTACTCCACGAACTGAAAGCCTCCACTGAAAAGAAAATCTCCCAGCCTCTCGGCAGGGTTGCCGTTACAGACCCCGGCTTCCAGTCGCTTAGTACAGCGACAATCAACGCTGCACTTCGAATGTTAGATCTACGCTCATGGGTTGGACACGACAGCCCTTATTACACACAGCGGCTATTGGAAGCAGATGCTGCTTATGGGGCGAACGGTTATGGACTATGCACCAATTACCTGGATCGCTCCGATTGCATGGACGAATTTGCAGAGTCACCCGATGCTAATATATTGTTTGTTTCCTATAACCGCAATCTCTTATATGCTAGTATTGTGGAAGGTACAGCTAGTGAAGCTTTCAGTCGGGTTGCCTATGTTGCCATGCAACTCGTGGATTACGATATTGGGCTAGATCGTCTTCTCGAGAAAGATGAGGCCGCAATATGGGACCGTCTTCATTCGCAACTCCAGATCCTGCCTCGGGAGTACGAATACACGGTTACGCATCTCCTTTTAGCTGGTGAGAGCATAACGCATCCCCGCTTCCTAGCTACCTTAAGGGATTCTATGTCTGAACTCTCGCTTGATCCTGTCAATATCAAACTCGCAATAAATCCAACTTTTGTTGCGGCTCGTGGTGCGGCACTATATGCCCGAAGGCGCCAAGAGGTGCAGAGCGACTGCACCGAACGGAGTGAATGTGAAGAGAGGAGGATTCACGAGAGAATGTACAATCCCACACAAGAGGATCTGCGTTGAAGCGGATGATATGAACTATTTACTGCTACTTACGGAAGCCTTGCAATACTTCTCCAATCCATATCAAAGGAAATGGACAGAGAGCAGTTCGGGCACTTGTAGAACGAATAGATTGAATAGGTACCATAGAAGGATAATTATTACTGTAATGAATACTGTGGTAGGGAGCAAAATAATTTCGATCCGGAAGAATGGAAAAGTCAGAGAAAGGGAGGAAGAGCAGCGAAGACAGGCCTTTTTATACTGGAGGGCATTGAAGGTCCGCCGTTTACACTCTAAAAGGCCGAGATAGCACCCTCAGGGATCACCGAGATAATTTCAAGTGCATAGAGTGTCTCATGAGGGAACACCTTCATATTCCCATCCTTCGATGACACGCTTTCTACGCCGGGAATTTCGGCAGTTGGCGTTGCACTTGACAAAGAAAGTCAAGGCCGTGATAATAAGAATGATGATACCCGCAATTGAAGCCACAAGCACAGTTCTGCGCTTGATTTGCTGCGGGTCAGAGGCATAGGGACACCTCGCCTCATAGCCACCGGATACCCAGCAGGAAGTAACATCTATCGAGTTGAAGTCTACGAACACCTCTCGATGGGTGGGATTTGTAGAACTCAAGTCAACTTCTGTCTCTGGCAGAGAGAGAAGGTGTCTGTAGAGATACGTGTTTTCGAGACCAGTGCGCGGTATAGCGAAGCTCGATCCTGGCGGACAGGTGTTCGACACATTGGAGAAAGATTCGGTCGAGTCTGACAGGACCCAGGAGAAAGGCGAATTACCGATTCGACAGGCGCCACGCCGCTGCTCAGTGCAATTCGTAGATCGCCAGTGGCCGTCCAGCGTTAGATCCATGATCGCACAGCGGTCATACTTGGGGTCACCGTCGCCACCGCTGCCACCGCCATATTTTGCATCATGTGGCTCACCGATAGCCCAAGCCCAGGAAGAGGCGAGGGAGACATTACGGTAATGTTCAACTTGCTGGTCTGCAGTCTGGCCGAAGAGGGTGGTGTTGAGCATTGGCGAGAGACCACAAGCTGTAATGTCAGAGAGAACATTCGACAGTGAAGCCATCGTCTCATCTGTCGAAAGACCATCAGGGACAGGAAAGCGACTGGATATAGCCCATGATGAGTTGGTTTGAGACACGCGTGTGAGCCCAGGCTCATACAGACAGCCTTTAGGGACAGTGTTGTTGGTGGTTGTGGAGATCTCCACTTCAGAGGTCAGTTGCCCGGGAGGAAAGACCAAATTTTCTTCGGTAGACAGATTGTAATTCATCAGTTGGGAATCGATAGAGCCGTATTCAATGAGTACTCGATCGCGTTTCGCAAGCTGAATGTACTTTGACGATGGCCAGCCATCCGGAGTGCTCTGCTCACCCGCTTCATTTTCATGGACGGTGAAATACTCTGTGATGGGCATATAGCCCTGCTCGACCTTGTACCATGACTGGTTTAAATTTCTTCGGTCCGAGGCAAGCTGAGCTGGGCTATAGATAAAGTCCTGAAGGGCCATCCCGAGGATCGAGCCGGCTAGCTCAGTTCCCGATGGCATTTGACCCTCTGAGATGGTAGGAGCAGGATCATCTGGCGTGGAGTCACTTGCGGCGACATGGAGATTAAGAACGAGATAGGTTGTGTACACGGTCAAACGTGAGTTTGTGTCACGGAAATAACCTACAAGCACTTCCGCCAAGGTGTAGGGATCGAGGTCGTTGGTGCACTTGTATGAGCCTAGCTCATAGAGAGAGTGTCCAGCCGAGGATACAGTCACTTTAGATTCGGCTGGAACAGACACCGGACAGAAAGACCAAGTCCTACGGTTGACCGACCAATATAGATCGACAACAAGACGTCGGTACCCAACTGCGACAAGATTAGAGAAACATTTTGCAGCGTCTTGTCGATCATAGATGCGGTTTCCAAAGCAGGCCGCTGACAGTGACACAGCAGGGTTTGTCACATAATTAAGTGGAATTTGACCAGCCACATCTCGTTCGCTCTATCTCAAGATATTCATATGAGTGTGGGAGGGCAATTAATTGTGAACTGAGACATACCAGTAAAACAGCCACCCAGGTAGCGTTCAACAGGGTTTCTGAAGAGTCATATTGGACAGACATTGAGCATCGACATGAAAATAGGTCTGAAGCTCATGAAGCTCATGTTCAGTGTTCAGTGTTCAGAGTGTTCAGCGCGACGTTGAATGTAAAAGAGAAGAAGATTAAGCTTGACCGGGGAAATCGGGAGGGCGGACAAATCAGCTGAGTCAATCTGGCCACTTCTCTTTCTTTTCTTTCAACAACTTCTTCTCTGCCCTTAGGACTTCCTTTTTCTCTTCTTTTTATTTCCAATTTTTAATTCAAAATGGCCACCCCCGGCCAGCCCAGCCCTGAGCAAATGGCGGCCATGCAGCAACAGTTCGCCGCCGAAGCCGCTAAACGAGGGATGACGCCCCAGCAATTCGCCGCAAAGCAGCGTGAACAGCTAACTGCTGATGCTACAAAGCTTGGCCTGACCACTGAACAATATGTTGCGCAGTTGCGCATGCGAGCAATGCAAGCCCATCAGCAGCAACAAAAGATTCAAGCCGAACAGGGTCAAGCAGAAGGACAACAAGCTGCATCGCCCGCACCCCAGCAGCACCAACACACAACCACACAACAGGTTCCTGTGAACCCCAACAATCCTCCGGACCCAAAGGCAGTGGCAGTGGCCAACTGGCTGCGGTCGCAAAACCTCAAGCCACGCACATGTATCATGGACGGACAGCGCAAGGACATGTTCAAGGGTGAGCAGCCACCAACATCTAACTACATTACGAGGAATCCCCATCTAACAGGACTTTCTTCAATACAGTCAAGCGCGCAATCCGGGCCATTGAATCCCCCGCCTATGCCAAAGCCGCCTCAAAGAAGAACTCCCTCCTCCCCCCCAGTGACCGATCGCGCCTCCGCCGAGAACGTTTTCAAGCTTCTTCCACTTTCCCTTTTGGCTCTCCGAGTCAGTAAGGTTGATCCCCATGAAGGACATAACCATGCCAAACCCAAGAACCGCACCAAGGGCCTATGGACCGTGAAGATCGAACAGCACCAGGAGACCGACCCTATGATGCATTATGTTTGGTTGTATGACGGCCCACAGTGGAAGCAAAAGGCCATGGCCGCCGCCGTGGTCGCGGGTATTTTCGCCGTTGTCCTGTTCCCGTTGTGGCCTATGATCATGCGCCAGGGAGTGTGGTATCTGAGTGTTGGCATGATGGGACTGTTGGGTCTCTTCTTCGCCATGGCTATCTTCCGTTTGATTCTCTTCTGCGTTACTGTCTTCACCGTGGCCCCAGGTCTCTGGCTCTTCCCCAATCTGTTCGAGGATGTTGGATTCTTCGACAGCTTCAAGCCTCTATGGGGTTGGCAAGAGGTATGCATCTGTTCCATCCTTATATTCCCCAGAAATAGCAAAACTGACAATTCAATCCCACAGACAAAAAAGAGCAAAAAGTCTAGCAAATCCAAGGCCTCAGTCTCTGCTCCCGCCCCAGTTACCGCAGCTGCTCCCTCAGATGCCCCCTCGGCGACCACAACCTCCGCCAAGCCCACTTCTACCCCGTCCACAGTCGCAGCGCGACGAGGCCTGACCGCAAGTGTGGAAGAGGTGGAGGAGTAGTGCTACTACGTTTCGAACGACATTCAAAGCCGATAGATCAGAATTGGTCTTCCACGGTCTTTCTTATGCGGGTGCTTATTTCAAGCCGTCCGAGATTTGTATTTGCAAGATCCTTATTCCATGTTCATTCTGGCGTTTTGGGTCTTACTTACCCTGAGAATTGATATCACTGGGAAAGCCTTTATTTCCCTCGGTTTCTGCCTTTATTTCATTACACAACTTCTATTTGGGTTCATGTAGCATCAAATTGATATAGGAATATTGCAGGCAGTAGAAAACAAGGAAATATGGTAATGTACAGACTCGGTTCTATGCTCTATACCCAATGTAAACCCATCCGCCGTAGCTTATGGAATCCCAATAGGAAACAGAAGACAGAAAATACCGAGGTTAGAAGAGAGAAGAGATAAGCTTCCAATACAAAACAAGAAAATAGAATAAAACGGGGTATATACATGTACAAGAACAAATGCCAATCGAAACAATCAAAACGAAGAGAGTAATGCATAGATAGTATAGACAAAAAAGGAACTAACATATGCACGCAAGCATGGTATCACCGATGCGCGCAATAAGAGAATGGATATGGTAGGCTCTCAGATATGCAATAGATGCAAAAAGGGGTATACGATGCTGAGTAAGGCCGAGGCCGAAAAGCCAGATATAGATAGTAACAACAAATTCGAGAAAGGAAAGAGGGTATAGGGAATGCATCTCAAGGTATTTGTCGTGAGAAGGAGATCGTAGGAAAAGTCCAAGGTCAGGGATATGAGGTGAATGGGACATTGGAGTATCGACGTTGTAGCGAGGTAAATTGTTATAGATGCGATGGTGAGTCACAGAGAGGGTGGATTTAGACCAGGGGACTCTTGATCAGTTTCGAATGCCGAGCAGTTCGTGGGAGATTGCTTGCTGGATTATTGCTTGGGGTATGGGCACCGCTCTTCCGATCTTCGACGTGATCTCGCACTGGCTCGGATCCGTAGAACCGTTGCGTTGGAGACGTTGGAGACCAGGGTGATAGCATCTGTGGGGCGGTCGTGCCGGTGGAAGTAGCAGGGGTGGTGGTGTTGGCGATAGGAGGGGCGGGGGAGGGGAGTTTAGGGAGTGGGCAATTGGGGGGTGGTGCAGATGGGGGCCCGCTTGTTAAACCAAGACCGGGCATGCTCTTGCGGCGTAACATGCTCTGAGCAGCTTGGTTGTCTGGGTATATAGTGGAGACTCTCTTGCGCGGTATTGGGTTTGTCGGTGGAGGAGCAGGTTGGACTTGGGTTGCATTGATGGGTTTCCGACTCAAACTCGAGCGGCCGATCAGACTGACTGGGTGGGAAGATGCTGTTGGATCAGGCAGAGGTCCTGTAGGAGGCGCTGTTATGGGCGCCCGGGAGAAGCTTTGGGCATTCTGCATTGGACGGATGGTTTTGGCCAGTGCATCCTCTGAATTTGAGGGTCGTAGTACCCGCCTGGGCTCGGATGAATCTGTGTAGCGCGAACTGGCGACGCTGAATGTCGGGGATTGTGGGGGAGATGCAAATGTAGACATATTTGGGACTGTCTCGGCGCGGCGTGCAGACCCATTAATTGACGAGGGAGGAGAGGCATGAGAAATAGGGATCGGCCCCGATCTCGGAACGAATTTCTTGCTAAACGAGGGGACACTGAAATTAGGCGCTGGAGGTGAAGCACTGCGGATGAGAGTTTCGGGAATAGGCGGCGGGTGATTCGCCTGCGGCTCCTCCGTGAAGTCGGTAATTGGGGGAGGTTGAGGTGGCAGGGGCTTATATAAGGATTGACGTTTCCCTTGACTAGAAGCGGGTGGGCTGCGCGTATATATTCGATCAAGCTCTTCCGGCAGAGGCTCATCAGGTCTGAAAGCACCGGTGCCTATTGGCGGCGAGTTGGGTATATTCGAAGAAGTGAATGACGAAGAACGAATGTCAGACCTGATCGAAGCAGAACCGTTGGTAGGATTTGTGGCCTCAGTTCGGCCAGTCGACACTGATCCGGATCGCGATTCAACCGTTGAGCGACGATTAACTGACGCATATGAACTGCGGCGAGATTGCCATGTTGCGGCACCGACAGAATGGCCATCTACTTCTTCAGTGGGCGATTGCAGGGTCTGGGGTTGAAGGAAAAGACTGGAAATGCGATGGGGATCTTTCTGTATCATTTGTCGAACGCTTGTTTTGGACCGCAGCTGAGGCATCGTGTCTTCATCCGAGTGCTTCTCTTGCGTGAATTTGCGTCCTCCTCGTTTTTCAATCTCAGCTCTAACGGCCACCAACCAGCCAATCATATCTTCGGGGTTGTCGAACACCAGAAGAAAGTTGCGCGAAAACCGCCGGGTATTCGGTTTGTGGAAGCCAAAGCGCGAAAACCGAGGTTTGGGGGGCTCCGGCACGGCGGAATCATCATCTGTTGGATTGTGAGAGACCTGGACTACCCAGTGTTTCCCGGGGATAGCATCACTAGCAAATGCGACAGACTTGGGCCCTAGCAGTAGCATCCTCTCCGGAAGACGGTCGTGCTTTCCTTCGCCTGCATATTGGAGGATATAACCAGTGGTTGCTAGGACATATATTTTCTCAGTCCAATCCACCTTGTTGATGGTACCGGATAGCGTCCGGAGATGCTTCCTCTGCTTCTGTTCCCGCTTTTTACGCGCGGCATTGGCGGCCTCATCTTGTTCTAAGGGATTGGCAGGGTTATCGTCGGTAGAGCTCCTTGCGGTGGTCGCGTGCAGGCGCAAGATGGAATCCGCAGAGAGAGCAGGTGCCGGGAGACAGGCATGCTTGGTAGATTGGGGATAGGCCTGGAACAATGGGGGAGGCTTCCAGCCATACTGTTCCTGGTTCGCATGTTTGGGGTCGGGTTTCGGACGGGAGGGTTTCAATGTTATGCGCGATCGTTCTGTCGGGGAGGTAATTGTCGGGGAGGTAATGGTGGGATTGGAGTCTATAGTTCGGGGGCTCATAATCGAGGGCGACAGGGCTGTTTCCAACCGAATGGCAGTTTGAGGTTCTGACTGTGCCTCTGTAATCTCCTCCAATTTGGGATCTGCGCGCGAAGGCTTATGGCCAAAGAGATTACGCAGACTCGTTTTGGATGATTGCCTTTTAACCGGGGCCTGGAGCGGAACCGGACCTTCTGATCCATTGGTACTGGAATACTCGGTTGGCCGAGGGCGTTGTACCCGTTTTTGAGCAGCTGGTCGACTGAAATTGGTTTGTAGGGGCGCAAGTCGACGACCTCTGCGTTCGCCAATTGATGGCTGATCTGGATTCATGGTTGATAAGTTCCAGACAGCTCCAAACAGCTCCAGACAGTTCAAGTCAGGATTTCAGGTTGAGCGCATTGGAGAAAAAGGAGCGACCAAGGTTTAATATAGGCAATGATCATCGGGAAAGGAACGTGGGCATGGACTGATTCGACGTCATGGCACACAGCCCGTTGAAATAGATCTATAAATATGTAATTGAGAGAAATTGGCATTGGAATTGGGAATTGGGAATTGGAATCGAGGAACGACCCTTTCGGGAGAAAGAGAGAAAAAAAAAAAAAAGTCATCTCAGGATTTCAAGGGGAAATTCTCATTCTGACTAGCTCCAACCGCCCGGTGGGGGGATCTACTGGTGATAGTGTGCGACGGGAGGGCTAGACCGGGGAATAAAGGAATTTGCGAGCGCAAAATTGAGAAATTGATTCTCAATTAGATGGACCACATTTCAGTCCTTGACCTGGATCAACAGCACCCATCAGATCTGCACCTTGATCACAATGTTGTGCCATTGTAACATCCTTTTGGGTGAATCCTCGTGGACGATGGGTTGTCCAGTGCACATCGACCGAGCCAATCCGCTAATGAGGCGTCAGCCTTAATTTCTTTTTTTTCTCCTTTACCCAGGCACCGATGATTTAAAGCGATTCCACTTACCACTGTCATAGTGGGATGATGTTTCTTGGATGCACTCTCGGCTGCAATCATATTAACAAATGCCTACTCCGTAATAGGTTGTCAGTTTATCCAATCTCACCAGAACTTAGAAGCAGTCCCAGTCTTAAGTCCAGACCAGACCAGGAGAAAAAAAAAAAAGAAATAATAACTCACTACAGCCTTGAAATAGCTCTTAAAATGAAACGTTTTCGTGACCCCCATCCCGTCTCCGTCCTGCGCCCAGCCCTGCTGCAATAAAGCATTGGCGTCTCGGGCAAGTTGCTGCGCATCCTCGCCCTCGGCGAACTGGAACGCGCTGGATGCCATTCTCGGGAATGAGCGCGTGAGCGGTCTGTGTAGGTTGGGGAGTCGGGTAAGAGGTGTTATTGAGATGCGTCTTGAACAGAGACGCATGGAAGTAAAACAGTTCATTTTCTGTAGGAAAAGTAAGTATCTTTGGGAAGTCGAGGGGAAGGGGATTGGAGAAGTCGAAGGTTGAGGGCGCACGGACCAGAAATGTCTCTTATCGGAATTCGATGGCTGAGACTACAATGCTATTCTTGTTTATACATATATTGATGTTGTATACATATATTTATAGTTATTTATATCTGTGGAGATGTGGAGATGTGTTGATTGGAATATTTGCCATAGAACTGCTGTTAACATTTACTCCAAATCTATGCATTTTCTGAAGTGTAGGTTGCAATGCCATATAGATCATCCCTAAGCTCTCTCTCCAAGGACTGGGAGACGTTGGAGAATCACTGGGTTATTTCAACAGCAAGAGTTTGAAGGAGAGCCACCCACTGCCCAAAAAGTCTGGTTATTGAGTGACGAGTTGGGATTTCTTGAAGCAAAGCAAAGACTCGCTTTAGCTTTAGTATATTAGCCGCAGATCGTAATCCAAGCTTTTAGCCAGAGAACCTTTGAACGCAATTTATATTCGAACATCAGGCATTTTTCTTTTATATACTTTGTATAATTACGAAGTTGAAAAATACATATAAATAAGCTACATCTATGGTACAAAACATTGGCTTTACCGTGAAAGGAAAGCATTATATATGGAGAATACATAATCAAACTACGTACATGTATGTATGTGACAAACAACGCTCCTTCCGGATTCTATCACTCGAAATAGGCGGACATTTTCTGCCCCAAGGTGAGGTTATAATGAACTGAACGAATAGATATTTCGCCCTTCGGGGCATATTCAACTGAAAATATACAGAGAAGATTAGCATGGCCCCTGCACTAAGGATGACATGTCTCAATCAAAGAGAAGCTACTTTTTTTCTTTTTCTTTACAGATTCGATTTGAGGCTATACAGATGTGGGTCATTTTTGATGTGATGTGATTGGTCTTACGCTTTTGGGAAAGTCACGTGCATATTATTTCTCCACAACGTGTGTACGAATCCCGTGTTGCGCGAAATAAATATATTCTTTCTATACATTGACCTCCTATAATTTAGAGACACGCATTTTCAATTCATGCTTCCAATTCATGGATACGACTAGCATGATGTTGGCGATACGGGCAGCCAACGTGTTGATCCTTGTCTTAGTATCGAGCAATACTGGATTATCCGTGTCCTACCTGGACATCTCGGGACTCGGAGGTCCTAATACACTGTTATTCCCTCTCTTTTTTTTAATTGGAATCTGAGCCAATTTAACTCAAACACTAGATCTGAAGCTGAATTCCTCAAGCCATCCATACGAATGGCATCTGCATTTTTGAGCGAACATGGTCTTGTCGTATTGGCGCATCGGTATTTTTGTTCACACACTTCATCTTGACCTGGGCAGTTAGTTATACTTCAAGACCAAGACCAAATTTCTTGGAGGAATGCCTGTACTTCTCATGGCCACGGTTCCATTCTCCATATCTTGGACCAATTACTCTCTACAGCCCTCGTTCCGAGTGGTATTATACGAGGCGGCTAGATTAGCGCGAGCAAAGTAACCCAAGCTAATTACAAATAGACCATCGACCAGACCATCGACCATCTCGTTCTCTCCCAACCAACTCATCTTGGGGTTAATTCCACGCAAAGACGAAATGAATAAATCTCACGAGTCAGAGTCATCCAGTCAGGGGTTAATCAAAGGGTCGAAATATTCATCTTCCTGGAACTCTGGCAATGACAATGAATTCCCTTGTGATATTTGTCACAAAACTTACTCACGGCGTATGTTCATTTCTTACTCAACAGGTAGAAGAGGTCTGTGTCTAATATATTATACTACTAGATGATCTACGAGATCGACACCGGCGCCGATGTATTGCCAAAGGAGGCCAGGGCCGCAAATCCAAGCAGAAGTCTTGTGAAATATGCGCCCAAAAAAAGATCCGCTGTTCTTTAGCCCGTCCAAACTGTGCTCGATGTGCTCAACTGGACATCTCATGTCAATACCCTTCCGACAGAGAGGCGGGGAAGAATCTACGCTCGGTCAATACGATGGTTCCAACTATTCAGGAACAGCGGAATATCAATCTCACGATATCGGAGCCCTCACAGTCTACTGGGATAGACCCTGTATTCTTGGATGATACTTCATATGAAAACCATCAGACATCTCTGGACCCCAACGCTCCACTATCTGATACATGGCCACCCTTCGATTTGGAGGGTATGCAATTTACAGAGGATACAATAACAGATGAAATTTGGTCTTATCCAACTAAGATAACTGGGAGCCCGTTGTCATGGAATGGAGATATAACACATCTTCTAGAGTTTGAACCAATTCAATCTCTCCCGATCGGGTCTACTCCAACTTTCGACCAATCTGTTTCAAAACGTCTCGATCCCATCCAACACACCGAAAACAAATCAAGTCCATCCACAGTGAGCGGCCAATCACATCCCTCTTCTTTAGAAAGAGTATGGCTCGATAGTTCCAACGAAGAGGAGCGTTCAATGTCCGCAAACCTGGATAATAGGCTTTCCAGCCCCTCCCACCTCATCTTCGGGCACACATTCATGGTCGATCTGAGACACCAGATCAGCACTGATGCAAACAGTCTATGCCAGGAGATACTCAAGCATCTGCGGGAATATCCCAGTCTCATTCTCAACCGGGACTTCTGGTCCCCCTTCGTCCACCACAGATTATACCGCTGTTCCTTGGGTAGAATGGCACCACCAATGGCAGACGCCTTAGCTTGTGTAGGTGCCTATGCAAGCACAGCAGGGTCAGATTCTGGGTTTGTGGATCGGATGATATCCGAAGAGCGGGAGAAGCTTGTGCGAAATTTTCACAGCTATACCGATACCCCGGAGTTCTGCCTGGCTACTATGCATGCTGTATGCATTTATCAGATTATGGGACTGTTCGGTGCCAGCTTTTTACCAGCTGCAGTTAAGAAGCCAATATTTAGCAATGGAAGCGAGGAGCGACGACAGGAGTTTGAGAGATCCGCCGAACTCTATAGCTCATTCTTGTTGAAGGTGAGCCAGTTACACCTATTATTCAACTTATATAACCGATTGACTCACCAATATGAAGATGACCCGACGACTATCGAGCGTCCATTCAAAGGCCCTTCAAATCCACCATGAGGATGAAAACGACTGGAACCAATGGAAATTCATGGAATCCCTTCGTCGGAACTTCTTCTTCGTCCATATAATCAACATCCTGGAGTCGAAGACACAAAAATTAACCGGGAACTACTTTGAGCCATTGAACGACAACATGATTCTCAGACTTCCACTTCCTGCCCCGGAACGAATGTGGCGGGCATGCAGTTCCGAAGAGTGGATGCTTGCGCGTGCACAAACACTAGGACGTCCGATTTCACCCAAGACCCCTGGAAATAGTGGCGTATCGACTCTCCGGACTCTGGGGAATGCCCTACAGGAAGTCCACGCAGGAAAGGTGGATGTTGCGGCGTTGTTACCACTTACTCGCATGATCCTGGCCAGTGCTATCATTTCCCCGCCAGAGACTGCATCGTTCTAGTCGAGACCGTTAAGCTCCTTATGTCCTAGGCTTAGTCGATAAGTTTAAGTTGTCATTCATCTCGAATGACTCGCTTAATTCTACCCTGGGATTAAGAAGCAGGAAGAGGTGAGCACTGAAATTGAAAGGGAAAAGTATGCAGTGCCAATATGTACAGGAGGTATTTAGAAATACTATTAGAAATAGTTATAAAGTCTACTCATAGAAGTACAAAGAAGTCACCTATCTCTTCTAGCTTAGAAAAGATCTTTATTATAATCTTATTAATAATAATAAGATGATCGAAATGGGCTTTATATTCTTTCTTTTTATTAGTATAACTAAAATACTAAATCATTGTATTGAAGTAGGCCCTTTTTTCACGTAGGGTTCTCTGGTGCAACGATAGGGCTTTTGCTATTCCGAGGGGCATAATGCGTCACGTCACGCCTTTGATGTGGTCTTCTAGGAAGCTTCATGTAGGTCCGCAATTATTTTAGCGAGCGATAAGTCTTGGGGCTTGTGTCGAAATATTGCCCAGGTATGGCTTTTCCTAGACAGCCGAAGCAGATAGACAGGTATGGCTACCACTTGAGTATGGGCGTTGTCATAGTTGTACTCGTCATTGTTGAAATCGAATGCAAAATAGGTGTGTCGCGGCCACACCTCCACCGCCAAAAGCCTTAAGTCCGCCTCTTCTTTCCAAGAATCGACGAATCTTTCGATTAATTCGTGAGTCGAGGCTAGATAATCTTCGTGGTTCAGCTTTTCGGTAGGCAGATCACCGAGGATTCGGATTGAACGATGCGCTTCAAGAGCGTCGGACACAGCCTGATTTACTTTCTGCATGAAGCGTAGTGGCGGCCTTTCACTTTTAGATAGGTCGACAAGAGTCTCAGGTGTTGCCCTGTCCCAAGAGCGTTATGCACGGACCAACATAGGCGGTCAACATTTAGTCAAGTTGGCTGTTGTTGCGTGCCTAGGTGCCTGAGGCACGTGGACCCACATGGGACTTCATATGGTAGATAGCTGGTCTCTCTCTCCTTCTTTCTCTCCGTCCACTTTCTACTTTACGAATCTATCTGCATGGTTTCTCCATAAGCATCTCTTCATAGATTCTACATCAGTTGTTGACGCACCAATTTATACATTGAGCTTAGAAGAATTCTTACCCTGCCATACGAGCGGTATGATGTATTAATCTGCGAAATATTCAACATCCTTGTTTGGAAACTGAGAAATTACACTACACTACATTTACAGCAGCATAATAAAGATATAAAAGACGTTTATTGAACGAGCGTGAAGCGGTGATAACCCCCCTACGTGCGACAGCCGGTATACATCCAACTCGTATATAATCCTTCTATTTCTCCGGGTTTCAATTTAAACGTTATTGTCTTTGAAACGGGCTCTCCTTATAATATTCTATCTGCTGCCCTCCATATATCATAAACAATCCATCTAGTTCATATTAGCTCAGCGACACCACCGTAGAGGTATAACACATACTAGCTCATTAGGATTCATTTTTCTATCAACAAGATCTACCATACTGCTATCTGCCATGATCCGGTTCTTTGACTTCTGTTTACGGTCACAGTTTGTCTTATATATGTACTAAGTTACCGAGCCTAGTTACATATAAATCCTAACCTCTTGACAGAGAGATAATATTGCTTAACGCCACTCACTCTTCGGTCCCTAAACGAAACCTTATTCTTGAGTTGTGTCCATGCAGTCAATCAAAGATTATATGGCTAATGACAATATTGACCAGCACTAGTCTGATCTATTCAATCACAATCGCGCAAGGATCATCATGGCAGTATAATCTTTAAAGTCTAGACTTTCTACGTGTCAATTAATCCTATCACGAAAATTTGATTTGACCTCCAAGAAACCAATTCTTCTGAAAGTCTGACCCCATACGACAAACAAGATGGTGTAACCAGCTCCTGAAGGACGATCGTAGCTAATTGATGAGAACAGGGGTAGTGCGTAGTGTATATGACATTGGTACGAAGGGTATATATATAATCCTGCATATCTTTTACGATCTCGGCGTCGCATATCCTTCAAATCAGTGCCATCCTGTTTCCCTACCCAGTTTGATATCTTTTCCATCTTGATACCTACAGTCTTATGTGAAATATGGGTGTATCAAATACCCTCTGGTCTCCGTTTATCGAACTCCTTGGATACTGCAGGGCGAGGAAGCAGTCACAGGAAGGCCTCCAAGGTTTGGATGCTTCTTTGATAAGTTGGACTGCAACATAATAACCATTGACCTAGAAGTGGTGCATGAGTGTTCGGCACCGTATCGTGGATGTTCCGTCAAATTGATTTCTGCAGACGAGCTTGCAGTGAGTGTCCCGGAGCTGTTGCATTCAGCCATCTTCCAATCGATGGCTCTGACGGATAATAAATAGAAACAATCGTCTAGGTCGAACTACAATGTCGGTAATCTACACATACGCATACTTGGACAACTGGTAGATAGTAGAAGTACCAATGTTCACCACATACAGCGCGAAATCAGGAAAACGGAGGAGATCCCGGGCACAAAGGATCTCATGCAGGAGTTGTGGTTTGAGCACTACTGGGCCTCACAGACAGAGCTGAATAAATCTTCAATTGGACGTGGTCTCCTACAAGCCGAGGCCTCCAAAGGAGTTAGCGAGCCCTTGCCTGAAGATCACGCTTTCAATTATTTCTGATTCACCCAGCTTCTCTATACCTTAGATAATGCCATCATGCGGTTAATCTGAATTATATGGCTGATTAATCCATGAGGTACCTACCTAGGTAGGTATGTAATTGTTGCAGACAGGAGTTTCTCCATACTTAATTTAAAGACGTAACAGGCGCGCACCAAAAGATTGATTCGTATTTGTAATAATTTCCTTCTGCTTGGGGGCCGTATGATTTATATCAAAGCGTCGATATATGCGACTTAGGACGCCCGTACAGTAAGCCAATGCAGCGACAACAGGGGCATATTGCATAACATGTGCTTGGCGCACTTTGTCAAGTATACCGAAACTAAGGTCAGGTTTCCCTCCGTCGCGAGAGCCATTCCTGAAATGAGTCCACCCAGCACTCTTGCACCTCGTATCCTATATTCTCGATGTAATACAGGGGGCTCAAACAAGGGACACTGGTATCGTCGAATATATCTTCACCCTTCTAAACCGCGCTCGTGGTAAGCAGTAACCCGATGATGTTTAGATCTGCAGCGTTCTTACCTCGCTTTGCAGACTAATCGTGTCAAATAGGAGACGTCTTGGCACATATTCAACCAAGACCCAGACGAAATAGTGAAGTAGTATGTCACTGGGCTACTGTACTTATCCAAGTGATAAGGAAAATGTGATATCAATTCGTCTCAAAGACGGCGATAACAAAACCCTGAAAAGAGCCCACGTCCATGTTGATGGCTCCGTCAACAAGATCCAGTCAGGGTATCACTAGGTGTTTTTGAGCAGTAGCTGTTTCAGGCGCTGTCAGTCATGCAACATGTTCAATGTGCATATATTGACAATAATCAAACTGACACGGGATCGTTTCCCATGTTTTGCAACTTAGACAAGTCAGATTTCTTTTACCATACTGTATAATTGCATATTTATACAATTCCTAGCTCTGCACTTGCCTTGAATAGGCTTTCTATACCTATAAACTTAATGAGATGGGGCGTAGACAATACAACATAAATTGAATCTTCTTGTCTGTCTGACTAGTAAGACTTTCCCAAATACAAATGAATGAGGGACTCTCTGGTAGTGTATCTTACTCTGTGGGACAAGTTAGATATCCTGCAGCAAAGAGATATTTGGCCTTTGGCATTAAGGCAGCTATTTCAGGGAGGAAGTGACAGCGAGTCAGGAGAAGAGAGAGATCAGCAATGCAATGTATTCCGGCTAACTGCTGATGATGGTTGATCAATGTGGTTGATTGTGAATGATAAGAAGGGAAAGAGAAGAAGAGAGAGGAGAGGAGACTATCTGGTAGTTGACATGTGACAGTTCTGACAAACAAGGTCATGTACTATGATCCCAACAGGAAGACGCAGATTGACCGTTATTCTCAGCATATATATATATATATATATAAATACCTTACTCTCACCCCTTTCTACGTCCATACAAATGGAGATATCTTACCTCGAAAAGACCAGAGAGCCGCATGTCAATCCGAAAAGCGGATAATGAGCACAATATACTACCGTCCTATTTGCCACGTCTTTTATATGTTTAAAATACAAGTGACAGACTAGGAATTGCTCAATTCAAGGCCAGATTTGTTTACGGCGACGTTAGCCACGGATCCGACAATAATTCCCTTGCAGTATTTCTTTCCTCTGGTCGCCACCGAAGCATTTTGCGGATAAAGGCGAGAAAGAGTTGCTGCTGTTTGCCATGCAAGTTTTCCTCGAGCTGTTCCAAAGACTTTAACGGAACCGGGACGGCTCCCTTCCAAATACCTTGATTTCCTCAGTCAGTGGCCGGAGGCGTGTAAGTCCTCTTTCGGGTAACGTACCTTCGGTATCAAAGAAGTTTGTAGAATAGCTGCTGTCTTGCAGCATCTCTTGTGGCGGTGGTCCAAGAAGCGCAATCATCTCAGCGATATGGTTGGCATCCGAGTTTTGCTTCATCGAATCTCGACCGTAAAAGAGATGGCCTTTTTGGAAAAGGTCCCAAGCCTGATGTGGTTATATTATTAGCTAGAAATTGGGTTCAAAGCATGCCAAATGTCTACTTACCACTACCCCAACGTTCCAAATATTAACCTTTTGATCCCAAGACATACGTAGTAAGACTTCAGGAGCCCGGTATTTATATGGTTGGATATCACCACAGTAACGAGTCGATCCAAACCGCGCTTGGCCGAAGTCACATAGAATAGGTTGGCCATGCAGCTTAGTTTCTGGGAGTTTGCGAGAGGAATAAATCACCCGATCCCCAACAATCTTCCGGGGGCTAGGGCTAGATTTCTCTGCTTGCTCAAAATCAGCCAAGATTGAAATGTCGTCAATGCCGAGCATAATATTCTTTTCTTGTATATCTATAAGGAACACATTAGGATGAAATAATTAGAAGCGAACAAGCTCAACATACCAGTGTGGATAATGCCAACTTCTGTATGTAGGTAATCGAGGGCAAGTAATGTATGCAATAAAGTCATTTTTAGTAATTTTTCGGGTAGTAGTTTGGCCGCGAACTTGGTTCGGAGGTCATATAGACTTATTCCTAGAGGCCGGTGTATAAGGCACTGATAGAGACCTTCCATAGGGCCGATTTGGAAGCTATCTAGCGCCGTACGAACAAACATGGCTCCCGCATGGGATGCTCTATGGGCATTAAGGCGCTTGTAGGCCTCAACCTCCCTTTTGCCCTCGGCTGAATCACGTTCGAGCACTTTTAATGTGACATACTTGTGCTGCCTAAGACATAATTAATTTTTATAACAATTCTCCGTACTAGCATCGGAAGAACATACGTGAGATCTCTGCAAAGCCACACCGTCGAGTATCCCCCAAATCCTAGTTTTCCAATTACCTGATACCTAGATTGGAAGACTTCGCCAATTTTCACTGGATAAAAGCGATCTTGTGTGTACCATGGAAGTGTTTCTTCTTCGAACTTGTCGTTTGAATCAAGTAGTTGGATATTTGATTGAGCGAATTGCCGCACGGGTGAAACAGGTCGCGGGGAAAAATGGCGTTTAAGCGACCACAAAGACGAAACATCGTTGTCGTGGTAAGAGCTGGGTAAAAACAATGTCAAGTTTGAAAGGGGGTGACGCGACCTTTATAACTTTCGAATGACCTCCAAGGGCTTGGACTTGTGCTGACGTAAGACACCCTGCTCCTGCTTCCACCGCCTCTGTTCTGCCAAGGTCATATGCTCATGTGTACTCCGTAGATAGTTTCTCTTTCTCTCTCCTTCTCTCTTCGGCCGATTCTTTGGTGACTATGGGTTTTTGAACAGCTTCATGTTTCGAGAGTCAGCCTCAAATTCACAAACAATAAGGCTAATAATGGATAAAAAGACCATTAATCATTACATATCGGCCCGCTTCAAGGACCATTGGCGCGAGAATACTCTGCTCGGAGATCGGCCAAGATCGGCGGGTTGATCAAACCAGTCAAGAAACTCAAATGGTAAAATATAGTAGCAACACTAGTAGAATTCATTCTTTTGTAAGACATCAGCGAAACAATTCGGTATTTTAAACTCTCCTTCCATCATCCAACCCACGCGTTCTTTTTGGCTTCTCCCTAGGTTGGGATTTTCTCGCGCCAATCAAGAGCGCCACTGAAGCGCTTGGTTGGATATCACCTTGTTATGTTGAGGGTCGTGTGACTTATGCAGGCCAAGTTATACGTCGGTGCTCAAATCTGAGCTCATTTGTCTTCATCATATAGAGGTGGTCCAGCTTCCCGTGGCCTCTCTCCAACTCGCCATCTGGAATTATGGGTATCACGGAAAGCAAAATACTCCAAGTGAAACTGGAAGCTGCGTGCTCAGATGCAGAAGACAATGGAAGAAACCAGGTTCTACATGTGCTGGGTGACAAGCAAGTGAGTGATTCACACTGAAAAAAGAATTATTGTTTAATCAAGATCAGTTTATCGACTGTCTTACAATTCTTTGGAGAAATCTACCGGACCGCCTAAAGAAACAAATCAACCCAGTTAGCCGCACTCGCCCCAAGCACACCCAAAAGGCCGAGAAAGGATCAATACGTCTGTCCGAACCATTGAAGAAAAACCTTGTTCAGTGGCAAGGGGATCATAAATCTTTTTGGAACATACAAAGGGCACTTTCTCCCCCTGATAGTTGTCCTATAACAGCAGTATACCACGAACTTACGGAAATCGAAGTTCGAAACTCTGGAGATGTGATACGTATGCGCTTTCTAAAGGTTTTCTTTCATCATTTGAAGGTTAGATTCTGTGCGACCAACCTTGGACTTGAAGCGGTGGAATGGATGACTCGGAAAGTTATTTCATCAGGGGCATATCGAGCCGAAAAAGACGAGATATCGACCAAAATCAAGGCTTAGGCACTTGTGGGATCAAGATATAACTCCCTTTGCAGAGACATTGGAGAGTATAACGTGGCGTAAGATTACACTTATCTAGGCACTTTAATTCGCCTGCCTAATGATTTCACGGATAGATAGTGAGTCAAACAGCGCCTTTCTATTCCAAACTAACATAAGCCATAGCATATTAAAAGAACTTCGAGTGAAGGGGCGTGATAGAGAAGAAGTGCTAGACTCCCTAACCCGCCGCGGTATTGGTAATGTGGATCATATAGAGGAGATGGACCGTTTGGCAAATGATATTTTTCTTAAACTTTAGGAGAGTATTAATAGTTCTACTACGGAAGAAGCACCTCACGGGGGCATATTTGTTTCACTATAAGATGGGCAATAGAAAGCTAGTACTCCCCTAGCGATCTCTCTAACCTGATACCCTTTTACAGACTAGCGTATCCTGTAAGGCACTCGAGTGATCAGACTATAGAATAAAGTGACCCGAGAAGCGTAAAGACCAGATCACGAGATAAATATGAATCATACAGCCAGTGGGTCAGCTCTTCCTCTAGTAGAAGAAAGGATACTTTTACTCATCTATTAAGCAGGTACATCCACAATATAAACTCCGGCGTCCGAACGCGATATTCGTAAAGACGCGGGCGACTGCCAAGATGTCGGCATCTCTAGAAGCATATCTATGATTGATTCCAGAACCGTAGACTATATAATGACCGGGAGCGCAATATCACATTCGGATAACACGTTTCGGATCTATCCTATGGATGCGGTATATCCAGACACTATGAATGTTATGCTTCATATAGACGATATATCTCAGATCTATCTAATGGATGCGGTGTATCCAGAAACCATGAATACCATGCCTCATATAGACATATTTCGGATCTATCTAATGGATGCGGTATATCCAGATACCATGAATGCCATGCCTTATGTGGACATATTTCGGATCCATCCAATGGATGCGGTATATCTAGATACCATGAATGCCATCCCTTATATGGACAACCCGTCTCAGATCCATCCTATGGATACGGTGTATCTAGATACCATGAATGCCATGTCTCACATAGACAACACGTTTCAGATTTATCCTACGGATGTAGACTACACAATGGGAGGCGCGCCCCCTAGTTGCAGAGGACAAATGTACGATGATTATGTTGTAACTCCCTCAATATGTATATGATATCAGAACAAGTTTATAGCAATTGCTAAGATTCGGAACGGGGATGAAATATTAAAGTACAAGAACGTTGGACCGACTCATCTTTCACCTCCCTTCTGGCAGATAAACAATGAGACAATCTAGGCGTGCGTTCAAAACCGTGGTGCTATCGATTTCCATAAAAGTACCAGGCGTGAGCATCACGCCTGCCACTTTAATATTGCCTGATGCTATACATTCACTCCTAGAACCTACAGACAAAGGAAAGAAGAGGGTCCGGATGCCGTCACCCTTTACGATCTCTGTGTTCCTAGAAATGCGATGAATCGCAAAACCATATCCCTAGACGCATGTTTTAGTACACACTCTGCCTAAGCTGGTCACAATCCCAGCCTACCTATATTTTATCGTATCCGAGCGCCTTTAATAAGGGAAGCGTCTTCTGGACTTGATTCTCGTCCACACATATGCTCTTATCTTATTGCATCTTGGCACTTTTGTAGACCTATTTAGCTAGCTCTTGCAGTTACGGAAAAGCGCTGCCTAGCTCTGTCGGTGGCATGGCTGCGAAGTGTGCCTGTTGTAAGATACTGTTGGGACAGCGATTTTACTATTGGGACAGTGGTCTAACCCAATTAAGTAAGGGCTGTTTTGGCACGCATTTTTCAGCCTAAGTGTTATTTATTATGGTATCTCCATAGTAAAAAACACGGCCCCTGAACCACCCCAGCCACATAGTACTTCCGTGATCTGCTCAATAATCCCCATAATAATGCACCATAATAATGTCACCATTAAATCACATGATTATGCCTAATAATAGATCACGTGGTTATATATAATAATGCTACTATTAAATCACGTGGTTATGCTTGCCTATAATGATACTACTATTATGTCACGTGATCTAAGATAGACAATATTGATCACGTGATTTAATGGTGGTACATATCATTATGTATGATCACGTGTCGGTAGGCATAATCACGTGATATAATGGTGACATTATAATGGTGCATTATTATGGGGATTATTGAGCAGATCACGGAAGTACTATGTGGCTGGGGTGGTTCAGGGGCCGTGTTTTTTACTATGGCAATACCATAATAAATGACACTAGGCTGAAAAATGGGTGCCAAGACTAAAATCCTAAAGGGGTTTAGACCCGCTGTCCCAATAGTAAAATCGCTGTCCCAACAGTATCTTACGTGCCTGTTCGAATGTTAGCACTGGCGAATTCGAGATCACCGTCATTATGGAACCATATACGTGAGGCCCAAATGAAACCGACCTTCAAATCTCCCCTATATCGAGCATAAAGGCGGTTGGTGAAGAGAAGGTGGAGTCTCCAATGGGAGGGGTATGGAGGGGTACCAAGCTGGATCGATTTCGTGCCCGACCGCGACTTTCCGGAGGGGATCAACGTAGATCCGACACTTCTGTACCGCATACTTTAGTCGTCATCTTCGTGGACAGCGGCGGGGGAACTCTCACTTAGGTCTTAAGGCCATATGCGAATTCGCAGTTGGGACCACCCGCAATGTGTGAGTGCTTGTAGCGACTGTGCAACAGCCAACAGAAAGTCTAGATGATCTGACTCTTTACGTGGCAGCCGCTAGCACATGTATTGCAATTGCGAGTTGTTAAGCTTAATCACACTTCATTGCAGGGCCCAAATAGGGGTGATCGGCCTAAAGAACATCCAGATCATCCGAATGGCCGAAACGGACGTTTATGGTTGCTAGCGAGAGGTTTCCAGTGCCAATTCATTGATTTCCATGGTCAAATTAACAAGCAAGGGAATTTGTCAAGGGTTCTCTTGCCGACCCCCAAGTCGTGCGCCTTCTGCCAACAACGTCTGTCTTCATACCCAACAGGGCTTCATTTAGCTGAAATCTGTCTGCATATTCTTTGGCCACCGAAGTTAGGAGCGATGCTGGCGACGCTTTTAACTAACGGGGCTCACTCGGTTCTATGCTTTGGGCACTTTTTAAGGGCCAATAGTTCTCTTGCGCCCGCAGGCTTTGGTACGGTTCTTGGAAGGTTTCTGGGAGCAAGCCGCTTCTAGGAGCAATATAGTCCCCAGGAAACCCGAGGTAGCTTCAAGGGTCTTGGGTCTCCGCCTCGGGGAATTAAAGTCGTGTTCCTGTTGGCACAGCTATACTAATTCCGGGAGGCGTGAGTACAGTTCCTGGGACTATAGCTGGGCCTTCTGGGAATGGACGAATGACTCAATATTGCGCGGAAGTCCGGTGAAGGTGTCGTGTGAGGACTTTCCTCAACCCTCAGAGGAAGAAAATTGACTATTTGAAGCCCAGAAATAGGATCCCAGGGGTGCAACAGCTCATAAAAGTCTCTTCTGTACAGTGTTTCTTGCATTTCATTTCCCAAAGGTCCCGATGGACCATCCCACTTCGCCTTCCCCAAATGACCGGTTGGTAAAGAGACAGCGTCGGGTATCCTAAGATATAGAAGATAAACCTAAATTAGAAAAACCATCTATAGCAATCTTTAAACGGTATAATTATCGAACCCGAGGTTAGTCATACCCTCTTCGATCCATGGATGGATAGCAAACAAGATTACTAACACTACCTAGTTAGTTAGTACCTAGTTAGTTAGTACCTAGTTAGTTAGTACCTAGTTAGTTAGTACCTAGTTAGTTAGTACCTAGTTAGTTATATAACTTGTTACCTCGTACATCCATGGATATACCAGCCGGTTAGCTAAAATATAATCTTATATCGAATATATAATCTAAGAAGCTATAAATTTTATTATATATATAAGACTCGATAAAGGTAAGATATAAGAGAAATACCCAAAGTTGTAATAGGAGATTATATAAATTATCTTATTTATAACCCAATTAGGGCCCTAACCTAGGTTTATATTAGGTCCGGTAGTAATCAGGGAGTACCTAATGAGCACCCACTAAGTATCAATCATTCTACACATGACTGAACTAAGCATGATCACGGATCTGACGTGCTGACATCTACTAAGCACCGTCACAAAAGCAGCAGCCGATCAAATGAGAAAAGTCCCACACGCCAGGGAAAATCCGGTACGTACAGGTACCTATGGAATTGACTCATTCGGAAGAAACTCGGAAGTAATAATCCTGGAAGTACATAATAGAGTGATATTAAACTACATTTAACATTTAACACTAGTCCCAATCAGTGTCGAATTGTCTAGCCCCGGATGTTTTGAGAAACCACAATGCCACAAGCCTTCGATGTGACCTAAGCTTGAGAGTATAGTGATCTTATGATCCATACCCAAAGCGGGTTCTTTAGATTGAATCAAAGACCTTCTGCTTCATCGACTATATCTAGTCATGTCCGGTTCCGGCCATGGATCAACCCAGACCTCCGGCAAGAATGCCACATCGTCTCTACCGTGTCCTTGGCACTGAGATCGAACAAAGTCCTAATGTCGTACTAATGTACCAGTCAGTGTATTACTAGATCATGCTGATTACTGCGAGATCGAACTCGATATACCCGCAGTTCTCATGCTGCCCAGGCAATGTCTTCCAACTATTAATTGTCCGAAAAGAAATCAAATATCTACACGAGTACACCGTTACTACATTTTTTTTAACTCATATAATGGTAACCACAAAGCAATCTTTTCAGTCAATAATAATGGTATAATTCATAATGGGTATCGCTCAGTCGCGAAAGCCTATAGCATACATGACAACCCCCCAGATCACAAATCTTGTCTTTGGAGTCAAAAGGAAGCACAGAAAAGCAAAAGAAAATTAGTTTTTTGAACCAGCGCCCGTTCCCCTTCCAGTCCCATCGTACTCAAAATGCACAAGGTCAGAAAGCCACAAACCGGGAGTGGGATATCCACCGAGCGTCAGGTGGAGCAATTAGAGCCAGCCACGCACAGCGTAGGATTGACGCCGACGTAAACATGCACAGAGAAGAAAGGTCAGAATCCTCATGGATTCCCATGACAGTGACTGCAGTCCCATTACTACCCCAACTGGGTATCGTATTCACAGCAAAAAAAAAAAAAAATACAACAAAGAACAGCGATTAAGGATTGAGGTTGATGCTGTTGCGGCGCGAATTGGCACGGGAATTCGCTTGGGAATTGACCCGGGAGTTGCCTCGGCTGCCAAGAGTTGGGCGGATGCGGAGGTCTTGCTGGGAGCGCGCATACGAACTGGCGCGAGATGCCGGAGGGATCTTGGATCCGCGTCGAGTCTGGACCTGCATTTGGTGGCGAGCATCCTCCAGCTGTTGGGCGAATGGAGAACGCTTGCGCAATGCTGGACCCTTCCAGTAGATGACATAGACCGCGACGACGAGTGGTAAGGAGATGCAGACTGGAATGACCGTTAGACCGATGACTCATGGAGGGAGATAGGGCAGGAGAGACATACAAAGAATGGTCGAGGCGTATTCGAGATGATATTTGCCACCGATATCTGTCAAGAAATGTTAGTATTATATAACAATGCGAGATTCATTGTCGATGACAACTTACTCTGGAAGAACGGCGTGGCCGGAATAGTGAGAACACCGGCAAGGAAGTCTCGCGCCCACCCATTGCCACCGGTCGCAGACGCAGAGTATGGTCCGTAGGCGCAGATCATGTAGTCAACCGTGGCCATGTAAATAGCATAATTTGCAACACCGATGATGGCAGCAAAGATCATAGATCCAATCCAGTGGCACTGGGGCAGACTGGTCCAGGCGAATCCGATCAGACCAATTGGTAGACAGGGAACAGTGTATAGCAGCCACCACAGACGGGACTCGTACTGTGCCCGTTCGCTCTCCGGATTGTCGCGGCGCTCTTTGATATTGCGTTTGATGGCGGGGAAGAAGGAGAACCAAGCTATGAAATAGCCAATCACAATTGGGATGAAGGCCAGACCCTTCTGCCAGGTGTTGAAGCCCCACTGGCCGTACACAAGGGAAAGCGACTGGATGAACATGAAAATAAGGGCATCACTGAAACCACTCAGCAGAGAAAGCACCAGTACAATGGGCTCAGTCAGGAACATCTTGAAGGGGCGAATCCAGGTAGCCATGAGCTCACGAGGCGGGAAACGCTGGCGGAATGACAATCCCTCTGTGGGGCCATAGATGTTGGGATTTTCGCCGGACTTGCGCATATTTTTGGCAATCCGATCCATCATAACGGTAGTTCTGGTTTCTGGGACCAACAGGTAGTGGGCAATTTGCACGAAACCACCGAAGATCAACTGAATCCAGATATTCCACCGCCACGGCAGGAAAGCTTCGACGAAGCCACCGACCACCGGACCCAGCACAGATCCACCAACCGATGAGAACACGACAGCTGCCACAGCGTATTGTTGGGCATCGGGTTCCCACATATCGGCAATCATTCCCAGGGTGACAGAACCACCAGCGGTCGAGAGACCACCGAGGGCACGACCGACCATGATGGAGGCGAAGTTGGGGGCCAGGGCCACGGGGAGCTGGAAGATGTTGACCAGGAACAGAGATGCCTGGAGAATGGGCTTGCGACCCAGCTCCTCACTCCATGGTGCCCAGAGTTCACAACCGAAAGCATAGAGAACCAAGAAGATCATGGCACCACAGCGTGCTGCCTGCATGGAAACATTGAATTCCTTTGAAATTCCTTCGGCGGCATTTGAATAGAGCGATGTGTTGAAGTTCATGGAAGTTTGCACGAGGAAGATTGTAGTGATAATGATCCACTTCTTCTTTTCAGTGAAGGAGTATCCCAATTGATCGTAGCACATGTCCTCGGTGAGCTCGACTATCTCATCCGGTGTAGGTGAGGTCTCCTCGAGCTGATCCTCTTCTTCTAACTTTTCAGTAGCAGCATTGACAACGGCTTGGGCGTGGGCAGCTTCTGCTGCCTGCACAGTATCCCTGCCAGGTTTCTCATAGTTGATTGCCATTGTTGTAACTGGTGACGCCAAGGTGATAGTGTAGGATAAACTGGTATAGAAGACCAGTGATAGTTAAAGAAAACCCCCCCAAGAAATGAGGACACAATAAGTTTGGGGAAGATCAATAGAGAGAGCACAAGAGAGAGAGAGAGAAGAGAGATAGAAAAGTAAAGAAGTAAGAAAAAAGAAAAAGAAAAACGAGGAAACTGGGGGAATTTAAATACACACAGAAACGGGGGAGAGTAAAGATAAAAAGGGTAAGAGCCAAATGCAGGCAAGAGCCAATGTTTCCAAGGTTCACCATGTCAGTACATTTCCATTACAGTTCTAGTACGGGAGTACAGAGTTTCCAGTATGTCAATTTCCACGTTTCTTTTTGTGATCGACGAAGATTAATCTGCAAATTTATTACAAAAATACATCAAATGTACCAAATGTACCAAATGTACATCAAATGTACCTGGTACTTAACTTTACTGGTTTACAGTTTACACACCCTTCAGGACGGGATGCCGAGTTCTCTCCACTTTTTCTTTTTCTTTTCTCCAGATTTCTCTCCAGACTCTCTCCAGACTACCTAGGTATTGCCTTCTTTGCCTTATTTTTTTGAACCCCTTTGAATCTATTTAGAACCCTTTGGATACACAATTCCATTCTTAATCCATGACCTAAATCCTATAAACCTCTTACGAGTAAGAATTTGATTCCTTTCTTTCTGGTACTTCCCAGGGCTAAATAGCCGGAACGGGAAGCTCGCATTGGGGTAATCGGACCCACCTTGAAGAAAACTACATCTCCAGTCAACTTTCCCCCGTTACCGGTCTGTGCCGAGAGAATGTCCGCTTCGGGTTTTAATCTTTCTAGATGCAACATCAGGTCTACGTCAGGACTATAGAATGTCATATCAAACCCCATATGCCCCGCGAAGCAAGGGGCTGGGGTTATTACCGTGCCCGACCGCATGGTTCCCCATATGTTGTATGTGATGGACATCCTACGAGAGATGGGGTGGACTCCATAACAAAATTCTATGTATAAAAATGATAAAAGGGGGTTAAAATAATGTAAAGTCTTATTAAAACAAGATATTGCCAAGTCGCCCATTACTTGCCTTTCACTGTATGTGACGTCAGGGTCAGGTCAGGACAGGTACGGCCAAGGAACACCCGACCATCGACCATCGATCATCGCGATGGTCCATATGGCGGGCGTGGCGTTGATCGTCATCAGGGCTGGGGCCATAACTCTTGTTCTGACTCTCGGACTACGCTTACCTCGTGATCAACTACGGAGTATACATGTATTATTATTATTATTTGTTATTATTATTATTATTTCTTTTTCTCTCTCTTACGTCTCAACCCGATTATCCAAATCTGCAAAAAAAAAAAAAAAAAAAAAAAAAAAAAAAAATAGGTTGTCCTTCGGTCTTCCCGGCTTTACGTTCCAGAATACTGGAAGACTGTCAATTACGTACTCAACCACATATAACTACCTAGGTACCACCCATAACCACACGAAGGATCGGAATCCCTTGCAGGGCAACCCTTTCACTGTTACATTTCCCCAGGATTATTGATCCTCACCCGCCATTGCCCACTGGGGTAAAAGACCAAATAAAAGAAGGTTTGCCTAGTCACATCGCCCTTGGGGCGCCCTGAAGGGCAAGGGGGAATATACGTCCGGAAACAATCAGAACATTATTATACGTCCCAACTCGAACTTTGATACATTCCTGCACATGGCAAATCACATTCCTAAGATCGACTAAATCGTATTTCGAGCGCCACGCGATTCTTGGATGATCTTTGCGGCGATCCTACGGTCGGAATTTATTTACAACATACATTGTAAACCTTGGAACTCTATGGCATGACTCTTTTAAGAAATTTGTAAATTTTGAAGCGCCACTCGGGGAAACCGGTGTGTTCCCTTTCTTGGCCTGTGCGCAACCAGGGGCCAAGAGATGATTTGCTGTGGCTCAACCTCTCTGATCCGTGGACGCCTGGCCTGGTCCATATTCCGGAATAATCCTATAAGCCCCGAAAAGAATCCGAGTGGTACATGTTCGGGGTGTAAAGAGAGAGAGAGAGAGAGAGAGAGAGAAAAGAGACCTCTAACTAGAGCATTCCACAACAGTTTAAGGCTATAACCTTCTTAGGAACTAGTTTCCACAAACGGGGTTTTGCATCACGTGATCGACCCCGCGAAATAATGAGGCTGAGTCATCAGATCATCACGAGCGGGATGTCTGACGTTACCGACAGATCTTAGAGCTTTTGTGCAATCAAACATATTCTTCATCCCCCTTACACAGCTATTGCTTGAAGATGTCACCGGATCTGAATTCTCTTCCTCCATCTCGCTCATCTTCAACCTCCTCCTTGATTCCGCAACGTAATATGCCCACTCCTGGAACTGGTCCGGCCCCCGTGAACCCGAACACCGCTTCACCAAGGCCCTCCCGTGGCTCAAGCATAGGTCGACCATCGGTATCCGAGCGACGTCGGTCCGCTGCCGGCACGAATCTAAACCTGAATGAAATGCAGGGCACTAGTATAGGAGCCAGCAGCGAGTTACCTGTATCAGACCACCGTGATCATCGCAGCTCGATCGGACATGCATTCCGCACAGGCAGCCCATCCAGCCACGGTGGAAGCCCCATCTTCGCAACAGCAGATCCCCACCATCAGCGCGCACCATCGTTGGGAGAGCTACACCAAGAGTTGGAACAAGAACAGGAAGCACAAGTGGTGGGTTGATCTATAAATATCCCCCGGACACCAAATTGTAGTAAGCTAACTAGGTAAACCATGATGGCATGTAGAACCGTCTTCTCCAGATGATCCGCAGCCAGCAGGCCCAATTGCATCAATACCAGCAGCAACATAACCCACAATCAACCGCTGCAATCGACGACACAACCCCGGCATCGGAACGGTCGGCTTTCTTCCCCCCTGGCCCGGCAGCACCTCCAGCCGGGAACAGATTATCGATCTCTTCTTCATTCTCAAACCGTCGAAACTCGCGACCTTCAAGTCAAGCGACGTCGCCGAACCTGCGGCCGCTAGACTCACGTGGACCAGAGGGCGTGGAGCCATTCCCGGGGTTGCGGGAGAGCCCATCTCGGCGCGGGAGCCGGGACGAGAGTGCCTTTTATCAAGCCGAGGCGAGCTCACTAGCCCGAGAAAACGTGCTCCTTCGGCAACGGATCCGGGAACTAGGTAAGAAAATCCCGGGTTAGCGGGGTTTAGCCTAATTCTACAGAGTAACCCCACCCCGAGATGTGGATCTCGATTTAACCGTGTATACTAATATTCCCCTCCACAGAGAGACAAATCGGTGGCCTCACGACTTCCCAGAGTACGTCGTCTGCAACAACTACTTCGGGCATTGCGTCCGGGCAAGCGGGGACCGAAACCGCGGACCCGCCTGCCGTGGGTTCAGCGCGAGACGGCAAAGACTGAAAAAGCGCCCTTCGCACGAGTCTTAGCCCAACCCCCCAAACAACCATATGATTGATACAGGCGATACCCCGGATGTCAGCCCAATACTATGTTCAATGCACGATGCAATACGATGACCAAGAATAACCACAGATAACCCCTGAACCCCCCCAGGCAATGGACGTTGCGCGATTTTGCAATCTTGGCGTCTAGGTTTTCGTGAAGGATCAGTCTTTTGGGTTCTGACCATATCCCTTTTTTTTCAGGACAAAAGGCGTTTTTTTTCCATCTCTTTTGTGGAAATGTGCAAATTTGACTTTATGCGCTTTTTGTCAAAGCTGCAGTGTGGATCTGTATGAATTCAGGATGTAATGGCCTGTTGCTGGTGTTGCTGTTACTAGCAAAACTTCCCATTGGAAGTGTCGAGGTCTTTAATATGGGAAACCCGAAATTAATGTAGAAATCCATCACAATATATGTTGGCTTCATTTACTGCGCTGTAGGTAAACACTCATAAGAGTTGAATTTATGTAAGATACATACATGTAGACTACACTGCCTTCAATGTTCCCAGGTAGGCTTAGCCATATCAACGAGGTACTCTCTCGAGATCTAGTATTCCTCATGTTCTACCACTTCTACCACAGTCTAAATCATATCCTTGTTCAGACAACTCCGATGTCAAAGTCACACAGATCCCCCCAAAGATCGAGGAACACAGTCCAACAATGACCCCATGATCAATAAAAGACCCCAGTACACCTAACCATCCTTAGCGAAATCCCCCCGTCAGAGTCCGCAGTTCATACGAGTACCGAAAAAAAAACAATCATATCGACAACAGCCCATCAATCAAAAAGATGCCCAAGCCTCAACCGATTCCAAAATACCAACCATATAACAACTCCTCACGGGAATACAATCCAACAACCGAATCTCCCAAACCAGCAGGAACAAGATCAAACCCGCACCAAAACACCGAACCAAAGTGATCGAAATCCAACCAGACCTTACATCTACCGAGAACTACATAATCACCATCCTTCCTCCTCTCCTTCCTCCCCTTCCCATTACAAGCACCCTCCTCCGTCTGCTAATACACAACCTCAAGAACATGTCCAAAGTTGCAAAGAGTCACAAAGAAGAACCCCACAAGTACTGTACCCCCGGTGCTAGAAACACCATCAATCAGATCCCCCCAAACATCCCATCCCTCACGATACAAGTATGAACCTCGCGGACCTGTTCCACAGACGGATGACGGATAGGCAGGCGCCGGGTATACAATAAAGGGGATGTATCTCGCTGACACCGAGACTGATATATTTGTAACTGTAACTGTGGTTGTATCTTTATCTTTATCTGTGGGTGTGGTGTCTCTGTTTGTATGGGCTCATGGAGATGTGCCGTAGATAGTAGGGAGAGAGCCCGGGCATTTATCTGTATTCTTTTTTTTTTCTTTTGTATAGTGTTACTCCGTGGCCGTATCACCGAGATGGTTGGTTTGGTTTTCGGTTGAAACAACTGAATAAAGCGATGGGTTTGTAGTGTGTGGTCTCTTGGGCAGTCGTTGTCACGGCGTTAGTTCCCCGATGTGAATGTTTATTTTTCAAGCTTGGAAATTGACTTAGGACTATAGAACTGGAGATTGAGTATCTACAATAAGGCAAAGTATACAGGAACTATGAATAGACACATTTGTCGATCCAATTCATTCTATTCAGAAAAAGAACGTAAAACTAGAGGCGAACCACATTGAGTACAATAACAAGTGTACATGTAGATACAATACACAATTCCAAGTTCAAAAAGAAAAACAAAGATATATTCATCTAGCAGGCGCTGGAGTAAGGAAACAAAAATCCAATAGCACCTAAAGTAACAAAAACCGGGTATATGCAAGACATATCTACAGCTTTGGCTTCGCGGCCTGGGCAATCAGGTCGGGCATGAGGAGGTCACGAAGCTCAGTGGCAGCCTCATTGAGGTAGTGACTCATACGTTCAGCACCAATACGCTTGCAGACAATGTTGAAGTTGAGACTGGAAAGGATTAGTTAGTGATATGGATAAAAAAGAAAAAGAAGGGGGACAGAGGGTGCTTGATGCTTACCTGTTCTCGTTGATCATGTAGGCAATTCCGAAACCATCATCAATAACTTGGCTCCACCCGTATCCGTTGAAGAACTCAGAGCTCAGCTGGGAGGTGGAGAGGTACCAAGAGGCAGAGTAGGCGAAGGCGGGATCCTGGTAGATCTCGGGAAGCTTCTCACCGGGCTGGAGAAGCTTCTTCAGACCGAACAGGTGACGGTCAACACCGTGACCGGAGCTAGCCTCCTGGGTGTACTTAGTGTGCTGGGCGAGGGCAGCGCGGAAGAGCTTGACAGTCTCCTCGCGGGGGGTGGTGTGGTCCTCGTGAGCCTTGCAGAAGGCGACGCTCTCGTCGGAGACGGAGCGGGTTGTCTCCGTGCGGCCTTCGGCGTACTTGCGAGTGGAGGCAGACTCGTAGGTGGGACGGTTCTTGCCGTACATCTTGAAGTAGGCCAATTGGATGGTCATCTGGACGAAGGCGTCGGGGCTGCACTTGAACTTCTTGATCAGACCCTTGCCGTATCCCTGGTAGGCCTGGACGACCAGCTCGTGAGAACCGATCTGCTTGCGGTGGTACACAGCTGCGACATCAATGGCCTCATTGGCGGTGTCGTTTAGCTTGAAGTTGATAGGCTTAGGGTCGGCGAGCTGGGAACGCACGGTCTGGGCGGAGAGGTCGATCTTCTTGTTGAAGATGACATTGTTGATATAGTCGTTCAGGCGGTGGGTGGGAGTGCCATCCATCATGCTGTGCTCGCCCATGAAACCAGCGGTACCATTGTCGTTAATAATGAACTGCAGAGGCTTGTCGAACCAACGGTTGGAGCCATCACCGTGCCAGTACTGAGAGCAGCGCTCAGCCAGAGTGACAGGGCGGGCATCGTCCAAGCAGACCACGAAACCAGCGGACTCAATCTCCTGTAAGGCCAGCTCATTGGCAGGGTCAAGAGAAACGATGGTTTTGCGAGCAGCAGTCCAGTGATCACGGTCGGCAACAGTCAGCACACCAACGGGTGGCGCAGGCTGTGCAACCTCATAGATGCGCTCGAACTGTTTCTCCAACTCAGAGACATTGAGCTGCCGACCGTCCACGACGAGCGGGACCTTGAAGAACTGGTTCTTGCGGACCACAACGATGTGCTGGTTCTCAGCAGCGGCATACTTGCGAGGGAAATCCGACCCCTCGGCGGGGATGCGGCAGCAGTTGAACATGTACTGGTACGAGCTCATGGCCTGAGGTTCCTTGCGGAGGTACTCGGGCTCCAAAGAGCCATCATCGACCTTAGCCTTGAACTCGAGCGCAGCAGTGGTAATGGCAGCAGCGCGCTTGGCGGGGTTGCGACGCTCGCGGTCGTCCCGGTAGGAGTAGAAGTAGGAGACGTAAGGGATGACGGGGTCACGGTAGGTGAGGTAGGCGGCCTGGTTCCACCATTCGGCGAGCCAGTTCTTGATCTTGGGGTCGGCGGCGCGAGCCAAAAGACGTTTCTGTAGAGACTCACCCTGACCACCGGGGCGGACGAACTCCTCTACGGCATTCTTGGTGCGCTCATACTCGGACTCGGAGACAACGGCGTGGACGGACTTGAGGTACCGACGGCTGGTCTCTTCTAGGGAGGGAACGGGAAGTTTGGGGAGAGAGTCTTCGAAACGAAGCATTTTGCCCTTGGAGAGGTCCTCCGCGTATCCTATTCTTCTGTTAGCAAGTCTGATTCTTATTTGGGTGTAGATGGGCTAAGGGATAGCCCGCATTGCGCCGGACGCATGTGTTACTCACCCTCAGGGACGGAAGATACCGTTCGTCGGGGGGCCATTGTGAGAGTCTATATGCGAGTCAATGGATTGATTCCAGGAGATTTCACTGCATTCCACAGTAAATCCACTGTCATTTACAAGAGGACTTACTGAGCGGGTGAGGAGAGAGTTTGGAGGAAGGCGTTGCCTTGACAGGGTAGAAAGACGACTTCGGGCAGAAGCAGTGAACATGCCTCTGGTTAAATGAAAAATAAATTTGTTATAAAGAGAAGTGAACGTGAAGGTGAAGCTTAAAGGGAAAATAAGAAGAGAGTTGGCCGAATGACGCTACAGAAAGCCTCGGCTGGCGGGGAAGCCGGTAAAACGCGGTACCGGGGTGGGTGTGTACATACATAACTAATGTAATGTAACTATCTCAATCGGTCCCGTCCGAGTTATTCTTTTCTTTTTCTTTTTCCACGGGAAAATGAGGATACGAAGAGATTGAGACTGTAATGAATAATAGTTTTCTTTTATATTTTCATATATATATACATGTATATTTACTATGTTTTTTCTTATTGTGTTGGCTACATACATGTGTATATCTCAATTCGACTTATAAGCCATTGAAATATAATACAGAAATACCAATACCATACTCCACCGATGAGCCTCGGTCCGTTTCCTCGTTGATCTTCGCAGTCACAAGGAAGAAAGGGAGATGGATATCACCTGAGAATAGGAGAATATTATTTTCATTTGAAAAGGCAGTATATAATTGTATAAAACACAATTATAAAACACAATTATAGACATCAACAAATTATCCAAAATACACAAAACCCCCAAACTTCAATACTCCGGTTCTCCGGGCGATCACAATGCGGGGAGAGCTTCTAGCGTAAATAGATACACATACAATATACAACATACGGAATCATGGACAGTCTCAATGTACATAGATAGTGACAGAGTAATAAGAGAAGAAAGATAAAATAGCGCTAGATTATGTATAGATGGGAAAAAAAATAAATCGAAAATCTCCCTTTCATCCGAACCCGTTGACCCGGCCAATAAAACAAAACAAAATTCAACAAGAAAAATGACAAGAGAAAAAAAAGAACAAAAAAAAGAAAAAAAGGAAAAGCCACCTTGGGGATATCCCAAAGTACACTAAACACGGGGAAAAGGAAATATGAAATAAAAGTCAAAAAATCATAGACACCTTCCAAGGTGGATCAAGCCCAAATCGACCATCAGGAGACTGGCTGCACAGCGGCCGGTTGATCCTGGCCATCGATAGGTCGAGGTACCTGCACCCCGTTGCGACGGAGTTCGTCCATTTTAGCCATGGCAGGTCCCGTGCAGATGCGACCGGTCTGCATAAGCGTACGGAGACGTTTCCGACGGGCCTCGCCGCTGCGCTCTTCACCACGGGCAACGCCCTCGTCCACCCAGTCCACGGCATGGACCTTGAAGCTCATGCCGTCGTGGTGACCGGCCCATTTGCGGGACTTCAGCCCGAACATGAGAGTGCTGTCATACTGTGCCACGCGGGGAAGAACGAGCAGGGTGATGTGCAAGTCCTTGTCGGTGGGGGGATCGGTGGTAGGCGTGGGCCTTTAGTCGGGTTGTCGCCATCAGTGGCTTCGGGTGGCGGTGCATGCTGGTAAGTATCTTTAATCTCGAGATCGAGCATTGACTCGTCCACGTCGTCACCCCACGCACCACGAATGAAGCCGGAGTGGATGGCAGCGGCGACAGGGTCGGAGTCGTCTGTATAAACACCAGTGCCCCAGAGGGCCCGCCGGGCGCAAATTTCCTCCCGGTGAGATTGGTCGATTCGGAAACGGGGCACTCGGACGGTAAATGTGCAATTCTCCCGCTGTTCGAAGCGGGGGAGGGGCTGGGGGGGTTGTTGTATATCCAAATTTGGAGCTGTCCAAAGAGGACTTGGCAGTGGGGGAACTGATGCGAGGTGTGTAGAGCGTAGAGCCAAGGTGGTGCCGAGGAAGATGGGCCACACTCGAAATCAACGGCTCCAGGTTTACAGTAGTACGAGGCTCGCGGATAGGAGATGCAGCGGGAATGGTGGCTGGTCGAGGAGCATGGTGATGATGATGATGGTGATGTTGGTGGTGATGGTGTGCAGCAGGAGGCTCCGCCGGGGATGTTCGATGGAAGAAGGTGGGACGTTGAAGGGAGCTCAGGGTAGCCGCCTCTTCGTCTACCTTATGGCGATGGTGGTGGTGGCTAGAGGAATGTTAGCATGTGGATGATAATCAAGAGTATTCTGATTGGGTAGGTCGTACTGATGGTGATGGTGGTGGGCATGCCGAGAGCGACGGGCGTTACGTGCTGATAGTAAGCCTCGGGCGTCATTGGACTCAATTTCCATCTGCTCCTCGTCGCGCGACTTTCTCGGCCGTCTGCCGGCTGCAGAAGATGGTCGGGCAAGCTTGGACGCCTCATCCATCCCTTCTCCGTTCATCGAGCGACCTGTGAGGCTATCGCGCTTGAAAGGACTAGTTCCCAACGGTGTCGATGGTCCGCTGCCACCGGTAGCCGCGGTGACACCACCGACACCGCTGCCAATACCGGAGAAGACTCGCCCCAGTTCATTTTTGATGGCTGGCTCACCCGCAGGACCAATGTATGGAGCTTGGGCGCCTTGTACGGCTTGGGGAAGAGGCGACGCACGGCCACCGCGTTTCCCATCGACACCAACGGTCAGCAGACTGCGATGATGGAGCAGCTCATCGCTTCCTTTGCGACGTCCCTCATCAGCCAAGGCTGCCAGACCCGATGACGCGGCAGCTGTCGATGCGGTGATGACAGGGGTTGATCCTATCCGTGAAGGCTGTCCTTGGTGTCTGGGATATGGATCATGGGGCGGAGGAGGAGTGGGTTGACTGTTCCGAGACTGAAGCGAGATCTGAGGTTGTCTATTCCCACCCGGTTGTGACCCTAGTGATTTAGTGTAGCTCTGAATGGCCCCAAACCCGAAACCCGACCCGTGCTCCGGCGCCGGGAAGCGCTTACTTTCCGGGGATGGAGGGTGAGAGCGACCGTGGTCCCATGTAGAGCTGCTCTGGTGCCGATCGAGCGGGTCGCGTTCACCATAGTGGGAGCCATACCGATATGGTCCAGGCTGGTTCAACTTGGCATCTGATCCGTGGATTGGAGCTCGGTCTCGCTCCCGCTGTGCAGCATCCTCCGGGCGCCGCTCGTCAAATATGTTTGCAAACCGACCATGCTGTGGATCATGACTTCCGTATGACCCAGATGTAGGCCGAGGGCCGGACTCGAAAGGGCGATCCGTGGCCCCGCCGGGCTGGGAGATCGGACTGTATCCGGGGGTCGTGTGGGTGCGTCAGCATGGGGCGGCTGACTACTGGGCCGAGTGATCGGACCGTTGAGACTCATGCGACGAGGTTCGGTGTACGGTAGCTCTGCCGTGGAGATTCGAGGCGAAGGGTGCGTCGAGTGTGGCTTCTCAGGATACTGTGAGAGTGACGAGCGCGTCAAGCCCCCGAACACCGACTGCTCTCCACCCTGACTCGAACCTCCACCGGAACCAGACCGGTATGTGCGGGGCCCTGGAGGCTTGGAGAATGGCTTCTCCGGTGTGTGAGAACGACGGAAGGAGTTATCGAGTGGTGAGGGTCTTGCCGGGGCAGTGGGTGGGGACATGGCGGCGGAAGATGATGATGGAGGTGCATTTCCAAATATCGACGATGCAAGTGGTCGTGAAAAGAACGGCGCAGATTCTCGTGTAGGTTCTCGCGCAGCCCGATCCCCGTCCGAACCTAACATAGCGGAAATTGACATGCTACTCCCCGGTCGGTGCGCCTGACCGCCAGGTATATCGCGCGACATCAAAGATCCCCCAGGCGTGTGGGTTGGTTGTGTTCGCGAGGAATATGTGTGTGGAGGAGATGGGGGTGGCATTTGGCGATTTCCAAACGCGGGTAGCGCGGACTGTTCGTTCGGACCTAGCAGACGAGTTCGAGTTAGCAAATGGGGGTTTGATTTTTTTTTTTTAATACAGCGAGGGGATTCCAAGATAACCACGCATGTCCCGATCGGATGAGGAACGAGATCCATGTATCGCGACAAGGACGGTTGCACGGCGCTTTCGGGACCAAGTCGGGTGCTCACCAGGAAATCCAGGACTACCACTGCTGCCCTGGGAAGTACGACGCGCAGTTTCGTGTTGTGATGGCGTATGATTCATAACGGAAACACCTAAGAGCCCTGAGAACGAGTGAGCAACAGTTCCAAAGGGAAAGCAAGGGCCAGATCGAAGAGAACCCGTGACCCCGGAAGCTCACACGCTAGTCCCAAAAGGGCAGGGGCTCCTCTGAACACGCTAGTCCCGACCTGGACTAGCGCTCCCGAGCTGTCGTCCAGTCGATCTGCGCCACCGGGGAAAATCCATCAGGGGGCAGTGTGTTGGGGCAAGAGAAGAGGGGGCAAGTTTCAGAGAATGGGATTGCATGTAGTCACATAAATTTGACCTGAATCTGATGGCTACAGAACCCCATTCCTCCGGTCACGCATTTCCCCTAAAGCCGACTGGAACAAGGTGACAAAGTGGAGGCCGACCACGGCACAAGTCCGATCCTTGGGATTCCTCAATCTGGGGCATCGGAAGCATCTGGGCAGGGGAAAATAAACAAAACCAAATTAAAGAGAATGCCTACCTTCCCGATATCGAACAGCCTGAGGTTGCGAATTATTCCTGCGATGTGTTTGTTCATCATTCCTCGTCTCGAGACTCCCATGTCGACGGTGTGCTTGTGTTGGGCCATTCCTCGGAAAGTATGCGCTGGAAGTATCTCCACGAGAAGTATTCGACGTCCGTGAAGTGGTTGACTGGTACAGTTGTGACGGAGAGGGCGTGGTGTTTGAAGAGGGAGAGGGGTATGGGCGAGGCTTGTCAGTCTCTTGACGAGACTCGATAAAAGGCGCAAACTGTGGATTGTGAGGTTCTTGTGAGGCCCCTAAAGGCGAGGGCCGTGGCGGGTACGAATATTGTAGTCGTCGGTAGTCCATATCCAAAACTGTGTTTGAGTAGTAAGAGGTAAGATAGAGGGAAGAAAAGGATTAGAGAACAGAATGGCGGTGGAACAGTGAAATGCAAAAGAAAAGAGAAAACGGAAATGGGCCAGAGCTGCAGGATCAGCGGTTGATCGCGCGACCCGGATGATAGCACAATGGGAACGTGCAGAAATAGGGCGTTTAGGTGGAAATGTGTCAACAATCAACACTCAGTTTAAAAAAAATAATTCCCCTTTTTTACAGAAAAATTTCTTCCTAAAGATTTGGGGGAAGAAGGAAAGAAAAAAACGGTGAAGCGATGACGGTATTAGCGGAGCCAAGACCTTTTTTTTTAAAAAAAGCTATGCATGCGGGGATTGTGTACGAAGTACATTGTATATGTGTACAATTGTAGTTAGTTATATAGTTAACTAGTTAGATTGTGTGGATACATTAGATACATATATATGTATATTATATGCATCGAATATTATAAAAAAACAAATACAACAGTTACATATGTTCATTTTAAAAATATATTATTATTCAAATTCATGCCCAACCCACATGCTTCTCTAAATCCTGAAGTTTGTGTGTCTTGTATTACCTGTTCCTTGTGTACCGGGATGTGTGTGTGCTAAGCCCATTTGAAAACTTGCATATGCAGGAAATACTTATGAAGTATGCTAGGATGACCTTGTTTGGGCAGAAAATGGGAATAAAGTATCTTATTATACTAGACTTTGGGTATACTTCATTTTTAGCCTCTTAACCTCTTCAACCGAACACACCGGTCATAAATATATTACGCATCTTAAATATACCGAGGTAATCAAATGCAAAGATGATTCACAAAAAAAAGAACCAATCAGAGACACTGAAATGTCATAGGAAACACAATCCATGGATGTTCAACATTTGGCCGTGGAACCTCACTCTTACTTCAATTGCAGAGCCGGCCTCATCCCAATCTTGGCCATGGCGCGCTTAAGTAGATAGTTGGGGAATTCACCACTGGTGAAGATGATAGCCTAGGGTCTATAGATATAGTAAGGGTTAGTGAAAATAGTAGTAAGCCGAGGACCAAAGTCATGACTTGGGTTCAATGCTGCCCTAGTCTAATAGGCAAAGCACATGCTTAGAGAAAGTCATGACCACCCTAGGTAGTGTATTCTAATCTCACTAAGAGCTAGAATGGTGGGGATTGGAAAAGCCGTAGAACTAATAATCCACACACCTCACGCGGATTCAATTCATCACGAAGCTGTTAATAATACCAATGTCCGGATTAGGGCGGACACCGGAAACACCCCTATAAATGTAGATTGATTCCTAGATTTAAAAGGGGTTCCGTTGATATTTACATTGATTCTATTAATTTGCATCATTTAAAGCTTTACATACATTTGCCCTATATAATATTACATCATGGCCGATCGCACATCGATTCTAACCTTGGGACCGCCCCGGCAATATCACGCGCTTACGCGAGGCTGCAGGTTGAGAGCTGAGAGTATTCCAAAGTGGATCACCTTATCAACCTCCTTGCTGTGGATGGGAAGTCGCAGATGTGTATTAAAAGCACAAACACAATATTGAAAATCGATATCATTAACATTATTAAAAGAAACTCGAATTGGGTATCACAGAAGTCAACAATACTCATACTATACACACCGGCGATAGATCTCGAAGGTTATCCTGTATAAGCTCACTCGTCGTTAAGCGTCCTTCCGGTAGAACAGACCAGAAGACATCAGAATAAGAATGATTGACACAGTCACTCTTAGGGAATGCCTCCCCAGTAACTACGATAGTCACAGGGCGCTGAACAACATTTTGTCCATCCCAATGAGACAGATACCCCCTCTGCCGGAGAGTGTCAAGTTGTTCCACGAGATGCGGGTACAGTTCATGAAGTGGCGTCTTGGCATCAAGCATCAAAAGAAAAGTTTGCACCAAGTCAGCGCGAAAGCTGCCTGGTGTTTCGGGGTTAAGAGATGCCCAGACGGTGGCATCGTTCTTAGCTTCAATTTTCGCTAGAAGAAGGCCGAGACCGAGTCGCTGCAGGAAGCCCTCGGGCTCGGTTTCTGTAACGGCGTTTCCAATCTGCAGCTCGCCGTGGTGCATCCACACGGCCGTTCGGAGTCCATCGCATCCCTCGTTGAGAGAGGACTTGAGGGCATCCGGTCGGGTGTCTAGTGTAGGGAACGTGCACGCACTATTCTGGGAGTGAATCTGGGTGTGTTGTATGGATGCATGAAGCGGAAGTATCCGTTTGATATTGGTTGGGAGCAATCGGAGACATTGGAATGCGGCTCTGGTAAATGAATGTTGTCAGCTTGGCGTTTCCCAGGGACTACAACGTTGTAAATATTACGGCAATACTCACAAGCATCCGAGGATAAGGCATGCAGCGCGGAAGAGAATCGCCCTTCGCTTTCCGATAGATTCATAGTATTCATCGAGATAAGGCGACAAGCCTGGAATGCACTCTGTCGGATATGATCGTAGGGGATGATCATCGAGGAGCCATGGGTCATATTCAAATCCCGTGTTGGATTCAAGAACAAAAGTCTCCTTTGGAAACTCCATGATTGCAGTTTGCCCGTCAGATGAACTAGCAGCTTCCATAGCGAGCTTCAAGGGTGAAAGCTCCCAGGTGCGATATAGCTCGTAGAAGGGGGTTTGCAGAGTGCCAAGTACTCAAAAGCCACGGGTGCGACGTGCATAATATAAATATTGTAAGCTCAAGATATCCAAGATGAGGGGGCATCGCGCAATTGTGTAGTGAATTGCGTGAAGCACGCAATCATGACTGGCGATTGCATTTGCATGATCGTCGGATAAGGTCTCGTGTTAAACTCGCACATTTTTCGAATTGATAAATTATAATTTTATAGAAGGTAATGCATCCATTCGCATGGTGTACATGTGCAATAGATCGTAGTTAACTATACAACCAAGGGGTTGCACAATGACATCTCGCGAGTATCTCACAACTCCACCAAGACGCCAAGACGCCAAGACCAGGCGCAATCTTATTCAAGGCAAAGTGAAATAACTACATTGATGGGTAACAGCTACAAATCACAGAAGAAAGGCGATACCAACATGGCATCACACAGAAAAAAGTTGTTCCGACTGCGAGAGAAAACAGCGATACCTCAGCCAGCCATACCCAAAGTATATTGCTGTACACAGATCAAAAGAATGCCACCCGACCTCTTCAAAGTACGTACTTAATGGAGGGCCTAAAGCGACGCATTTGGAGTTTCTTAACACGATTATGATACAGTAGAGATTGCATTACACGAGCACTAAAAGCCATGTTCTTTGAACTCTTGCTCTGTCCATCGCCACAATTCTTCCGCTTTTTCCATATCACTCTCGATGCCCATTCTTTCCACTTCCTTGAAGAAGGGGATATAATACGCACCGCTCTTCACTTCAGCAGGGTCAGCGGCACTTGCCCATAGCTGATTGAGCGTGCCTGTAGAAACATCCACGGAAGCCACTGAGGTGAATAGTTGAAAGATGAATGACAGAATCCGGTTGGCTGTCATCCCACCCCCGATGTTCGTCCGGACGAGCCCTGGGTGTAGAGCAACCGACTTAATATTGGTGAAACGTTGGGCAAAAGATTTTGCAAAGTATATGTTGGCGAGTTTTGAGTGACCATAACGGGCGACAGTGCTAATCTCGGTAAGGGGTGTCTTGACCTGGTTGAGAAGTAAACCGGCCTTAGGAGCGTTTCGATATATCTCGGAGCTAATGTTCACGACACGAACATCAGCCCCGGAAGTACCAGAGGTCTTGGTGAGGATCGGCAACAGCAGTCGAGTGAGTAGTGCCGAACCCATGTAATTTGTGCCGAATTGGACCTCATATCCATCTTTGGTCAATCCCGGGGGAGAAGCAAAGACACCGGCGTTGTTAATGAGGATATCGAGACGGTCATTTGTGGATAGGAATAATTCAGCGGCGTGTTTGATGGAGGCGAAAGACGCAAGATCCATTTCCAGAAAAACGATGTTCGCGGAAGGGACCTCTCGCTTGATATCAAGAATTGCTTCTTCTGCTCTCCCAGCATTCCGAGCACCCATATATATTTTGGTGGGATTGTGCATCGCCAATTGCTTTATGGTTTCTTTCCCAAGACCATTGTTGCCCCCAGTCACTAAGATGACCCGTCCAACAAGACTTGGAATATCTTTTCTAGGGTCAAAAGAGTGGCTCTTGCCAGAAAGAAAGAACATATTTTGAAAATGAAAATGTATCTGATATTGAAATGGGCCTGTTTTTCGTACAAAGAGTAGGTGTCATTCAGCTAAATATTTAAATATCCGTAAAGTCCTGATATAATTTCTTGAAGGGTGGGATCCTGATGAATAATGCTCCCGAGTATAGACGATCATGACCGTCTACGGGCGACTAATTATGCCACCGACACATAACTCTCTCATTGGTTCATATTGCCAGCAGTAATTTAGATCCACTAATGTTGTAGATGCTTAAAGATTGTTTGAATACCTGGATTATAGTTATGTGCCGGTGGCATACTTAGTCGCCCGTAACCGTCGGCCTTCAATTGTCCCGTCAAACCTCAAATATCTCTTCAAACGAACCTTGCCTACAATTCTCGGATTATACTGCATTTGGACTTGAATTATTTATCGGGGCAGTGCATTGATTGAACCCTGGAACAATGGATGAAAATATAATGGCAAGTATAGTGTAAGAGTACTGTGTACAGTTCAATTGACTGTATTGACTGTGACATCCATGCTGACTAAGTTCACGGAGAAACCTTGGAACCTTTCCTTTCTTGGCTCGGGAGGATCACTCATCATTTCACTCGACCATAACTGACCTGTACAGGAGACCGGGTTTGATTTGTCAATCCTTGAACTATCGCCGAGCCGGTCTATTAACCAAGCCGAATCGCCTTGGCTCAATAGGCGGTGGATAGCACTCACAATGTTAGACCCACATGTGATAATTGGTTCTCAATCATGGCTTAAATCAAAAATTATTTCCTCTTCTAAAATAGACCTTGCTCCAGTATAACCAACTCCAATACGACAAAGGTAGAGAGACCTGTCGCGGAGAAATTGTGATTTTGGCAACGCCCACATCTAAAGATCCTGCGAATTAGGGTTTTATGGATCGTTCTACGGAAGTCCTCTACGAGGGAAATTGCCATTGCAACGCTGTGCGTTTCTCTACAAAACTACCGTCTCCGCTGTCGCAGTTGTCGGTAGTTTCTTGCAACTGTATGTACACGCATAATGCCCCTACCCTACAAGCTCTGTATTCATCTGCCCTGCGGATAAGTTATATCATGCAATTGACAGAACAAAACCCTATTTTAGGTAGCTATTGTCACATTTCAGGCAGTCTGCTTACGTTCGTGGATGATATAGAGATTCACCAAGGGAGAAACTCGCTTAAGGTATGAATCACCTGAGGAATTGGTAGGGTTAATGACCAATGTGATGTAGGAATATCGGTTCGGTTCGCATACTATACAGATCTTTTTTTGCGGAAGTTGTGGTGCCAATGTTTACAACAAGTCCGTGAATCCGAAGTTTAGATACGGTCAATGTGCTATTAATGTAAGTAAACGATTTACTTGCTGAGTACCACCCTCGTCTGCATACAAAACACCCGTTCAACCCTATGGAAGAAAGTATACATAAGCTAATAGATATACTGGGATCCCACTTTAGATGCGCCTAGTACACGATATTGACCTGGAAGCCATAGAAATCAGCAAGGGCGATGGTAAGAATATTAATCTGCCACCTTTAGAAGAGGGCCTACTTTAGATTCCGCCAAAAAAAAACCGTGGAACGCTATGAACGGCCTTATAGGCTTTGAGCTTGCTGTGGCGTTTTTTTTTCATACAACCTTGTTTTCCGTAGTGTTGACCTCGTAGTTAACAATTTTTGTGGTAGTGGTTAAGCCCGTTACGAAGCCGTACACGGGCCACACCAAAGTGTAGTAGGTCTGGAGGAATAGAGCATAAAATAACTAGAAGTCCAGATTTAGTTATTCAGTTAACCTTGGAACTATGTATGATGACCAACTCGTAATATGCCCGTTTGTATGGTATCTATACCGGTTGTCACATGATATTCGGTACGAATACCCTGTATCAACTAGGTATTGCAAACCTTAGCTTTTGACAAATTCATCAAATGATCCAACACCTCTGACTGACGGATACTGCATTTTCTCAATTCTCAGATTATCTTTCTGTTCTTTACCTTGGTTCTTTGTACTCTATGGACCAGTCATTATCGCTTCAGCCATCTGGCGACCTACATCTCTCGAGCTATGAGGATACACAGCATAGTACCTTGCCATTCGGCCAAAACGGACATTTCGTACCGCATTCAGTGACCTCCAATATTGAATCACTGCTGCCAATCTCGTCTGATCCCCAGACTGAATCATCTATCTCACAAATAACTCAAATGCATGGCCAATTGCCTATATCTGATTCTGGCGACGTGTTCATCGAGAATCGTTCTTGCGAAAATCAGAAGAAAAAAATTCCCTCTCGATCCCAACCCCAGAAACCGCAGAAACGCCAGCGCCATGAACCAAAGCCGGCCTCATCGTTAGCCAAAAAACGTGGAAGGCCACGAGATGCTGAACCCCCATTGAGTGGAGTCCCAGAAGATGTTCGTTGAATATTGCGAAACCTCCATCAACCTTTGATGTGCATTAACCCAACCACTGACTTTTGCAACAGCGCCGTCGTATACAGACTCGCCTAGCGCAAAGGGCGTTTCGCTCTCGCCAGCGGGAGGCTGTCACAGGCCTCAATAACCGTATCTCTCAACTGGAGACCATCTTGGATCAAATGAGCCTTACCGTTCTGTCATTCAGTGACCAGCTAGTTCAATCTGGGGTACTGGCGTCATACTCTGGCTTAACTGCACATCTGCATGATACGATAAAGACCTTTCATTCTTTGGCATCCGAAGCAAACCCCGACCGCGAGACACAGGTTTCTGATGCTCCCTCACATAGTGAAGACTTGCCCCAATCTTCATTACCTGGCCCAATACCGATCCCGTTATCTAATACACTCCCGCCTTCGTCCCTGGATCGCAGCGGATCTGATCATCCCACCAGTGACAGCTTCCCACATACCCTCGAACCACCAGGGATTTCAGTCATAGAATTGCCTGAATTCATCGAAAGACTGAATTTGGCATGTCTCTACCAAGGAAATCTGGCTTTATGCGACCAGTCCATCGGTTTACACCATCTTCACAAGCCATTCGGGTTCCTTCTCAGTATGATGGATCGGGAGCGTCTCACAGCTTACTTCAAAGCGAGGTTAGATTCCCAAGTAAGCCAGAAGCCGTTAGATGGGTGGGAGGAAATCCCCTTCTTCGTATTGGGTGGCGCAGGAACCCACTATCCCCGGGTAGGCCACTCTTGCCGCGGTTATCACGAATGGGATATGATCAAGGATCCGTTGCCGCTTGTCTCGCCAGATATCCAAGAGCAGTTAAAAGGGGATTGGTTTGACTTGCAAGACCTGGAGGGATTCCTCCGGGAGGAAGACGTGAATCTGACTTTGTGTTCCGATGAGTCAAATCAGGGCTCGCCGACGAAGACCACTATCAATATTGCGCGACTGATGCCAGGTAAATAAGTACTCTGATTTGGGATCTGAAGAGTTTGCTGACTTTGATAGCACTAATAAGCAGGGGAGTCTGCTTAGGTCGCACGCCTGGATTTCAACGCGGTGATGTGGAGAAGGCCTTGCAGCATGCGAAGATATCATGAAGGTTTAGCAATTAATACATATATATAAGTGGTATGTGGGATATAGTAATGAGGCAATAGAGCAAATATCTGCATGGGGCTTGATAGAATTCGTCATGTCATCCATGAGTCCATCCATCAAAGATCTGGCGTAGGAGTCATTAGCTCCTTGGTCAACCAGTGGATCAGATTGAGTCTGAATTCTCGGTTAGTATTAGCCGTCAAACCAGCTAATCTGCAACCGTTGAGTAGCTAGGAGATCTTACAGTCTCTGCGCCTGCACCTAGAAACTACCTAGGTAACTTCGAAGAAGCTTAGGAAGCCACCCAGGTCGGACTTTGCTCAGGGTAGTCTGCGCGTCCTCTTCCGCTATGTCCTCGTCTCGAAACAATGTTGGAAGTCTGGAACTCGTTATAATCCAAAGTAATATAATTTATAATAGTCCTATTACCTGAAGATAACGGTGAAAAGTACGGCGTCCGAAGTCTTTAATATGGCCCTAAGTCTCGACTTTCTTAGTGCGTGCTAGTATTTTCGAAGGCGGCTCTTAAAAAGCAGTTTGGCGGCAGGTAAGAACTCAATATCTGTCTTATAGAATAGCTAGAATAGTTTCTATATAGTATCCTAAGAGAGAAGATCGAGAATTTCGGCTTCATAGAAATGCAAGGCATTGGAATTGGCTTAAACGCCTGAAATTGGGTGAATATGGATATTTGTACATTGGAATAGAAAGCATAGTCTCGATAGTTCAACTGTATGTGTTATATTTCAGAAGATCGCATAATTTCTTCGGCTTTGATGAAGTATACGTCGTGGCGGTAATTCTGAAGACCAAAATTCGACCAATGTTCCTATGCCAATGGTAATCGACCTATTCACAGCCAAGCTCCCCTGTGGTTGTACTAAGCCTCTCGGACTTGAATTTGATTCATCTCACTTCGCATAATACAGCGCTAAACTAAGCTAGAAAATCCACTACTAACTTGCCCCCGGCTACAGCGCCTGCTCGTAATTTGTTCAATCCATCTAAAATGCCCTCAAAGCCTTCCTTTTGCTTGACAGTAGGGATCGGTTTTAAGATGTGCGTGATTGTTGGAAGGACTTTGTAAAAGCGCACAAGAGCTTCGCGGTCGGCTGGTTTGGCCTCGAAGCTTGGCCCAATTGGGGGTAACCACTGGAAAGGGTGACCAAATACTGTATATGCCATCACCATCTCGTACGTGACGCCCGGTACGCTTGACTTGCCGTTGGGCAATAGCGTTACCACCATACCGCCAGTGTTTTTCAGTACTTCTGCACATATGGAAGTAGATTTTCCTTCCGAGAAACAATCGACGGCCTTTGAGATCTTAGGATACGCCTTGACGACATCAGCTGCAACAGTTGCCGACCTGTAGTCAAAGACCGCAGTAGCGCCGTACGCCTTGACAAGGTCGAATGAACGCGGCGAGGCCGTCACAACAACCGTATACCCAGCTGCCTTTGCAATCTGGATGTGAAACAGCCCAGCGCTGGTGGCTCCTGCATAGATGAAAATCGCCTCATCTCTAGGGGCTGCCTCATCACCTTGGACGAAGGGAAGGCCATGTCGGACATTGAGGGTCAACATAGCAGTCACGGCCGAGACGCCGTACGTGGTAGCGTCCGTGTCGCTTATTTCATCCGGAATCTTCCAAGCCAAATCCGAGTCGACTTTCAAGTACTCGGCGAAGGCGCCCTTGTCGGGAAAAAGACCACCGTGCACAGCGCCCGCCACGCGATCACCGGGTGCCCATCCCGACTTAACGGCGCTGCCGACCTGTTGGACCACGCCGGCATAGTCGCAACCTATGATGGAGTGACGAGGAGAAACGACGTCTAAGTGCTTGAAATCCGTCGGATTCAACGCGACCGCCTTGACTTTGACCAAAATCTCATCGGGCGAGATTGTAGGAATGGGAACATCGTCATTGACCTGTCCCCCTTGGCCACAGATTGATTTGCCACTGATGAGGTTGGCAAATCTGGTGGCTAACATGCGGTTGGAAATAAGAGCCTTCATGATGTTATGTCGGATGCGCAATAACCAAAATGATAACGGTGAAGAATAGTAGCAGGCCCTAGTATTTATGGAAATGGTTCAACTATCAGCGTCACATCCAGTTGCAGAGGGGGCAAATACAACACAAAATATGTCGCCACTATGATCTGCGGTGGAGATGGAGCAACTATCTTGCCGACTACCAAAGTTAGTTGAATCGTAACGGAATGGTTACATAACTCCCCCGAATAGTTAACTACCTAACTACCTACCTAAATTAAGTAGTGATGGATATCGTTTAATAATCAGTTTATTCCACCTGGGCACTGCTTTAAATGTATACATAGGTGGTGTTGCGCAGAGGTCAATCCTACCGGGTGCGCTGAGAGCCTGAGACCCTATCCACTCCCCCTTATCCCCTTATTCCCTAGCCTAACCGCCCCCAAACCAGATGTTCCCAAAGGGGTGCCAGTAACGCCTTAGCCTTACAGTTTGCTTCTAAGGGCTTCCGCGTCTTTGCGACCGCCAGGTCACTGAAGCCTTTTAAAGCAGTATTAATGATGGCAATTTTCACAAACGGTGTATGCTCTGTAGTGTGGCGTTCAAGATGGTCCAGCGACTCCAGCCAGACTAGAGAAGCTTTATCATACTACAATAAAGGGCTTGCTCAGTTAGAATATCTCATCGCATGTGACTCACCCTTGTTTCGAAACCATACTGTATGATATATCACCTGACAGGATACATTTAAGGAACGGTCCAGAGTCCAGACTTTACTCTTTCAGAGCACCTCCAGAATGTTGTCGTATCTCAGACGATTTTACTCGGCAGCACTGGTTGCATTGCGATACATTGGTTATCTCAGTTATTGCGCATTTGGCCTCTTGTCTCATATAATCTCGCCATTTATCGGATATCATCCGTCTAAATCTGAAAACCACGACGATCTTGGGGCTAATGACACTACGCCTCAGATACCCTCTTTCAGTCCAACTTGTTACAAAACGAACGAACAGTACTACGACTGCTTCGAAGATGTCCACACCCTCACGTTATAGAAGCCGTTGATGCTGACCAACCCGAGGGAATTAATCTCCGCAGGTATCACTCGTTACCTGAGGATAAAATTCCCGCTCAGCGTCATCGGATTTGCTAGTACCGTGATCTTACCGATGCACTCTGCCATATCCACAGCCTTAGTATAGCCCATGTAGATGTACGGATTGACAATGTCCTCTTTGATGAACACGACGGTGCCATTCTTTGCGATTTTAGCGCTGCCAGCCCTCTTGGCCAGCCAAATCCCGTTTTCCCGGATCTTCCACTTCCAATTAACGGACCCTCGCCGACTCTATCTGAGGCAACAGATATGTTTGCAATGGGGTCGCTTATTTTTCAGATGGAGCATGGAGCCAAGCCTGAGCTGTCTGTTGACAATCATGGCAGATTGGTTCTGCCCACAATACGAACCGATCATCCAAGCCTTGATTCGATCATTCAAAAAGCTTGGCTCGGGCATTATAGCCGCACATCAGAGATGCTAGAAAGCCTCAATTGTATTGATACAAACGGAGTTCGCCATGCTCATGTTGTCCAATTGCGTTCGAGATCAACGGAATCACTGAGAGATCGGATCAGAAAATGGAGGGAGTACCGTGAGAATAAGTTTGGTATGTTATCTGTTATATGTTGTCCCCCTCTTGGTACCTAACAGGATCCCTAGGTTGCGTCCTCAATGGTGTACTCTTAGAAGATCAATTGCAGAGCCTATCTGACTGTTACGGTTTGGATAAAGATGCGGATTTACGTTTCACCGAATGTATAGGTCAGATTCCTAATAGCGTGTGGCAAGGCCCACAATATGATAATGACCCCAGTACTGCTCTTCTTCCTCTCCTTGCCTTCCAAATTGATGTGATAGTTCCTCTTCTGGGGCAATGAGAAAAGAGAAAAGAGCACCGCTCACACCACAAGAAAAACCCTGGCTTTATTAATCAATAACGAAGTCTATAGCCTGGACTAGGATGCACTCACCTCTGATTGCGTTTAGCCAGACCCTGCTAGAAACTCTTCTTGACGGTCCCAGAGTCTAGAGTCTAACGACTAACTATGTACCTTGCTTAATTATTCTACTCATACTAACTAGGTACTATGCAGTAATTGCAGGTTAAGATACGATCCTTATCTCTTATCAGACATGCGGGGCTGCATGGTTTGGAAATAACGGTAGCCAATCAAATCACAGAAGAAGTATATAAAGCCGTGATAGTACCCGTGATAGTACTGGAGTAGAGAATATAGTAAATGGATAGTAGATGGATGGCAATAAAAAAAAAGATAGAGTAAATAGAGAGGTATTCAATATTTGATCCTCAGTCTGTGGACGTCTTAGCCAAAGCAGAAAGAACGACACGCGCGCCTTCCATTGCCGCATCATACCTGACTTTGTTTACTTTTTGTCTTCCCACATTTCAGCTCTGCTGTTTGACCTTCTCTTTCCCTTTTAAATCTCTTCTCTGCCCGCTACTCTCTCGTTATTTCTCCCTCATTGTCATTCCACATACACACGGCTTGGATGAGTCCGAAACGCACCAACTGCTCTATTTTCTTTCGCGCTCCATATCCACTTTGTTTGGCTGGTTCTTCACACGCAAAATGACAGTTGGAGCTTGTTACTGGAGTGGTAATGGCTCTTACTGCTGCCCTTGCCATGGCCAAGGACAGCCCGATGTGGCTGAATCTTCGTCGACCCCTTGTCTGGAATGCGGACATCCACTCGGGAATCATTTTAGAATTGGGCGTAAGTGATATTATCTCCCCGTTGATTTGATTTTAACAATTTTTCAGCACGCCAAAGTGATCCTAGTACTAGCCATGTGTTCGTACCAAGGCACGAAACCGTGAGAAAGCTTGCCCATCGCATCCATGAACAAAGAGTGGTCCTTGGTCGTGGGATCCCCGCATCAGGTAAGACCTTTCTCGCCCGATCCCTTCATACCTACCTCCGTGGACAGGGAGTCAAGTCGATCTACATCAAAAGTTTCCCCCTGAGTTTAGAGGGTGGCCCCTCTGCGTTAGATTATCTGGTCGAGGCCTGTCACCTCCAAGGTTTTCCGACATTTGGCCACAACGTTCTGCGCGACAACTTTGTGTTTCTCATCGACGACGCACACACAACTTACAATAACTCTGAGCTATGGTTGATTCTGAATTCGGCGAACCAAGACTGCCTCGCGAACGTACCAGGTGCTAGTTTCTGTATGTTCAGTGCTTTCGGTACTCCCGATAGGGGTGTCATGCCACACAACATGGGGAGTGACTTGCTGGTATTCAATAAGCGTCAACGCCTTTTATTGAAAGAGAGGTTTGAGGAGGATATTTCACTTTTCTACACTCGAGAAGAGTTCGATCTCCACATGGAAATGCATCTCCAGGCTCGAGGTTCCGATTACGAAATCGATGATATTCTGAAAGATATCATTAATGTCTGGACTGGAGGCCAGCCTAAATTGGTAGATGCATTCATGCTTCTCTGTGACATGGTATGTGATCTGCAAGCGTTGCTAGTATTTTCTGTTATATTAAAATTTGCCCAGTGGTACGACGCCTTTTACAAGGATGACGAACTTGATGAAATAGCCCACGATGACTACGAAATTAGGCGATTCTTTGAAGTTCGTGGCCTCCTGGAAGGAAGTATCGCCGTGATTCTAGACTTCGCGGGTCTTCCGCTCTCGCCCGAAACCTTCTTCCCTCCTGAACAGGAGTTTGAAGTTCTTCGTCAGGCTCAGCAAATCGGTCCGGAAACTGCTGGCGAAGGCTTGTTGTTCAACCCGCACAATGAAGCTATGCTGTCATGCCTCACGAAAGGTTGGCTGCACATGGCAGAGACCCGGGAAGGAGAATTCAAATTGTACTTTCCAACCCTGTTTCACCGAAGGTAAGCCATGTGATATCTGCTAAAGCCTGACCTGCATACTAATAATATACCAGGCTCGTGGAGTACCTCGTTGGAGTCCAGGATCTTAGATATCCCACCCCGCCTACACTGAACAGAGGGGAACTTGAGTTAATGGTGGGCATGCGAAACATGACGATTTCCTAAAGGAGGTTTGCCTCTGGTGAGTGTTGAGGACAACGTTCGACAGGTCTTTCACTCATGCTGGATATTCGGCTTTGGTAAATTTCTCATACTTTCTTTCTGAAGGGGTTGCTTGATTCATTTTTGTGGGCGATGAACATGCGTTCAGCGAATAGCCGGTTTATGCTGCATCATCAGTCAGTGCAGTGCCAATCCCTTGCCATGCTATCAAGAGTGTAATCTACATATGTAAATTGAATTCGTGGAAATATTGTATTTGATCTTGGAGTTAAAAGACATACGACATACGACGAGCAGTCGTGGGCTATAACAAAAGAAACTGCCAGATTATTAGTCTCACTGTAACTTAACTTCTTCAACAATCGATCAAGCTCACATTGCACCATGCACTTCGACGTGAACGTAGACCTGTCCTAACAGGTTATGAGCCCCTTGGACACTCTATTCACCTTCTCTCTTACCTTTATACTACCGTTCACGCGTCTCTTAAGCCTTATATTAGTACCGCTACTAGCGCTCCCGCCGCGTACTACAGTCTTCATAAGACCTTCGCCATCTATACCTACAATGTAGGTTTCGATAAGTTCTATAAGTAGACTTCCCTTAAGTACGACAACGTTACTACTCTAGAATAATTCGTAATCAAGTAGCGTACCGCCTATACCTTTAGCGTAAATCCTACTACTTATTAGTAGCCTAATAGCCTTCACGCCTTAAATAACGATACCTCTAAGCAAATTCTTATCGGAATATTCTCTAACTTCGGTATCCCCAAGAATCGACGTCTCGCTACTTATCTAAAGTATGCTTCCGATCTAGTCTTTCACAACGTAAATGCAACCTATAACTAAGGCAATAAGCCAAGTAATAAGCTAAAGCACTTCTATACTTTCCACCAACGAAAGGCCGGTTATACTTTAGAGGAGTACTTCTAGAATCCCGCTAACGCCAACACTTAAGTCGGCTAACGCGGTCAACGCTACGGGCGACAGTATGTATTACCTCAACGCCCTTTTATCACCTATAGTAGCGTATTGTATTGAACATGTTTAGCTATGATCTTGAATTATTCCTTCTTCAACTACTCTCTTTACAATGCACTTTATTTCAGATTCAGTTCAGATTCAGTTCAGGTTCAATTTACTTTACACGTCCCTATGCCCATTTTAGAAGGTATTAACTTCATTAACCTTATAACCTAGGTATTCAAATAGATTTTGTAAAGTGACTACTAGCAATATGAACCAATGAGAGAGTTATATGCCGGTGGCATACTTAGTCGGCCGTACAACGCTCCGGTTTCTACTACTACCAACAAGCCCACTACAGCCAATACTCTTCTTAGCAACCCCATCGCACGCTTCAACAACCTTTTCGACACCTAGTTTGCTTCGTGGGGGTCACCGCAAGTCCATGGCTCCATGTTCGTGGGGGGTGTCAGATTAGTCTCACTGTAACTTAACTTCTTTAACAATCTATCAAGCTTATATTGCACCATGCACTTCGACGTCAACGTAGACCTCTCCTAATAGAAACCAATGGGTTAAGTCTACGTCTCGAAGACTTCTGAATTTCTCTATTTCACTGCTAACCTAGACGTGGACAAATATAAGCAAGAGACCTACCTCGAGGCGAAGAACCCAAACAAGCACAATAATAACAAGTTAGGGGTTGTTTATACACTTACTGCGGATTATCTTTTCTTGATGGGGTATGGTATAGGACTTTTAATTATGCTACCAAGGCTCTCGGCGGGTCAGTCGATATAATCAGCTTTACTAGTGAGGCAGCTCCATAGCAAGGACTAGTTGCTTTTATATAAAGCGTTTGAAACTCAAATCTGGAAGTATAATATGATCTACTATACAACTAACCGCTTCCGAAACTGAACCCCTTCAGAGTTCCTGCATTCTGCCCCAGCTGCAAACCAGAATTATGAGAACCCGAAAACGTCGCATTCGACACAATGGTGGCCCCCTTATCCTCCTCCGGAAGAACAATCTTGGACGCCCACTGGGTAAGAACCCGAGACACCTTCTTGAAATCCTTTTCATCCTCGCCGTCGTACTGGCTCAGCCGTAGCTGATTGCGCGCCAGACGCTCCGGAGGAGGAGCATCGGGGCCTCGGGCCAACGCCTCATCAACGATCTTTACGTCCTTGCCAGTACCGCCCAGCTTGGTACCGGCTCCGGCATAGAAACCTTCCACGACGAACTCAGCCCCTGCCTGCTTGAGCTCGGCAAACCGCTGGGGAATGCCGCTGAGGCGATTTAACCGGTCTTTCAGGTCCGACTCGCTGGGGATCTCGGCCTGAGCGACTTGGAGATAGTTTGTGGCTGCTGCTAGCGATCCCGGCTGGAAATGAGGGGTTCCTAGTAGTAATATACCGTGGATATAACCAATGAGCTCTCTTTTCCTGGGATGCTCGGCGGCTCGGGCTAGGGCCTGGACATGAGGATGGCCTACGTTAGTGGGGTTTCCCATGGACAGCGACAGCGAGGGTAACAGACATTCTCCAAAACAACGCCACCGAGACAATGTGCAACGAAAATAATCGGTCTCTCTTCCTGTTTTGCTTCGTCAGCCAGATAGATTAAGAGGCAGTACTGGGGGAAAAACCTTTTCTTTCTCAGTTCGATGGTCCATCAGCTCGTTGATCAGGTCATTGGAAATGTCCGTGATTTCGTCGTCCTCGTCGAAAAAAGGACCGAGGGCCGCTTCATACTCGAACGACAGGATACATGCGTCGGAGATTTTACCCGAGAGGAGCTTCTCAGGCCAGAAGACATCCGCCTCGGATGTCCACGGTGCTTGGTTGCCGTGCAAGCCGTGAACAAAGACAATACTATCGGGTCTGGGTAAGTACGTTGACCTAGAATGGGATGGGGATTGAGAGAGAAAGATATTGGGGCGATCTTACTCAACTTTGGCGTTGGCCGGTTCCCTAACCGCTCTGATAGACATTTTGAAGATAGATGCAGTGAGAAGGACAGCTAGCTAGTATCTAGGGTATGTGGCAAGCAAGAAATTGATGATCCTTTGACTCTTGAGGGTTATTGACTATACAATGCAGAAGGTGGGGGGGGAGGGGGGACTGGCAGAGGGGGGATGAAGGTGGAAAGAAGCGTGGAAAATTCACAATCAGACGAAAGATTCACCTTGGGATCTGCTTCCTACTTGTTTAATAGTCTACGCTACGGGCAAGCCAAGCCTGTATTTTCTCATTACGAAAATTACACAAAGTGGCTGAAGCACCACGCCTGGTCATGCCTTTGCGCTGAGCGATTCACTTTAGCGATTACTAGGATGTGCTGGCTGAAGCCTCGGCCCTCCCAGACTCCCTGTGCGTCAATGTCCATGTAGAACGGTCAAAGATGGAACAGGGGGAGTCATTCTATTGGGTTAAATAAGCTCGTTAATATCCCATCTCGTATAAGTGGGGACCGGGTTGCGCATGGCTACATGGGTGGTTCCTCATGCTTACACACATTCCAAGGGTTGATTGCCAGATTAACTAATGATATTGCTATGTTTTGTATGTCCGGTATGAAGAAGTCGGGATCACTCCGAGAACTCTTGAGATAGACGGGAATAACTAGACCTCCGCAAAGCCCACAAAGTCCAAAGCCCAACCCAATCCAACCCGCAAATGGGCTATGGGCCCGGGGTGAAAGGCTACTCGGCCCATAATGGGGGCCAAATCGGCACCAAACAATACAAATATGCCAATTCCTCGCAGCTATATAAGTAATAGGGGATTTTGTTGGGTGCCTGAGGCATTCAGGCACCCATGGACCCACAATGAGACAGATCCACCATGTAGATAGTTCTCTCTCCCCTCTTCTTCTTTCTTCCTTTCTCCTTCGTCCATCTCAATAGTTCTAAATCTATCACATTGTTTTCTTATACACAATCCTGATCGGATTCCACAATAGGTTATAAGCACCTTTTTCTACTAGACGGACTACTAGCAAAACTCTTTCTTCTAAAGCTTTGACCTAAATCTACTTTTTCTTAGTATAGAACTTTTCGCCCAATTAAGAATCGATCCTAAAACCTTTAAGACGAATCAATATACCTCCGATCGATCCTAAAACCTTTAAGACGAATCAATATACCTCCGATCGATAAAAATCATATCCGATTCGGAGAATAAGGATAGCAACCTCGCCGAAATACTATACTTACTACCTATCCGTAGTAGTGATAATAATAGCTCTTAGAGCCGCGGTATAGCGAATCCCGCGCCCGCCCCTACTAACGTTAACGACCCTATTACCGTTAAAATCATATAGGCCGATAACGTACCTAAAATTATATCTATAAGACTATCGAAGATCGGCCTTCTCGAGTATAAAATAAACGACCCTCTTATCTAGAAGGTCGCTATAGAGTTCGTATTAGCTCCTCTATATATACGACAACGTGCGCGCGCGGGTCGCCCGGACCCTGGGATCGACTGTGCTTCCGCTCTCGCGCATGCTGCGTCTGATCGGCGAGGCGATCCGCCATCCACTGCGTGGACATCCCGACGACAGCCAGATCGTCACTTGCATTGCACAGTATGATGGTTTGTCTGATGACATGGCAGCTAAGCGGGACCGGCGCTTCGGGACCCTGCAAGTCGGCACTGCGGCCGTAGGGTCTGCGGGCATCAAGACCACACCCGCAGGGATGGATCGGCTGGACGAGCTGGTGTATAAGCTGGCACACCAGGCAGGGGGCGGGAACGAGTCCAGGTCAGGGGAGCTGGTTCAGTCCGCGCTGGTGCGGAAGATCGGGGCCATGTTCTATGTAGTAGATGCGGAGGTGGAGGTAGATGTGCCCTTGTCGCAGTAGGGAGTGGACTCGCTGGTGGCGGTGGAGTTGCGCAACTGGCTGAGCAGTGTGATGAAGGCGCGGGTGACGATTTTTGAGATCTTGTAGTCAGGGTCGGTGGCTAATTTTGCGCGTATGGTGACGGCGCGGAGTGGTTTGATCACGGCGTAGATGGTGATATACCGGGGATGAGTATGGACTGGGATTCAACGAGATTACAACTATTGTATATCCATTGTTAAACATAAAATCAATATATTCGTTTCCATTATCTTCCCAAGCAGTCTGACATTCTCCTTATATATCTTGAGATGTGCTAGAGTGGAGAGCTAATCCTTATTAATATCCCTATCCTATCTACTTATACCCCTGCAGCTCCTTCTCCGTCCATTCCCACACCTTCAGCCCCAGCATATCATCCTCTCCCTTCGGCGTCTGCGGGCCCCCAATCCCAATAGGCTCATAGTACTCCCCGCTCTTCACCTCCTTAGCCACAGACGCCCACAGCTGATTCCTAACGCCCTGGTCCACCGGCGTCACGACCTTATTCGCGACCTTCCCTAACACCCTAACGACCCACGGGCTCCCCGTCGCATTATTCATGAGATTCGTGCGTACCACGCCCGGATGGATCGACGCTAGCGTAAACTGCGGGTACTTGCGCGCCATCTGGCGCGTCCACAGAATGATCGCTAGCTTGCTCTGCCCGTAGCGACCGTAAGCGCCCAAGCTCTCGGCGTCGGTGCGCAAGGTGTCGAACAGCACGCCTTCCTTAGGGGCGTAGACGTGGCCGTGCGACGAGAGCGAGACAATGCGCACGTCCGCGTCCGGCATCGCAGCCGTCTTTTCCAGGACGGGAAGCAGCAGTTTCGTGAAGAGAGCGTGCCCGATGTAGTTCGTGCCGAACTGCAGCTCGTAGCCGTCACTCGTCAGGCCCGGCGGGGCGGCCATGATGCCGGCGTTCAGCATGAGGATGTCGAGACGGGTGGACTCGGCCGCGACGGTGCGGGCCGCGGTGGCGACGGACGAGAGCGAGGACAGGTCCATGGCGAGGGGCTTGATGGGGGGGCGCGTTTTTGACCTGTTGGCGGATCTCGTCTGCCGCGGTCTGCGCTTTGTCGATGGTGCGCGCGGCCAGCCAGATCAGCGACGGCTGGTGGCGGGCGTATTCCAGGACGCATTGCTTGCCCAGGCCGATGTTGGCGCCGGTCACTAGGATGACTTTGCCGGCGAGCGAGGGGATGTCCTGCTCGGGGTTGAAAGGGAGGGATTTGCCGAAGAACATGGTGATGGTAAGACGGCTTATTAGATGGTGTAGCGTCCTGCGCGAGTGTTGGAGGGGAGGTTATATACCCAGACAAGAGCTCGGGGGGTTTGGCCCGAAAGGCGCATTCGAATTATCAAGCTAGTAGACGTTTCTTTGTCCTTTTGGCCCCATAGACGATCATTACTCCTGACGGCACATCCGCATCCGCTCGACATGGCGATCTGATAGGCAGAGCATCACTGGGAGGAGTCTCAGATATCGAAGATCCGATGCAGTGAGGCAGTATTCGCCCCTTTTCGCCATCGCGTATATCAACCTGCATGTAAGAGTGCCTGAATCCGGTTAGCATACTGTCATCCGCAGCCTGACTAATATTTCATGGCCATTAATAGGTCCTGGCCTGTTCCTGGTTACATATGTTTTTGCACAGTTTGTAGATGTACACGAATCTAACATTAATCTTGTGGACGTAAAAACACCCTCTTGAAGAGAGAACAAGAGACCCTTTGACTCGATTAACTCTAACAATTAGCCCTATCCAGATCATGTGATTTAATGGAGGCATGATTATGGGGAATTAATATGGGGCCGAGTATGGAACAGATCATGGAAGTACAACATACTATGTGGCTGGGGTGATTCAGGGGCTGTGTTCTTTACTATGGCGACCTACATTGCTGCCTGGTTTGTTAGGCTAGTACGTGCATTGTTTGCATGCGTTGTTTGTTTGTCTCCATATCTCCATCTCTCTCTGTATTTTCTCTCTCTCCTCTTCTCTCCCCAGTTCTCCAGTTCTTAGTTTCAATCAATTACTACAACTCCACATCTGCCTGTTCTCGATCCGCCAACACAAGATCACGCCATATAATAAAATCATTATATACTAATACAGCTCATACATTATATCCTCAACATGCTTTCTCTTCCACCCTGATATACGCTGCTGAGGATATGTAATCAGTAATTGTTTGCTACGTTTGTCTACTTTAGCATCGTATATGTTGTACGGGTATAGGCCGGAACATAAGTAAAAAAACAGTAATCAGCTATTTTACATATGTATGCCAAGACCGTAGTTATGCAACAATGGGCAGTTAGGAGCCTTAGTTGAGAGTATTAGTCTCTTAGAATGGGAATAATACAATTGTGTGTGTGTCGAAGAACGCCAAACTGGGAAGGTGTATGAGCGCGGTATTTTCGGTATTTTTCACTGTTCTGAGACCAAGCGGGGTTAGAGGGGGTAAAATGCAGCTGAGAACGTGAGACCAAGAGTACCAAGAGTTACAGTTGATGGCTCTCGATTGATTTGCCAAGTTTAGTTGCAGACTTGACATCTGCTCTCCCGTATAGTCAGATGAGGCGCTGAACTCTGCTGAATATTGGCTTTCCTGTGTCCCCAAGTCCAAACAATATCATTTACAGACCTCCCTCTCTCATTCAATCTCGCTCCAGCATTCGTCTTTCACGCTTGATCCAATATGGCTACCCAGGGGAAACTTGACGCGGAACAGGCGTCTGACATCGCTAAACTCTGGCAACGAGCAGTCGAGGACTATGAGAAAAGGACCAAGAAGTCTCTCCACCTGGCCCAGTTCAGCAATATCGACCAAATAATGAAGGACACGGAAGGCTTGTCGAACGAGTTTAAGGATTTCCGGCATGACCGATCAAAAACAGACAATGTGCGGAGTGCATTCAAAAATAATTTATGGTTGATTCAGAAGGTCGTTGATACGGTCGGGGTGGTTGGGATTGCTGCATCGGTATGTTCTGTTACATGGAATAGCGTGTATGCTGTTGATGCTGTTAATATCGATGCTGTTAACATCAATGCTGATGATGGTTAACAGGCTTTCCCCCCCGCAATGCCAGCCAGCTTGATCTTCACGGCCTTTGGACAGGTCATGCAGGTACGAGACTCCTGCTGATAACAATGGATGATTTGATTCTGATAACGCCATAAGTCTTTTGCCTCGGTATCTGCCGACTACGACAAGATCATGGGGTTTTTCGACTTCACGCATCGCTTCTTCGACCGGCTCTCCATGATCGAGGATAAAACTCCCCAGCAAGCGCCGTTCCAGCGATGCATTGCGCGGGTCTTCTCAGGCATGCTGACCATTTGTTCCGTGGCGCAGGAATATGCCGAGAAGAAAAGATTCAGTGAGCTGCTTTTCCTTGTTGGCTCTCTCTCTCCCCCTTTTTTGATTTGTTACAGCGGTGTTAATTAAGATTGATTCTCTCATCTAGAAAAGTGGTTTTCCAGTTTGATCGATGGATCGGATGGGGCTCTTTCTGGTGCCATCCAGGAAATGGAGGAGGCCGTGAACGAGCTGACGCAAGCCGTTGGCCTAGCCACGCTACGAACCGTCGAAATCCTAGACGACATCGTCCAAAGTATGAACGGGAACGTCGAGTTCCTCGTAGCGCAGGTCACTGTAATCGATGGACGAATGGAGGCCATCAAATCCGACACGGGGACGATCATCGAACAAACCCAGGTGCTGGAACTGAAACAGGACGCCGTGCTCAAGATGTTGGACGAGCAATCTCGACTTTTCAACGACGCGGTGCAAAATTTCGAGTATATCCAAATGGGGTCTAATTTCGGGCAAAGCTTCCAAACTAGTTTGCTGAAACTGGACGTCGTAAGGCTCCGGCTGACTCGGTGGGGTCAGTCGGTTGGACTGGCGAATGTAGACGACGGCGATGTCAAACAGCTCCAGATGACGAATCTCGCTCGCGAAGATCAAGAGCAGGTCCAGGATCTTCTGGCTCAGATTCTGGAGCTATTTGCAGAAGCTGAGACGGCGTCGAAACGATTGCGACGACGCAACCCCACCTTGAAAGTGCTGGACCCCGCCGAAGAGCTAGACGGCGTCTCGGCCTCACTGCACCAGAAGATGGAATATGTCGCTAAGAAGCGACAGGGAAAGTCCGAGTTGGAGCAGGACCAAGTGACTATTCTATACGAGGAGAAGAATTTCGTCCGGCTGATCGAGGACATCAGCGAATTGGTGGACGGGTTGGTCAATCTTTTCCCGGGAATTCAGGAAGAACAGCGTAGGCTGTGTGAAGAAGAGGTGTCCGGGTTTAACACGAACGAGGGCGCTCTTTCGCTACTGAAGGAGGTCGCCGCTGGCCAGGACAAGCTGCTGACTGACATGGTTGTCAAAGTCATTCAATCCACCACCACCTACACCAACAGTGTGGTGTTTTCGGGACCTAACTCGGGTTTTCAGGTAGGGAACAATTCAGGCAAGATTAGTGGTGTTCGCTTTGGCGGTTCCTAGTTATCTCTGATAGTATACAGACGAAGAGTGAACTGTGAATGTATTATGTGACTGGGCTTTTGCAAGACTGGTAATCACTGAAATTGAAATTCCATCCTGATCTCAATAAGCATCTTGGATAGGAACATACCTGGGATTATCACTCTCAGGTGAAATAACCTGTCCCTAGTTTTGCTGGTAGATCATCATTAGCAATACATGGCCCAGCGAGTGACTCCATGTCACGATGAGTGGTATATGAGATGACGGCGTGACTGATATGAATCAATCCCGGTATCAGAGGTACTATTAGACGTCGATGGGTTACTTCCGGGTAGACCTCAATATGTATATATATCTGGGCACTGGAACTCACCTGTCCTAGCTGTTGTCTATTACACAGACGGAGAGTCTCGCGAATTGTAGAATAAATTGGTAAAGAGAGAGAGAGAGAGAGAGAGAGAGAGAAGAAAGGTTGATTCCTACAGATCTCCAGAGAGAGCTACTTAGCCTAACATTACAGCCTGAGAAGTCAGGTGTCCATCACGACACCACCATAAATACGTCGCCATGGCACATGGCACAGATAATCGGAAGCCTGGCAGACTACAGGTACGGGCCACTATAGGGATCACCTCACATAACTCTCACGTATTATTCGTAATATTGAAGCTAGTTGATCCCTGATAGTGCCTGAATACCTGGATTGTATTTATAACTAACTACTTAAGGTCAATGTTATATACCTCAGAAAAGAAAATAGGCACTAAATTTTGACGCTATTCGTATGTTATACTATACAAATCATAGAATTTCCTTATATCTCGGCCTTAAAGCCTTTCCACTACGTTATCGTCTACTTCTCTTCAGTGACTCTCCTTCTAAGGCGTATCGCTGCACTAAAGAGAAAGCTTGGGAAGGAAATGCAAAATGAGAGCTATCTGGACATGCCTCACGTATAGACTACATGTATGGCACAGCGAGGACATCGCTACATCCAACTAAAGCAAGTGTGCTGGGTTTCAAAAAGCGGAGTATGATTCTTTTCCATGGGGGAGTATGTACTTAAATACTGGATCGGGAAATTCGGCATAGTCCTGTACAATCACAGCATCGGTGCAGAGGGCAGTAAATCTACACAGTATATCTTGCCAACAGAGCATCAACAATGCCTTCTGCATCATCGCTCTCTGACAAGGTCTCATCATCCTCGTAGTTATCTGTTTCCTTTTCGGCCCGTTGACGCTTCTCCCCCATGTCTCTATTCCCCTCATCCGCTCTCTTCCAATTAAGTATCTCCTCGACATCCTCCTTGTAGTCAAAGTCGCTGCGAAGTCGCTGCCGCATATCCTCGTCCTTCATATCGGCGTCCTCCTCGTCATCTGGGGTCTGTTCCATGCCGCCTTGTTCTTGCTTTCCTCTGTTGATAAGGGGTATGCTTGGTCCGATCTCTGATATGCTGCGTGCGGCTGAATCCTTTTTGCGAATGAGATACATATGCTCTTTTCGTTCGACCTTCAACTCGGTGGTAGTGGATGAGGCCTTTGTTACCGCTTCACTCTCCCGTAACCATCTTGTATGAACATATAACTCTTCTTGCAAATCCTCGGTGATCCATTTCTTGATGACGATGTAGTTGGTATCATGCTTTGAGGGGGAGTCAGTGTTTAAATCGCAAAGTGGGAGCACAAACATTTCTTCGTACCTCATCCCAATCCCAGGGCAGGCCATATTCTATCAGTGTGTCCGGAAGGATATGCTCTCGATGAACCTGGTTTTCGAGTGTTAGAGGTCAATGAACTGCTAGGAAGAGCTCATTCCATCATACCTTAATCCACGTTACCCTTTCCTCCTCTTCGTCTTCCCTTTTCTTTTCTTCCCTTTTCCATTCTTTCCTTTTCTTTTCGAACAGTGAGGTCGGCCGAGGTACCCCGCTCATGATCACAGTAAGGGTCCTGGCCTTGAGATGTCCAATTCCAATGCCTTGAAGGATGGTCCGGTATTCGCCGAACTGGATCCACTCCAACGTCTTTTCGCTGTGATTCTCCGTGGCATCTAATGCGTCATACTCACTGTTATCTAGAGCAGCCAGCTGGTCTAGCACGGTCGTGCCTAAAGATCTCTTCCACTCTGAGAGCTGGGATTGGATCATCGAATCCGGGAGTTTGATACTGCGGACATCGTACTTGACGTGTATTTGATGGTTTGTGATGGACGCGCTCGGGGAGATGAGATTGATGCTGAATATGCGCGATGGTGAAAATGTTTGGCACTGAGAGTCTGATGATTGCCTAGAAGAAACAAATGTTAGAATTTCTCTGGTATATATGATTCCGTCAGACGTGATCTTGCCTTTCGCTGGTATCGCCGTTCCGGCTGGAACCCAATTCATTGTCACTTGCGTAGAATGAGTGGTCTGTGTCAACGAGCCTTTAAAACTACGTACCTTGATGCTTCATCGTCGACATTGCTCTCTAGGCTGATGTCTGGGTCCCTGCTCCGCGAGAGTTAATTATGTGAAGGGAATCTTTAATCGACAAGGTGAACCTACTTTCGAGCACTGGCCGCTGTGCCATTTAATCCAGGATCCATTGTGGGCGGGCCTTGTTTAGAGTGAAGCGAGACTTGGGAGAACTGCGTTTGCTCTTTTTCTAATGGTTGTTGGGATTTCTGCGCCGCAACAATAGACCGAACCAGCAAGTCCTGATCCTCTCTGGAGTAGGCAACAATAGCCGTGGTACGCTGAATAGTACTGTATCTGTCGATATTAGCAATAGACCTTGGGCTATTCCACGAGAGAAAGTAGGAGTGACTTACTCCCCCATCATCCGTCTCGAATAAGCCAGCATAGCGACCTGAAGCATCAACAGCAAAGTTCCCTTGACATCTCTAAGCTCTGTCCGCATCGTATCTATCCCCGGGAGTAGGAATGGCCATTTGAACATCTCTGTCCGACTGAGTTTGACCTTGTCCGATATCCTAGATGTCGCATACAAATGCTTGCTTGCTTTGCCTAGGGACTGGTCCAGCGACTGGAAGATTCCTTCGCATTTTTTTGCCAACTTTATAACCGTTTCCAGTCCAGCTGTGTTGAAGATACTCTGTTTCGATATTGTCGTCTTGATATCGGCAACCGGGCTCACATTGTTGTCGGTAGTATTGTTGCCGTCTGATGCTGGGTGTTCCTTTTCTACACTCGCCTCAGCTAATTCACCCAGTTGCTGTAGAATGCTGGCATTCAAGGAGACGTCTTCGGCGACCTTTGTAATATGTTCCGGCGATGTCTTGACCTGTCCTGCAAAAGTCACAAGCTTCACAGAGCATTGTACTCCGGCCGTTGCAATTGCCAGGATGGCGGAAGCTGCCCCAATAGCCTCCATTATCCAATTTTAGGATGGGGATTTACCTTGGAACTGCTGGGAAACCAAAATTCACCAGAACCGCTGAGGATATTATATTCAGGTGCGGCTGAGAAGCGGGGCAGCTGCTTAGTTGGCTTTGTGTGCAGAGTAAGAAAATGTCGAATTGAAAAAAAAAAAGAAGTTCTCTGGAGAATGATACTTAATGATGGATCTTCAGAGAGAATTGTGGAATTTACTATCAAGGGAATCATCCAATTCCTTTATTGGTTCCAGTACGCTATATAGAGAGGCCTGAAAGAGGGCTTAATTCAGGCATAAGTCAGGCCTAAATAAGGCATTCAGGCATTAAATTCAGGCATTTGGCATTGAGCGCTAACTAGGTATACACCGTCCTAGGCATACCAATGTTGATAAACCACATCTGACCTAACCCTGACAGAGGCTGAATTTTCAACGGATAAGAGAAGCTGCCTGGTTAAACTCCATCCCCACTCCCACTTCCAGCCAAGTAACTAACCCGCTGTTGGGGGAGTACCGTCACAGCAGAAGTGTTTCCAGTATTGATGTAAACTCCGTCGATCAATGTCGAAGGTTGAAACTAGACCGTTGCTGAATCCAACAACCACTTGATCGCCATGCGCATCAAAAGAACAGGCTTGGAGATCAGGCAATAGCCGAAGGAAGGGCATGGTTCCATAGTATATCCAGTCTACTCTGACATAGAGGTTCTGTAATAAATCCGAATCCGACCTCACTGGCAGTTCCTCCTCCCCTTCCTCCGTCTCAAGTGATATTGGTCCAATGGATGTTTCAAGGTATCGGTTGCCTGCTGCGAATTCTACGCCATGCACCTGCTCTGACATCTTAATCTCCTTCCATGGCCGGGACGACTTGATATGACTACCGACAGCGCGTCCCAGAAATTTCGAGGCTTTGAGCGATTTTTTGATGTTCCATACCTTGATGGTCTGATCATCACAGACTGCTGCGATCTGCTGGCTGTCTGATGAAAAGGCCACTGTGATGATTGTTGTGTTTGAATGGCCCCCTGTTGAAAGGGCCACCGAGACGGCCGTAATGATGCTCTCGAAATTGCATTCTAGTGTCTTCTGGAGGTTTCCCGTTTCAGCATCCCAAAGCCTAATTGTTTTATCTTCGGAGGCTGATGCAATTAGCTTGCCATCAGGCGAGAAGCTCAAAGTGGTGACTTCGGTTTCGAACACGTCCTCCAACCCCGTCAGGGACGCAAATTTGTTTACGTGGCCTGCCAGTGTCTTCTTGAGGTCACCTGTGGCAGTATCCCAGAGACTAATTTTGCCGTGCTCATGGCCTGTCGCAATCAGCTTGCTGTCGGGTGAGAAGGCGACAGTGCTGAAATTGTCGTCGCTCTCAAGTGAGTCCGGCAGGTCACATGTGGCATAATCCCAGAGGTGGACTGCTTCGCCAGAGCACGAGGCCATCCGCTTGTTGTCTGGTGAAAAGACCACAGCAAAGACTGTTTTTTGATGGCCTGTTAGTGTTTCCTGGAGATCGCCCGTTGCAGCATCCCAAAGCTTAACAGTGTTGTCAGTGGAGCCTGATGCAATCACCTTGCCGTCTGGTGAGATTGCCACTGTTACAACTCGCCCTGAGTGGCCTACGACACTCTGGGTGGCACCTATGGCAATATCCCAACGCCTGATAGTGGTATCGGTAGAGCCTGTAACGATCTGCTTGCCGTTTGGTGAGAAGGCCATGGACATAACTGTGCCTGACTGGTATGCTAGCGTCTTTTGAACATCGCCCGCAGCATCCCAGAAGATCATGCAATCATCACGGCATGCTGCGATCTGTTTACTGTCGGGTGAGAAGGCCACCGTACGGGCGTAAGGGTATGCCAGTGTCCTTTGGAGATCACCTGTTCCAGCGTTCCAAAGATTGACCTTCTTATGACAGGCTGATGCAATCTGCTTGCCATCTGGTGAAAAGGCCACAGTCCGAACCGGGATTCTGTGACCGACTAGTGTTTTCAGAAGGTCACCTGAGGTAGTATCCCAGAGCCTGATTGTGCCGTCATAAAAGCTTGATACAAGCTGCTTGTCGTCTGGTGAGAAGGCCAAAGCTAAGGGTCCGTCTGAATGGTCTGCAAGAATCTTCTGGAGGTCTCCAGTAGCCGTGTCAAAAAGCATGATCAATCTATTATCATGATAATCACCGGCTGCTGCGGTTTGCCTCAAATCCGACGAGAAAGCCAGGGCGTAGGGGCTACGGGGCCAAGGTTCGCGGTCTTCTGGTGACTGCAAGTCAACCCACTTCTGACGGTCGCCTGTGGTGGTATCCCATAAGATAACAGAGCCCTGGTAATCGCCTGACATAATCAGCTTGCTATCTGGTAGGAAAGCCATAGCTGTGATCTTCCCTGAGTGATCAGATAGTGTTTGCTGAAGGCTACCTGTAACACTATCCCAGAGGTTAATCATACCATCCTCAGAGGCTGATGCTATCTGCTTGCCGTCAGGTGAATAGGTAATAATGCTGACAGTTTCCAAATGGCCTACTAGTGCCTGTATCATAGGCGTCCAACTGTCCTCCATGGGAGGAGCTCTTCCCAGCCATACAGGAACTTTGTGAAGGTTTTCTCCTTTCACAACACTTGATTCAGGACTAAAAATGATGCCAGAGCTGTAGATTTGCAGTGGCCAGTGCGACAAAGCTTGGTAATGTCGCAATAAAAAACGCATAGCATCCTGCACGAATGCTAAAGCTTGACAATCATCCTTTGTCACCTTAATTAGTAAAGACGTAGATGTTATTGAAAACACTAAGAACCCACTTTCAATATTTCTTCCAGTGCTCTCAACGCGTCAATGGCCTTTGGTAGCCTGTCCAACAGACTTAGGCATTCTAGCCATTCCAACAACTTTGTGTGTAGGAATACGCTAACTTGGCTCTTGTCGCTGTCGTTGCTCGTATTCTTTAGATGTGACACCCAGAACATGGCTGCATAGTCCACGCGAGACAGTATACCATTCTTCGGTCCATTTTCCAAAGCGTCTAAAGAGTCTCTCGTGGCATCGGGCCGTGGCAGGTCGACGAGGTTGGGCTTGAGACATTCAGATAAACAGGACATGCAAGCGAGGGCAATTTCTTCATGTCCGAAGCGTCCATGAGATTCGAGTATAGACATCCCATTCTCTCCGGCCAAGTAGTCTCGCGCCGACTGATGAACAAACTCGATGTTGTCTTCGCGTAACCGGATGAATGAAGCACAGCAATCGACCAATGCTCTAATGGTGTCCTCTTCATCGGTTAGGCCGATCACACTAGCGACTTCCTCCACCTTCAAAGGTCGGTATACCGTCATCATGGCCTTGAGAAGTCGCATACACTTCTGTACTTCAGCCAGTTCGCCTTGGTTGAGCTGGTTCAATACCCGATCATAGAACGGATGCAAACCCGGCGGCAAGCTTTGAACTGTGGACAGAGCGTCATCTCGGCAGACACTCTCGAGCGCCTTGCATACCAAGCTTACCCATAGGAAGGCACCTTCCGACCTTTCAGTAAGCTCAGTCTCTATTTCGCTCTTCAGGGTCGCTCCATATTTGTGCTGGCGACTAAGCTCCTCCACTTTCGAAGTGATATAAGCCTCCACAGCCCCAGAAACAGATTGGGAATTGTGTTCACCATCCAGATTAATTTGCACCTGGTCCTGACCAGCTAATAATACCCGCTCTGCGCCATCCCATGGTCGGCTTGTCAACATCCACTTGATCTTACCGGGATGATCCAGTCCCTTTCGCACGATAGATTTGAGGAAGTCAACCACATCGTCATCCTGACATTCATCAAGCGCATCAACAACCATATATACCCTAGAGTACTTGCACCGGGCCAACATCTCGAAAAGGATGTTCCACAACGATTGCCACGAGGTTACATCCTCGCTGAAAGACTCCTGTATGGTGTCCCACCGGCGACGGAGCGATTCTTTTAGCTCCGTCTGCTGATTCGCCAGCTGCAGAATCAACCCTTTAAGAATGGCTTCCAGTGTATTGAGCTCGTAGTCGGCATTCTGGCAGAAAGAATAAATAACCACGGTGGATTCATCCTGCGCACGGGCGAGCTGCTCAATCAGACCGATTGACAACATGGTCTTCCCTTTCCCAGCGCCTCCCTTGATCCAAAGCAGGCCGAGGTCGTCTCCATTTTCCCAACCTTTGTACTGCGGATTTTCAAGAATCCACTGGATGGACTGGTGAACCAACCTGTCCTTGCTCTCTTTCAGGCGATTCTTCACAGCCAGGGAGTCCGGGCAGCGCAGAGCGTGGAGACAGATTCGATCGATGTCTTCGGTGGTGTACCCTAGAAACAGCGTTTAGTCTCCCTTAATTTAACTGAACATCACATGGAAATTACCCCGCGCCACATGGAATTCTGCTGTGATGGAACCCGAATTCTTTCCGATCTGGAGGCCATGGTTTGTCGCGTTAAAAGCAGTGGACGTGGCCATCATCAAAGCACTGACTGATGCAAGATTGTACTGGAGGGAAGCTGCTGGAGGGAAGCTGCAGCTCAGCCAGCTGAATGAGCGCCTTCAATTACTAAAAATGTCAGCTGACGTGTTATTTTGCAAAGTAACTGTATAGTTGCAAAGCAAGAATTCGGAGTCTCCGCCGTTGGGCACTAGTAAGTTGCTAGTAGTAACGCTTGGTGATTCTGTCTGGAACAAATACGAGAGCCAAGCACTCGGAGTTGCGTCCATTTGTAGCAAGGTTGGCCATGATTTGTAGCGTGATTCGAACATAAATCGGATTTGCATATAGAGCACTCCGTACTCCATAGCGACTAACATAAAATTCCTATCTGATCTGATTGATCTGGTTGATAGTATGCTATTGAGGTGCCAGGCAGTGCTGCTAATGGGGGACCTACTACATATGTAAGAAATTGAGAGTTGAGTGCAAAGAGCGCTGTTTTTTTAAAATTAATATAGTATTCATTAGTACTACCCGTGGACGCTAATTGTGCGCTAGTAAGGA